TCACCGGATCACGTTCCTGGTCTTCCAGCAGCCGCTCGCCTTGCCCGTCGAGCATCTTGACCATCGAGTCGTTGTGCTTCTTCTTGTGCCCCCTTGTCCTTGGCATTATCTTGAGCTCGCGCACGCCTCGCGTGCCGAGTCGCTTCGTTGTCGGCCGCCGCCTACGCACGTCCGCGGTCATCTTGCCGCCCTCGCGCGCGCTCTGCAACCGCTCCTTGGGTCCGCCACCGGGCGCTGCTGGCCTTACTGCCGCGCGTCCAGCGGTCCCTGGCGCTCATTACGTTGCCAACTTGCCCGTCGTGCGTCCGCGGTATCGTTTCGCCCTCGCACCGGCCTTGACCTTCAGCACCTTCGTCTGCACCGTCACCATGAACACCAACGTGCTCCCCCTGGCCTTCGTAGCCGCGAGCACCTCGTGCTCCCCCTGAGCTTGAGTCTCCTTCCTCCATCGACCTCCGTCGATCAGTCGTCACCGCACACACCATCACCTCCGTCGCGCATCGGCACTCGGTCGCCCCTTTCGCGGGCGTCCCGACCAACGCCGCGCCGATCCACCGGGAACAACCAGCACCATCTCTCTCATCGACACTCTTGACTTGTACACCACGCCCTCGCATCCGGGCGGGCTCTCCGTCGTCGTTGCGAGTCAGCACCAGAACTTGCCCTCGATCGTGCGCCCCTCGTCGATCGCGCCGAGCCGTTTGGGCTCATAACCTGTAGAAAGTACTTGGAGCATGCATGTGCGACCTCTCTACTCAACGCGTGCCAGACGCGTTTCGGCCCCCCCGCCGGGGGCCTCGTCAGTGGCTTTACCAATCGAGAAGTGAGCTCTCTCTCTCTCTCCGTGTCCTCCTGGGCGGTCGCCCCTACGAATCTTCTAGAATCTCCTAAAGATCTGTCGTGGGTACGACGCTGCTGTCGTAACCGTGTACCCCCACCATAGGGTTACACCTACGTGCCTGCAGCACTTCCAACACTCCCCCTCGACAACAGGAGTCCGTGACCACGCAGATCCCGCGTAGCCCTCCTTGTCTTGCCGTCCTTGTCGCTCTGTTCGCTTGCGTCCACGGCGCTCGCCTCGTGTCCTTCACCGGATCACGTTCCTGGTCTTCCAGCAGCCGCTCGCCTTGCCCGTCGAGCATCTTGACCATCGAGTCGTTGTGCTTCTTCTTGTGCCCCCTTGTCCTTGGCATTATCTTGAGCTCGCGCACGCCTCGCGTGCCGAGTCGCTTCGTTGTCGGCCGCCGCCTACGCACGTCCGCGGTCATCTTGCCGCCCTCGCGCGCGCTCTGCAACCGCTCCTTGGGTCCGCCACCGGGCTGCTGGCCTTACGGCCGCGCGTCCAGCGGTCCCTGGCGCCCATTACGTTGCCAACTTGCCCGTCGTGCGTCCGCGGTATCGTTTCGCCCTCGCACCGGCCTTGACCTTCAGCACCTTCGTCTGCACCGTCACCATGAACACCAACGTGCTCCCCCTGGCCTTCGTAGCCGCGAGCACCTCGTGCTCCCCCTGAGCTTGAGTCTCCTTCCTCCATCGACCTCCGTCGATCAGTCGTCACCGCACACACCATCACCTCCGTCGCGCATCGGCACTCGGTTGCCCCTTTCGCGGGCGTCCCGACCAACGCCGCGCCGATCCACCGGGAACAACCAGCACCATCTCTCTCACCGACACTCTTGACTTGTACACCACGCCCTCGCATCCGGGCGGGCTCTCCGTCGTCGTTGCGAGTCAGCACCAGAACTTGCCCTCGATCGTGCGCCCCTCGTCGATCGCGCCGAGCCGTTTGGGCTCATAACCTGTAGAAAGTACTTGGAACATGCATGTGCGACCTCTCTACTCAACGCGTGCCAGACGCGTTTCGGCCCCCCCGCCGGGGGCCTCGTCAGTGGCTTTACCAATCGAGAAGTGAGCTCTCTCTCTCTCTCCGTGTCCTCCTGGGCGGTCGCCCCTACGAATCTTCTAGAATCTCCTAAAGATCTGTCGTGGGTACGACGCTGCTGTCGTAACCGTGTACCCCCACCATAGGGTTACACCTACGTGCCTGCAGCACTTCCAACACTCCCCCTCGACAACAGGAGTCCGTGACCACGCAGATCCCGCGTAGCCCTCCTTGTCTTGCCGTCCTTGTCGCTCTGTTCGCTTGCGTCCACGGCGCTCGCCTCGTGTCCTTCACCGGATCACGTTCCTGGTCTTCCAGCAGCCGCTCGCCTTGCCCGTCGAGCATCTTGACCATCGAGTCGTTGTGCTTCTTCTTGTGCCCCCTTGTCCTTGGCATTATCTTGAGCTCGCGCACGCCTCGCGTGCCGAGTCGCTTCGTTGTCGGCCGCCGCCTACGCACGTCCGCGGTCATCTTGCCGCCCTCGCGCGCGCTCTGCAACCGCTCCTTGGGTCCGCCACCGGGCTGCTGGCCTTACGGCCGCGCGTCCAGCGGTCCCTGGCGCCCATTACGTTGCCAACTTGCCCGTCGTGCGTCCGCGGTATCGTTTCGCCCTCGCACCGGCCTTGACCTTCAGCACCTTCGTCTGCACCGTCACCATGAACACCAACGTGCTCCCCCTGGCCTTCGTAGCCGCGAGCACCTCGTGCTCCCCCTGAGCTTGAGTCTCCTTCCTCCATCGACCTCCGTCGATCAGTCGTCACCGCACACACCATCACCTCCGTCGCGCATCGGCACTCGGTTGCCCCTTTCGCGGGCGTCCCGACCAACGCCGCGCCGATCCACCGGGAACAACCAGCACCATCTCTCTCACCGACACTCTTGACTTGTACACCACGCCCTCGCATCCGGGCGGGCTCTCCGTCGTCGTTGCGAGTCAGCACCAGAACTTGCCCTCGATCGTGCGCCCCTCGTCGATCGCGCCGAGCCGTTTGGGCTCATAACCTGTAGAAAGTACTTGGAGCATGCATGTGCGACCTCTCTACTCAACGCGTGCCAGACGCGTTTCGGCCCCCCCGCCGGGGGCCTCGTCAGTGGCTTTACCAATCGAGAAGTGAGCTCTCTCTCTCTACGTGTCCTCCTGGGCGGTCGCCCCTACGAATCTTCTAGAATCTCCTAAAGATCTGTCGTGGGTACGACTCTGCTGTCGTAACCGTGTACCCCCACCATAGGGTTACACCTACGTGCCTGCAGCACTTCCAACACTCCCCCTCGACAACAGGAGTCCGTGACCACGCAGATCCCGCGTAGCCCTCCTTGTCTTGCCGTCCTTGTCGCTCTGTTCGCTTGCGTCCACGGCGCTCGCCTCGTGTCCTTCACCGGATCACGTTCCTGGTCTTCCAGCAGCCGCTCACCTTGCCCGTCGAGCATCTTGACCATCGAGTCGTTGTGCTTCTTCTTGTGCCCCCTTGTCCTTGACATTATCTTGAGCTCGCGCACGCCTCGCGTGCCGAGTCGCTTCGTTGTCGGCCGCCGCCTACGCACGTCCGCGGTCATCTTGCCGCCCTCGCGCGCGCTCTGCAACCGCTCCTTGGGTCCGCCACCGGGCGCTGCTGGCCTTACTGCCGCGCGTCCAGCGGTCCCTGGCGCCCATTACGTTGCCAACTTGCCCGTCGTGCGTCCGCGGTATCGTTTCGCCCTCGCACCGGCCTTGACCTTCAGCACCTTCGTCTGCACCGTCACCATGGACACCAACGTGCTCCCCCTGGCCTTCGTAGCCGCGAGCACCTCGTGCTCCCCCTGAGCTTGAGTCTCCTTCCTCCATCGACCTCCGTCGATCAGTCGTCACCGCACACACCATCACCTCCGTCGCGCATCGGCACTCGGTCGCCCCTTTCGCGGGCGTCCCGACCAACGCCGCGCCGATCCACCGGGAACAACCAGCACCATCTCTCTCATCGACACTCTTGACTTGTACACCACGCCCTCGCATCCGGGCGGGCTCTCCGTCGTCGTTGCGAGTCAGCACCAGAACTTGCCCTCGATCGTGCGCCCCTCGTCGATCGCGCTGAGCCGTTTGGACTCATAACCTGTAGAAAGTACTTGGAGCATGCATGTGCGACCTCTCTACTCAACGCGTGCCAGACGCGTTTCGGCCCCCCCCGCCGGGGGCCTCGTCAGTGGCTTTACCAATCGAGAAGTGAGCTCTCTCTCTCTCTCTACGTGTCCTCCTGGGCGGTCGCCCCTACGAAGCTTCTAGAATCTCCTAAAGATCTGTCGTGGGTACGACTCTGGTGTCGTAACCGTGTACCCCCACCATAGGGTTACACCTACGTGCCTGCAGCACTTCCAACACCTCACCAGCCGCGTAGACCGCAGCTTCGCTGGTGTCTATACACCTTCCTTTTCGTCGTTTGCGTCCACACTAAACGTCTGTATCCAGTTGAGAATCACGATTTGTATTCGGCCAGCAGCTACCGCTGCTCGAGCCTCCGTAATAATGGAACGTGTGAGGTTGTTAGGCAAGAGTTCGGCGGTAATTGGGTCAAGTTGAGTCGAGACCGAGCACCCCAAAGTGGACGGGTACGTGGCAATTCATTGTTGCGTTGCTGGTTGGCTCCTCGTGAAGCAAAGCGTCGAATGATAAATCATGTTTGCTATTGCAGTTTTGGCGCCGACGCTTCTCGACTATTACCATATTATTTTATTCGCTAAGAAGCCTCCCCTCCTCCAGTTTTGCAGTGATATTCTTTTTTTCGCTGGTGCAGCATTCTCGTAAACGCTTTCTTGTCAGCTCGCTCCTTCCAAAACCTATCACCCGGCCAGCTTGCCGTCTCGGTGTGGAGGCACTAAGCCACGTATGACAGCCGCGCAGAGATTCCTGGACTGCGGTAGCGCTTGCCATTTCAATGGTCGTTATATGTGAATTGACAAGATGCGTGTGAAACAATTGGTTTTTCTGGTCTGGGCAATGGGTACAGTATCCGGTACTACAAATCAGAGGAGGCACGTGGTACACATGTATGGCGATCTTCCTGCACTTGGCTCACTTCCGCTTTGGCCCCGTCAGACGCACTCAAGTCAAGTAGGTCCTGCACAGCAGGGCGATAGATACTGTGAGATGGAGGTGTGCTCGCTCGTGGCCGAGTTCGTGATCCCGGAGCTGGGCGAGGCCATCTCGGAGGCGCTGGGCAACGTGCTGGACTTCGTGAACGAGATGAAGGAGAACGAGGAGATCTGCCGGCGCGTGTACGAGCGCATGAAGTTCGTGAACGAGGAGCTGTACAAGATCACGGACGAGACGGCGCTGCGCCAGAACCGCGTGCTGTTCATGTACGGCCGCACCATCTCGGACTTCCTCAAGTTCCTCAAGCGCCAGTCGCAGAAGAGCCTCATCAAGCGCCTGGCCAGCAACCGCAAGGTGGTCGCGGCCGTGCAGGACTTCCACAGCGACCTGGACGAGCTCTTCAAGCTGCTCAACATCGCGCACATGGTCGAGATGGCCAAGTGGAAGAAGGACTGGGAGGAGGACCAGAAGCGCATCCGCCGTCAGATGGCCGAGATCCTCTCGAACGGCCAGACCATCCACGCCGAGATCCAGAGCTCGGGCTCGGCGCTGCAGGAGGGGCTGGCCATGATCAAGTTCGAGCTCGAGCACAAGAAGGAGCAGAACGACCCGGAGCAGCTGCAGCTCATGCACAAGGCCTTCAAGAAGGTCGTGAGCACGTCCAAGGCCAAGGTGCCCGTCGTGCCCGAGTGGTTCATCTCAAGTGACGACGTCGAGTTCGACTCCAAGGAGGCCTTCGACTGCGGCTCGTACGGCTCCGTGCACCGCGGCATCTGGGGCAAGGGCGCCAAGGTCGTCATCAAGTGCCTGCTCATGGACGACGACCAGGCCATGAAGTCCTTTTTCAAGGAGGTCGAGGTCTGGCACAAGCTCAGCAACCCGCACATCGTCAAGCTCTTCGGCGCGTGCCACGTGAGCACCCCCGCGTTCTTCGTGTGCGAGGACGCCATTCACGGCAACTTTGCCGACTACTTCATGAAGGACAAGAGCGAGATCTGGCGGCTCTTCCACGAGGCCGCGGTCGGCCTGGCTTACCTCCACGACCAGAAGGTGGTGCACGGAGACCTCAAGTGCAACAACATCCTCATTGGCGCGGATGACAAGGCCAAGATCTGCGACTTTGGCTTCTCGTACATCCGAAGTCAGTCCGTGGGGCTCAGCGCCAAGGCGCAGACGGACACGGTGCGCTGGAAGGCACCCGAGTGCCTGATGCCCATGGGGGACCCGGACGCGATGGATGCGGCGCACAATCCGCGGTTCGCCTCGGATGTTTACTCCTTGGGTATGTGCATTATTGAAGCGCTCGGGGACGAGCCGCCCTACGCTCTGGACGACGATGATACTATTTTGGAGAAGCTGTTCTCTGGAGAGGGGTACCCCCGCCCCGAAGGCCTGAAGGACGACGAGTGGGCGCTGGTGCAGAAGATGACGGACCCGGACTGGGAGCAGCGAATCGGACTCTCCACTGCCATCGATATGCTCGAGAGATTCGCGGAGCGCGAGAAGGACGCCCACCAGGCAACGCAGGACTGTCCGAAGTGCTCCATGAGCGTTCCCGCGGGGTTCAAGTTCTGTGGCAAATGCGGCTCGCCGCTGGGAGCTGCACAGGAAAATATTGCGGCGTCGGCGTGAGAGAGGAGGTGTCGATAGTGTGTGTAATCGGAAGGGAATGGAAGTTCGTGGAGCGAAGCGAGCCTTATTGTATGCCCCGAGCGTTGCAGTGCACTGCACCTGTGTCAGGCATTCACCCACTCAATGGGTACACATCGTTTTCGTATCCATATCACAAAACAGCATAAATTGGGCGGCAAAATGGTCAAAAGGACACAGATCCCGTCAATTTTAAGTGAAAAGAAAAGTTATTGATTTACTTTTACAGGGATAGCAGTGGCCGATGCCGGTATCGTGGTCCCTTGTCACTTGCCGTCTTCCAATTGTTGACCCGGCAACTGGATCCGGTAGCTGAGTCCGATCACTCACTATCTGTCTACTTTAGACCAAAGTGCAGCCATTTCGCATTCTGAATGCTTACCCACCTACGTACCCACCCATCCGCCTGCCATCTTGCAACCAAGGTCCCTAAACTATGATCGCGCGTTTTCCGGCATAATTCGCCACTATCGGGTTGACTGCGACGCTGAATCCGTACTTGTGACTCTTCAGCCAAACGTTGAACATGTCGATTAATGTAGGCGTCGAGGTGCACACGGAGTGTGTGCATTGTGTCCCCTCTTGGTGGGCGAGCTCCACCTATTGGTATCAATCAACATTGATCTTCATCATCGTAACGTTAAAAAATATCGGGCACGATTCCGATGTTATCGACCAAACACGTTCCACCCCATGCGATCATTTCTGTAAAGTTGTAATTTGGAGGTACTGTTAAAAGGCGCTACACCAGGGTTTGAAAACTTGCCACCAATTTTCATGTTACATTATTCTTGCCTACCCCACGTTTGCACACAAATGAAGTCTACACTGTCCTCCCAGACCAAAGCTTTGCCTCTAGTTCAGAGCGCTGTTTGTGGATTCTGATCCTCCTCCACCTCTACCCATTTCCCCCTTTCTTCTAAACTCGAGTCTTAAAGCTCACGCGGTACATGTACGGGTGCACCCGCAGGCTTGGGTGCCTGGTTCTACAGCACGTTGGATTCCTTCTCGTGGCCATGAGAACGATAACGCAAGATAGGTGTTCCAGAGGGTGCCAATTCCAGGAGCTTCATCTGAAAACTGTGTAAATCATACGTGTTTTGGAAACTACATGTAATTCTGATCTTTTCTCCCACATGTACGTCAAACGATCATGATACCGCGCGCGGTATCCAATGCTCCCTCCAGCTCACTCTTGGACTCGAAGTCATAGCCTGCCATGTCAGCCGTGTGCTCGCTCGTCGCGTCCTTCGTGGTGCCGGGCGTGGGGGGTCTCATCGTGGAGGTGCTGGGCAACATCATCGAGCTGTGCCAGCAGCTCGAGGAGAACGAGGACATGTGCTCGGCCGTGCACAAGCGGCTCGTGTTCGTGAGCGAGGAGCTGGCCAAGATCTCGGACGAGGAGGCCATGCGCCAGAACCGCGTGCTGTTCATGTACGGCCAGACGATCGCCAGGTTCCTCAAGTTCCTCGAGAAGCAGGCCAAGAAGAGCTTCATCAAGCGCCTGGCCAGCAACCGCAAGGTCGTGGACGCCATCCAGCAGTTCAACGAGGACATCGACGACCTGTACAAGCTGCTGAACCTCGTGCACATGCAGGAGATGGCCAAGTGGCGCCGCGAGTGGGACGAGGAGCGCCGCAAGCAGGAGCAGATGCTGCTGAGCATCGCCGCCAACCAGCAGCGGCTCAGCGCCGACCTGCAGAGCAAAGACAGCAACCTCGTCGAGAGCCTGGCCATGCTCAAGTTCGAGATGACGCACAAGAAGGAGCAGAACTCGATGGCTACATTAGGCATGATGAAGCGCACCTTCAACAAGATCACGCGCACGTCGGGCGCCAAGGTGCCGCCGGTTCCCGAGTGGTTCATTAGTAGTGACGACGTGGACTTTGACACAAAGGAGCAGTTCGACTGCGGCTCCTACGGGTCGGTGACCAGGGGGACGTGGGGGAAGGGGGCCAAGGTCGTCATCAAGTCGCTGCTTATGGACGACGACCAGGCCAAGACGTCCTTCTTCAAGGAGGTGGAGGTCTGGCGACGGCTGGCCAACCCCCACGTGGTCGAACTCTTCGGCGCGTGCCACGTGAGCACCCCCGCGTTCTTCGTGTGCGAGGACGCCATCCACGGGAACTTTGCCGATCACTTCATGGAGGACAAGAGCGAGATCTGGAGGCTGTTCTACGAGGCCGCCGTGGGGCTGGACTACATCCACTCGCAGAAGGTGGTGCACGGCGACCTCAAGTGCAACAACATCCTCATTGGCGCGGATGACAAGGCCAAGATCTGCGACTTTGGCTTCTCGTACATCCGCAGCCAGTCCGTGGGGCTCAGCAAGAAGGCGCAGACGGACACGGTGCGCTGGAAGGCGCCCGAGTGTCTGATGCCCATGGGGGACCCGGACGCGGCCGATGCGGCGCACAACCCGCGCTTCGCCTCGGACATTTACTCCTTTGGCATGTGCATCATTGAAGCGTTCGGGGACGAGCCGCCCTACGCCCTGGACGATGACGATACGATCCTGGAGAAGCTGTTCTCTGGAGAGGGGTACCCCCGCCCCGATGGGCTGGAGGACGACGAGTGGGCGCTCGTCAAGAGGCTGACGGACCCGGACTGGGAGCAGCGCATTGCGCTCTCGGCTGCTATCACGGAGCTAAAGCTGTTCGCGGAGAGGGAAGAGCTGCGCAACAACGTGGACAAGACGGACCGAGTGTGTCCCGGTTGCAGTGCCATGGTGGGGGAGGAGTTCGACTTCTGTGGAGCGTGCGGGCACCGAGTTGCCGCATTTGCTTAAAAAACCGGTTCGGTTGTAGCAACAATTGTGAACAAAACTTTTAAGATTCTTAAAAGAATGTGCATGTATGCGAACAATTTTGTTTTTGTTTTATTGTTGCATCCGATTCGTACCTTACCTACTACGCGTAGGCTTACTATGCCGTATGGTCCAACTAACTTACATAATTCGTCATCAAAACGTTTACGCGCAATTGAAATGGAAAGTCTTGGGCGTCTGGAACATTCGTTTTTATGTTGGGCATGTACTCGGAGTCTACAGTAGAATTCTATTAGTAACGCACGCATTATCGCGTCATCGGAGATGGCTCGTTCAAATTACAGATGTAATGGATACTAATCGGTCAGAAAGTATTATATATATTGGAGGTGTAATTCGTCTGAGTGGATCCAATGCATCATATTACAATTCGCCGCCGAAGCCAGTATTGCTCAGCTTCAAGGCATGGCTTCCAAGACCAAGTCGACTTGGTCGGTGGCTCGAGTCATATTCTTGGCTGCGGTCATCGCGCTGGTATTTGCCGGTGCGAGTTCGCCGAAGAAGACCGTCCTCGGCTCAGAAACCTCGCAGTATTCGCTCAGTACCGAGCCAAGCGATGACCGAATGCATCGCCGTTTGAGAAAGCGCACAATCCGGGAGGACGACGACAATTCCGAAGACAGGGGGCTCGATAGAGTTGTCAGCTTTCTAGACAAGTTCTCCAAGAAGCCGAGCAAACAACCCGAAGTGGACAGGCTCTTTAAATGGTTCAACCTGGCCGACCACTCCAATCTGTTGGAGACCAAGCCGTTTCCAGATTGGGCCGGCTTAGTTACCGACATGTACAAGAAGAACCCTGAGGCGAGTGAGATGGTCATTGCCTCGACCTTGACAACCAAGCTCGGCGATAACTCGCTAGCGAAAATGATCATACAGGCCAAGAAAGCGACGAGTACCCAGTCTTCTCGGTCTTGGGCTGCAAAACTGGAGGAGGCACAACTGAAGAATTGGTAGAGCAAGAAAACATCGGAGGAGTATGTCTTTCGGGCTCTCAAGCTGGACGACGAGGGACACAATCTGCTGTCGAACCCGCTGTTGACCACGTGGATAAACTACGTGAAGAGGACGGAGGCGGATCCATACGCGTTGCTGCTGGCCATGATGAGGGCTCAAAACCTTGATGACCACAAGATTGCAAGTCTTCTTGCTGCAGCGAAGTGGGGGCTGCCTGGGTCGACCGTGGCGGAGAAAGTGGAGGAATTACTACTCAGCAGCTGGACGACCGAGAAAAAAAGTGCTGACGACGTCTTCAAGCTCCTGCAGCTGAAAAACGAGGGTGAAACTCTCTTCAAAGATCCTAGTTTCAGCAGATGGGTGTCTTACGTGAGGAGCATTGATGAAAAGAACGCAGATACGCACATGTATACGATACTGAGAACGGCCTACGGCGACGACGAGCTGGCGCCTATGCTTGTTGGTGCAAAGAAGTCCGGCATGGGTGACGTTGCTAAACGCGTGGAAGCGGTGCAGGAGGAGGTTTGATTTGCTGAGGGGAAAACGGCATCGGAGGCTTTTAACGCGTTGAAGCTGAACACCCAGAGCGAGAAACTGTTCGAGGCTCCAGCGTTCAGGACGTGGTACAACTTCATGTTGAATGAGGCCAAGGGAGACGAGTTGATGTTTGCCGTTCTGAAGACGAATTACGAGGAAGATGTTCTGGCCAAGATGCTGATTGCGGCCAAGAAGAGTCCCAGCACAAAACCTATTGCCGAAAAGTTTGAGTAGGCGCAGATGAAGGACTGGATCACTACTGAGAAGTCTGCAGATGACGTATTCAAGCTCCTCAAGCTGGGCGACGACATGGAGGATCTCTTGAGTAAACCTTTGCTGACTAATTAGGTCGCCCACGTGCAGAAGCTGAAGGAAGACCCGTACTCGATCTTGCTTACAAAGCTGAAGATATCCACGCTCACAGATACGGACGACAAGCTTGCCGATATGCTGATGCTCTACAAGAAAAAGGAGATTTCAAGTGTCATCGCTGGCAAGATCGAAGCTATTCAGCTCGAAAAGTGGCTGAGTGACGGGAAAACCGCGGTTGATGTCTTCAAGCTACTCAAAATTGAGAATGCAGTGGAGAACGCGGTATGGAATCCTCGAACGAGGATGTGGGTGGACTACGTGACCGAGTTGGACTCGAAGAATGCGGACGACGTCATATTCACGGTACTCAAGTCGTACTACAGCGACGAAAAGATCGGGGAAATGATCCAATTCGGATGGTACAGCAACGCTGATATAGCCGAGAGGCTCGCCAACACCGCGATAGCGAAGTGGCGGCAAGATGGCAAAACGGCGGACAACGTCTTCGACTTTTTACTGAAGGATCATCACCGATATATTTTTGAGACGCGCGACATACACACGTGGGTCTCCTACGTGACCAAGATGGACAAGGAGAGCCCTTACAAGACGATGTTTGAGGTGTTACAGAAGCGTTTTGACGAGAAGCAGCTAGGCGACATGCTTTATAAGGCGGAAAAGGTCGGTGGTACCAGAGATATTGCTGTAAAGCTGGAGCTGGAGCTGTGGCTCAGCCAAAAGAAATCCGCTACGGGTGTCTTTACTCACCTCAACCTGGCGAGCGCAGAAAACGAGTTGTTCACGAGATCGTCTCTTCCGGTTTGGATCTCGTATGTCACGAAATTGGCGAAAATGGATGAAGAGATGGCGTATGAGGAGATGCTCTCGGTGCTGACGACAATTTTCTCCAACAAAAGGCTCGAGCGAATGCAGACAGTCCCGACAGTTATCGATGGGTCGGAGAAGCTTGCAGCAAAACTGAACGCGCTGCTGTTTAATTTGGCGAAGTCGTAATGCCCACTTTGTTTAGCAACATCTGAAGCCAGCGTCCGCAGAAGAAACCGACAAACCCAATCAAGGAGCTCCGACTGTGGGAAAACTGTAGGGGAAGCTTGCCACGCGCTGAAGATGAGCATCCTGAGCGAGAAACGGGTGGAGTCCGCAGCGTTCAGGGCGTGGTACCAATACATAGTGACAGGTCATGATTGCAGTTCTGAAGGAAATTTTCAAGGAAGACGCTCCAGCGAATACAACCAGAGTACTTCACTAATAAAAAGGATTACTGTCTAGGCAGTAAGTATTTGGTAATACGTATTATAGTCGTAGCTCGAAGATAGTAATCGCACGCAAACTAAACAATTTTGTTTAAGTTGTGGATGAAAATTGGTTGAGGATGGTGCTAACAGTATTATTTCAAGATCGTACAGATCACACGAAAACCTCCTGTACACAGACGATTTCCTGGTGGTGGAGCACGAGAGACCCAGTAAGTACTGTACAGACCTCATGTTTGTTCCGGGACAAATCGTTTTGCTTCCGATCGCAGGAATATGAGCGCGTGCGCCGTTGGCTGGATTTCTCCGTTTCTAAATAATGCGATGCACTTAGTTGATTGTTTGCTTTGGTCAGCTGAAAAGAAAAGCTGCCACGTAGTGAAAGATAAAGCAAGCATCTTTACCAACACGCAAAAGAATTAGTCGTATCCCGCATCGGCAGCATTGCCACATAACCACTCTCACCCCTTCTGCTTTCCACAAATTAATGCGCCAATCACGCTTTGTAGAAGTCACACAGCTCTCTGATCGAAGTGATGACTCGCAGTTCTCTCTGACCATGATCTCCTCGTGTCAGCCACTGCTTGAATCGTATCTTTTGCAATTCGTCGATGACCTTTGCGTTGCCGCATCCTCTTGACGCTTCCGCCTTTGCCAGAGCAAGCATCTTCGCCACTTCTAAGTCCCCAAATTGCTGCTTCAGTATCGTGATGGCTAAAAGCCGCCCGCTGTGTCGCCCCGTTTGATCAGCTTCGTCTCATAGGAAACCCACGTGCTCAACTCGGGACTTTTAAGAATGCGATCCCCTTGTCTTGAGAAGCCTGAAGATATCGTCCGCCGATTGGCCCTGACTGATCCACAGCTCCTGCCTCAATCGGGTGGCGATGAGCTTCGGGTTTGCCCCTTGTTTTGATGCCGTGAAGATATTTTCCAGACTTTTGTCGCTGAAACGCTTTTTCAGAGCTGCCAGCATGACCTCGTCTGGGTTCTTGTCGCTCAGCTTCGTCGCGAAGAAGACCCACGACCAAAACGTCGAATTGTCGAGGAACTTGCCCCCTTCCTTGTTGAGACGAAGGATCGAGAACATGTCGTCTGCCGTTTTCCTTTCGCTCAACCAAAAGTCTGGTGCTGAACCCTCTCCAATTTGGTGGCGATCGAGCTCGTACTCCCCTCTTTCTTCGCCGCGGCTATCGTTGTTGAACCGCGCCGTTAAGACGAATAACGCTGCCCTCTCTGGACCGCTCGCGTCTAGCTTCGCCAGGTATGACGTCCAAGTGTTGAGCAACGGGTTCGAAAAGAAAAACCGTACTCCGGCCTTGTCCATTTTCAGCAGCTTTAAGATGGAGCCTGCCTGCATTTCCACCCTGACCTAGCCACTCATCGAGTTGTGTCCCCTCTAATTCTTCGCGATACTCCTTGTCGTGGAGTCTTCTCTCGCCATTATCAGCAGGCTGGCACGTCGTAGCGAGTGTTCAGCTTCGAAAGCAACGACTTGTACGGCTTCCTCTTCAGCTCTTTCTCGTACAGCAACCAATCGTTCAAGGCTGGCTTAGCTAGCATCTTGGCCATTGCTTCTACCGGACGCCTTCATGAGAGGCAAGGTGGCGAATGGATGGGTGTCGACATACATTACCCGGTAGAAAAGAGCCCCTAACTTCAACCGATCAGCAGTGCTCCGAGATTCTCTCTCACTTGCAGCAACGCGCTCCGCTCGAGACAAATCCGACTGACACCCCCGGCTCGACCGGTATCCTGGTATCCAACCGTCCACGACGTTGAAGTTGCCGATCCTGAAGTAGCGCGAATCACTTTTGACAGGGGGGGGAGCCCCTGTCGCTTGGTCATTCATTCCGCAAGATGCCGGGTCGGCGCAAGAACCAGCAGCAGGGCGAGCCCGTGATTGGCCGCGCGCGCCCCAGCGGCACCCGAGGCCGCGGCCAGGGGCGCGGGGACCAAGGCGCCGGCCGAGGACGCCCCGGGCAGCCGCCTCCCTCCGCCGTGGCGCCTCCCCCCGCTCCTGTCGCCCCTCCCCCGCCCGCGCGCGCCGCTCCAAGCGTCGAGTCGCTGGCCTCGGAGCTGGAGGAGAAGGCGCGCGTGCCCGACGCGACGCCGCAGCTGGTGCAGCCGCTGGTGGCCACGCGCTTCCCGCCGCGACCGGGCTTCGGCAAGGCCGGCCGGGCCGTCAAAGTGTTCGCCAACCACTTCAAGGTCAACTTCAAGTTGGCCGGCGACGTGTATCACTACGACGTGAGCATGGCCGAGGCCGGCCGCAGCTTCGGCAACGATGGCCCGCCCAAGGCGCTGGCGGGCAAGATCATGGCCGCGCTCATGGCGGAGCTGAGGCGCCAGTTCCCCGACGTGATGCTGGTCTCGGACGCGAGGAAGAACATCTACGCGCCGCGTCGCCTGCCCTTCCAGCAGCAGGAGTTCGGCGGCCTCGCGCTGCCCGAGGACGGCGGCCGCGCGCGCGAGTTCTCGGCGGTGGTGAAGGAGGCGGACCCCGTGGCCATCCGCATGCAGCAGCTGGAGGAGCTCTTCGCCGGCCGACTCAACTACACGCCGTACGACGCGCTGCAGGCGCTGGACGTGGCGCTGCGCCACTCGGCGTCGCAGCGATTCACGGTCGTGGGGCGTAACCTCTTTACCAACGCGGGCGCCAGGACGCTGGGCGAGGGCGCGGAGCTCTGGTTCGGCTACTACCAGAGCCTGCGCCCCACGCAGAGCCGCCTCGTGGTCAACCTGGACCTGGCCGCGACCGCCTTCGTGGAGGCCATGAGCGTCACTGAGTACCTGTGCGAGACGCAGTCGCTGCGCCAGATGCCCACGTCATTGGCCAAGTACCAGCACTCGTCCTTCAGCAAGGCCATCAGAGGCGTCAAGGTCAACATCACGCACCGCCCCGGCGTGAGACGCAGCTACCGCGTCAACGGCCTGTCCAAGGACAGCGCGGAGAACACGTTCTTCGAGAACGACGATGGCCAGCGCATGTCCATTGTCCAGTACTTCCAGAGGACGTACAACATCCGTCTGCGCTACCCGAAGTTGCCGTGTCTGCACGTTGGCGCCCCGCAGAAGAAGAATTACTTGCCCATGGAGGTGTGCCACATCATGGCCGGACAGAAGTGCCCGCGCAAGGTCACGGACAAGCAGGTGGCCAACATGATCAAGTTCACGTGCACGCCGCCGGACCAGCGCAAGAGCGCCATTGAGCGCAAGTTCCGCGAGGCTGGATTCAGCACGGACCCGACGCTGCGAGCGTTTGGACTGGAAGTGGACCCGCACATGGTGGAGACTACGGGCCGCCAATTGCCGCCACCGACGATCGAGTACAGCGGCGGCGCGCGCGAGAACCCGCGCGATGGCGCGTGGAACATGCGCGGCAAGAAGTTCAACGCGCCGGCGCAGTTCAAGTCGTGGGCCATCATCAGCATGTGTGACCCGAACCGGTGCAGTCTGGACAGCATCCTGGCCTTCTTCAAGGCTGTTATGAGTCAGATGGGCCAGCTTGGCATGCGCTGCCCGAGGACGCCGCCCCCGATTCTGCTGAAGAAGAACCGCAATGATTCTGTGCGCATGATGTTCCAAGCGGCAGTGACGGCGGCGACGCAGAATTTCAACGCCAAACCAGAGATCGTGTGGATGATCAACCCCGTGTCGGACGCTCGCGCGTATGGAGAGCTCAAGCTGATGTCCGACACGGAAGCGGGCATGGGCATTGTGTCGCAGTGTATGCTGTCGAAGCATATCCCGAAGTGCAACCCGCAGTACATTGCGAACATCCTGATGAAGGTGAACACGAAGCTGGGCGGCAAGAACGGAGTCATCAGCGGCCCACTGCCACAGGTGTCGGCATCGCGCACTATCATCTTCGGAGCCGACGTGACGCACCCGAGCCCGATGGACAAGACTCGTCCATCCATTGCTGCGGTCACAGCTTCAATGGACGCCAACTTTATTCGTCACGCGTCTGCGATTCGGGCGCAAGGCCACCGCGTGGAGCAGATCATGAACTTGAAGGACATGGTGATGGAGCTCATGAAGCAATTCTACCGATCGACGCGCGGCAAGCCCGACCGTATTGTGTTCTATCGCGACGGTGTGAGCGAAGGCCAGTTCCACATGGTCTTGAACTATGAAGTGACGGCTATTCGCGAGGCCTGCCAAGCGCTGGAGAAGGGGTATATGCCCCCGATTACGTTCGTCATTGTCCAGAAGCGCCACAACACGCGTCTGTTCCCAAACAACAGGAACGAAGCGGATCGCAGCGGAAACGTAAAGGCGGGCACGGTTGTGGAGTCGGGGATATGCCACCCCATTGAGAACGACTTTTACCTGATGAGTCACGCCGGACTGCAAGGCACCAGTCGCCCCACTCACTACCACGTACTGCTGGACGAAATCGGCTTCACGGCGGACGAGCTGCAGACGCTTACGTACAAGTTGTGCTACACGTTCGCTCGCTGCACGCGCTCCGTGTCGATGGTTCCGTCGGCGTACTACTCGCACCTCGTGGCCTTCCGCGCTCGATTCTTCCTGGTCGATGGCAGTGACACCGCCTCGAGCGTCTCGGGCTTCAGTGATACCGCTCCCGAGACGGATACGCGCATGTACGACGTGCACCAGTCGATGAAGGGCGCGATGTACTTCGTGTAGGTGTCGTCAGCAGTGACTAGCACCCTGGCGCCAAGCGTGAGAAGACGAAGGTGCAAGTGAGGCGCCACTCCCAGCTGATTTGATTTATGAGTCGTTATTTTCTTAATCTGCCGCCAGCGATGGAGCGTGGTGAAGTCGAGAGGCAGGAATGCATGTGTCAGGAGGCAGGAACAGAATGTGTTCGAGCTAGCGGTTGGCCTGTTAGGCCAGATCCATCCTAAGGCAAAATGAAAAAGCTTTAATGTTAGTTGCTTTTTGCCTTTAGGGTGGACGGCCCGACGCTTGATGGCTGCACTTTGAGACAGCTTCTGTCCGGAGTTGTGGTCGGCCGCGCTTCTCTTCGTCGCCATTCCTGCCTGTTCATCGCCCGACTCGCATATCGATACCGGCCGACCTGCGAATCACCGAGACCAATGCACACAATTCAATCTTCCAGCTCCGCCTGACACGCTGCGCCATCATGAGCAAGTTGGTGTCGTCGCTGCTGTGCGACTTCGTTGTTCCAGTCGTGGGTGGATCGCTCTTCGAGGCTCTGTCGGCTACAGCTACGCTGTGTGGGGAGATGAAGGAGAACGAGGCCATGTGCCGTCGAGTGTACGAGCGGCTGCGGTTCGTGTACGACGAGTTGCAGAAGTGCTCGGACGCCTCGTCGCTGCGTGAAAGTCGGGTGCTGGCCATGTACGGCAGCGCCATCGCTCAGTTCCTGAGCTTCTTGGAGAGCCATTCACGGAAGAGGCTGCTGCGGAGGTTGATCGAGAGTGCTCGTATGGCTGACCGCATCCAAGACTTCCACAAAGAGATCGACGAATTGTTCAAGGTGCTGAGCATTGTCCACATGACGGAGATGTCGGCGTGGCGCCACGAATGGGAGCAGGGCCGGACGATGCGGCGGAATATGGTCCAGGAGGCTCTGACGGAGGATCGCTGCGCACACCACGTCAGCAGCCCTTGCAGCAGTTTGGCGACGCTCAGTATCAGCACCTGCTCGCCCAGTTGCGTGAAGGGTGACGTGCGGACGTGTCGTGGTATTCAACCTGGTGGTGAGACCACCGACGACTTAGATACAGAACAAGACCATACGCTGGGCGAGAAGGACTTGGAAGATGCTATTCGCGACTACATTGGGGAAATTGGCTACGATGTCTGCAGTGTGCTGGATCTGCTGCGGTCTCTCCCGAGTTCTAGCTTGGTACTTCAAGGGGCTGCTGTGCTTCATGATCTGGAGATGGAGCTCCAGCCTGAAGTTCTCTGCTTAGCTCTACCGTCTTTCATCCAAGAACTTACTGATACGAAGGACTCTTCTACACGTGAACTGGCAGAGCGGTACTGGGTGGACTGGTTTCCAGCGTATGTCAGAACTCTGGTCCAAGGCCATGGTCTGCTGCTTGAGAATGCTTCAAACTTGGAAATACTTTATGCGCCTGGCAGTGAATTCAAACTGGACAGCGCACGGCGTCGCGTTGTTACGTGGCGTGGAGCCGCTGCCCAGTCGGTTCCGTCGGAGGACGACCTGGAAACGCAGTGGCGACTTGTCCCCGTGAACGAAACGAAAACGCTCTTCCGTGTCGTCAATTTCCGCTACCCATACGAGTGGCTGTACGCCACCTCCGTCAGCTCCACCTCCACAGATGGCAACGGCATGACGCATGCAATGATGTCTCGACCCCCTCATGGCTCGGACAACGACACGGTGTGTGCACCGGAAGCTATGTGGGAGCTGCAACCTCTTCGGGATATGGCTGGATCATTCTTGATTTACAACCCGCATACTGGTGTCTATCTTTGCTCGGCCAAGAAACAGCTCGATCCTGACAAGCGTCTAGCACTGGTCATTCCGGAAAATGATGCTGGCGTACCATCGACGATGCGTCGTTGCGCATGGCGACTGAGACCTTGTTTCGATCCAAGCGCTACTGACCCTGTCGAAGAAGGCAGAAACTCGTCCAGTACGTCAAATCCAGAGTCCAACCCACGTTTGATCCCGGAAGCAGCCCGAGAGTTCGCAGCGTTGGAGTTGGTGATCCGCAATCTCTTCGACAGTACTGGCTCCGACATTGGAGCAGTAGTGGATTTCCTCCGAAAACTACCGGAGCCCAAGCACACGCTGTTTGGGTGCTCGATCGCCCGATCCCTGGAACAAGAGCTATCCAAGACCAAGGCAGACCGGCGTGACAGCCTCGTTTTACCGTTTTTCGTCTACGCGTTGGCAACAACTCTGCCGATTGGCTCGCGGGAGCTGGCGCAACAGTACTGGTGCCATTGGTTCTCGCCTGTTCAGCAGTCGATTGTGCTCGGACGAGGCCTGCTGCTTGAAAATAAAGGAAGCCAGGTTGCGGAGTACCTCGTTTCCCCTGAGGTCAAGCTTGGCTCTGACGAGCGCCACCAGCGACCTGTTGTTACATATGCTGGGGACTGCGCGCGACGGATTCGCATTGGTGGGCGTGCAGCTAGCCGTGACTGGACACCTGGCAGCGACGACCTTGAAGCTCAGTGGCGGTTTGAACCAGTGAGCTCCAGGTACACTCAATTCCGCATTGTGAACTATCGATATCCCTACGAAGAAATGCGAGCTACGAGTCGACATCCTTCGCCAGATGATGATCTCTCGGGTTCTCGCAACTTTGTGGTGACCACGCGAGCAAGCAAAAACCATGGCACTCCTAGAAGCCCCGCGCAGTCTGCATTCTGCGGTCGTGGCCAAGTCGGTAAGAACAGCGAGGACGGCTGGAATGAAGTTGACGTGTTATCACTCTGGGAACTGCACGAAGTAGGCCAGGATTGCTACCAACTCTTCCATCCTCAGGGACAGACTGTCCTCAGCGCTAGTACAGAGAAGCTGGATAAACATCGAAGGTTCACGCTGCAGCAGAGGATCGAAGAAGATAAGAAGCGGTTTAGCTGGTGGCACTTTCAAACTCCACTGGGGCTCGATTAGCACGAACAAAAGGTGGAAAATTTTACGAATTGAAGTGTAGTGCCCGTGTCGTTAGTGCTGAAATGGTGGCACCAGTGATCAGTAGTGGGTCATGGAACATTACGCCGGCAGATTTTACTAGTAGTTCGGACCAGCGTCTCATCATTCGTTGAAAATCTATGTCACACACCATCATGTTCGCTTAAGTACGCCAGAAATTCTACCTCCTTCTTCCTCATACCAGAATCTGCCAGCTCGAGGAAAGATGGTGAAGCTCTTCTGCGCGATCGTTGGTGCGGCGGGCAGTGCGTTTCCTGTGGACATTGACGCGGGTCAGTCGGTGGGAGACCTGAAGAAGGCGATCAAGGCGGAGAATCCAGCGACTATCACGTGCGACGCCAAGGACCTGCAGCTTTCCCTGGCGAAGACGGCGGACGGCGCGTGGCTCTCATCGAAGGACCCTGATGTGATTTCTATGCGAAGTGGAGGCATTCCTGAATAAGTGAAGACACTGCTGAACGTGGAAATGGACCCAGCAGATGAGATTGGCGACGTGTTTGAAGGTGCTCCAACGAAGAAGACGATTCACGTGCTGGTGGTTGCAGATCGGGAGTGCCTTGAAGTCCAGGACGCTGAAATTGCACCGCACCCGAGTCGCAAGAGACGATGGGACAAGTTGAACGAGGTTCTTGATAAGAACAAGAAAGCGAAGAAGGGTGCCGGCTCCGCGGGTTTCTCGTACGTGTCGTTCCCGGAGATTGACAGCATCATGCCAGCGACCAAGTATCGACCATCGTCAAAGCTTATCCCTGACGAAAAGCTTGATGCGCTGCATAGATACTTTCCTATCTTGATCAAGGCTTTTGGAGATATCATTACTGGCAAAGAAGCAAAGCGACTGCACTTCATCGTGCCCGTGCTTGCAAGTGTCTGTGCGCTGTTCGATGGAGGCGTCCAAATCCTGGCCGAAGAAACCGTGATTGGGAAACGTGTTCACGGAGACGTAGCCTTTGAGTTCGTGCTTAAGCGCGGCGAGAAACGAGTTTGCATTGTGGAAGCGAAACGTGACGATATCCAGCAGGGTCTTGCTCAAGCTTACGTGGGAAGTGAAGCACTTGCGGATGTAGAAGGACTGCCGAAAGTGTACAGCATTGTCACGAACTTCTTGGAATGGGTCTTCTCGAGAAGTCTGGATGAAAAAATTGAGCGTGCGACACCCGTGATGATGGTGATGGAGAATGACGTTCCTGCACCTGAATCAGTGAAGCAGATTGCGGGCATGATTTACTCCATCCTGTCGGAAGACAACTAGCTACGTGCGTGCTTGGACCCAGCAGTATTACAGGACCGGATAGCTTCATTTTGACGTGGCGGTCCGTCGACAGTACTTTAAACTTATAATACACGATTCTGCCAATTCTCTGCTTCACCATTAATACTTGGTTTAGCTGGCAAGGAACATCGGCGATGTCACAAGGGGCAGTGACATTTTTTTCATCCTAATAAATATAAAGTTAGTAATATACAATGATGGCATACTCTCCTGAGCAATACCAAGCTAGCAAGGAACGTATCAAAGCAGCGCACACGCGAAGCTCGTTTATCTTATCAAAAAGACTACAACGACAAGAATAGAGAGCAGATGCGAGCTCGCAAGCGAAAGCCCAAAACCGAACTTATTGATGGCAAAACCGAACCTAACAACGAAACCGAACTTAATTAATTAATTAATTTTTTTCTCAAAAAGTCAATCCCAATATAGTCAGACAATGGCTTAAAACCTCCAAAAAGGTATAAGCCTAATATATGAATTAATTAATTTCAGAATATTTTGTAAATGACTAAGATATAAAGTCGATCCTGATACAAGGTCAAATAATTATAAAGTCATATCTACGGAGAATAATATAGTCAAGCATATATAGGCAACATGTTTGCATACGAACTCGAAGGATTAAAGAGATTAAATATTCAACCCATTCGATGGGGTAGTAGCTACCGTATTAAGGTACGTGGCAAGACGGGGCGCATGGTATACATTAGCAACATTTCCCACCCCACCAACCAAAAATTGGTAGCGAAGCAGTACCAGATCAGTCTAGGCAAGCTCCAAAAGAATGTGGCTGCTGATTTCAAGGAAGACAGTAAGTACCGCTTCTACCAAGGCAAGAACATGGAGTCGCACCTCTACGAGGGAATTCAGCCTGCTGAGTTCTACGACAAGCTCGAGAACGTGCTCGCAACCCAGAAGTCTGCCTTCAAGGTCAACATCGCTCTTGGATACAAGCTTGTCAGCAGAACTGATGACAGCGAGACTCGCTACTTCCACCCGAATATTAGCAACACGTCTGTATTTAGCACTCCTGTAGCTATCAACAGCAAGGCTGATATTCGTAAGGTGATCTCGGAGATTCGCTCCATGGAGTTGGCTGACAAGCTCAACTACCCCAGCTCCGGGTACATGGTGAAGGGGATTACTGGCTTCAAAATCTATATCTACCAACGCGACCATGCTCTGGGTGATAGCGAGGCTGTCATTCCTAAGGCGATTCGTGATAACAAGCACGTCATCAACTTCCCCAAGACGAACAACAAGTGTGTCTTCCACTGCATTGCTTATCACAAGCAGGAGGGAGCCAAGAAGGATCCTCGCAGAATCCAGGCTCTGGTGAAACAAGCCTTCAAGCAGTACTGTTCGTACAAGGAGATCACCTACACTCTGGGTCTGTTCCGCAATTTTAAGCCTATCGACATTCTCCAATTCGATGAGCTTGAGGAGTGCTTCAAGCTGAACATCAACGTCTTCAACATGGATGTTGAGACGGGCAAGGTTGAATGCATTCGCTGCTCGGACAAGGACTATGATTCGATCAACATCCTGTCGCACGAGAATCACGCTCTCTACATCACGAACGTTGATATGCTCCAGCAGAAGTACCAATGCTCTACGTGTGAGATGGTGTTTGTTAGCTCTGATAAGCTACGTAACCACAGTAAGAACCAATGCGAACTCGTGAACATCGAATCGTTCCCAGCTCAGCCAACCATTTACCAACCCGCTCCGAACAGCATTCGTTACATGCTGACTAAGTACTCCATCAAGGATGCTGACCATTACATCGATCACTTCATTGTCTATGATTTTGAGGATATCCTCAAGCCTACGGGTGTCAAAAACGGAGAGAATACTATCTTCACAAACGAACACATTCCTGTGTTTGTTTCCGCGGCCGACAGCTTGACTGAGGAGGTGCGATGCTTTGTCAGTGATGACCCGAAGGAGTTGCTCAAGGATATGTTTCAGTACATCAAGGAAGTTGCGGCTAAGATTCAGTAGTACAACGTCACGAAGTACGAGTCTTTGCTCCGCAAAATCATCAACGTCCATGGTTTGACTGACGCTGAGGTTCCTGGTCTAGACTTGGGTAAGACGTACAAGATGGATGATGTCAATGCTTGGATTCAGAACGGGGAGTTTGCTTGTTTCTTCGATTTCCACAGCAAGCTCACATTCGGTAAGAAGCGCTCGGATTATGGCAAGCTGAAGCAGTGCATTGGTCAGGTACCAGTATTCGGATTTAACTCTGGACGCTACGACATCAACCTTATCAAGGCGGACCTGTTTGCAGTCATCGGTACTGACAACATCACATCAGTCATCAAGAACCCTAGCTACATGTGCATCGCCACGTCAGACATGAAAATGCTTGACATTAGCAACTATGTTCCGGCAGGCAGCAGCTATGCAAAGTACTTGTCGACATATCTCGGTGAGTGCAAGTGTGATGACAAGATTCGATGCGTCTGTGGCCTAGGAAAAGGCATCTTCCCGTACGAGTACATTACTTCATTTGACGTACTCAGTCAGCCGGAAGTCCCTCCTAAGTCGGCGTTCGACAGTGATCTTCGTAGCACTAGTATCAGCGATGAGGACTATGTGCGGGTACAGTTCGTCTGGGAACACTATGGCATGAAGTGGATCAAGGATCTACTCATTTGTTACAACAACCTCGATGTAGTACCCTTCATCAAGGCCATCAAAGCCCAGCGAGAACTATTCAAACGTTTCGAACTTGATATGTTCACTGATGGTGTGTCGCTACCTGGTCTCTCTGAGAAAGTCATGTATCAGACGTGCTTCAACAACCTCCAGCAACCAAGTAAGGAGCCTGCTGAAGCGTTTGACTTTCCCGCTAGTCGCTTAAGTGGATATAAGACCCAGGATGCTGATGCCGATCGTGAATTCAATATGACGCTACAACACCTCAACGACTTGCTAGAGCGACAAAAGTACCTGTGTGGGCTATGCTACAAGCAACTCACAGCTGATACTGCCTCGGCTGACCGAATCAATAACAAGCTCGGACACATCGATGGTAATATCTTGATCAGCTGTGTGGGATGCAACGTTGCTCGCAAGAACATGTCGCTAAAGGGCTTCCGCCGCAAGAAGCTATTTGAATTCAACTCAGACAGGTTGGTGTACACTATCGATAGAGAGGAGAAGGACATCTACACCAAGATGAAGGCGAACATTGCTGGTGGTCCTTCTATCATCTTCAACAGATACGCGAAACGCAACGAGACCAAGATTCGAGGGGGTAGGATCTGCAAAAAGATCATCGGCTACGATGCTAATGCTCTGTATTTGTGGGCTCTTGGTAATGAGATGCCATGTGGACGGTTGACTACCATCGAAGCATACACAGGGATCGTCGATGATATTGTAAATGACAAGATCTTTGGCTTCCTCGAGTGTGATATCCGTACACCAGAGCACCTCAAACCCTACTTCAGTGAAATGACCCCAATTTTCAAGAACACCCTTATCGACTGCAGCGATCGGAGTGTCATCGGTCAGCACATGTTCGAGTACAACGAGGAGCGCAAGCAAAGCCGAGCAAAGCCGGCTCGCAAACTCATCGGGAGCTACTTTGGTGAGAAGATCCTCATTTATGCACCGCTACTCAAATGGTACATTTCTCATGGTATGGAGATCACCAAGACTTACAGCTTCATCAAGGCTAGCTCTCACAAGGCATTTGCACCATTAATGGAAGCCGTATCGAGCGCGCGACGAGAGGGTGATGAAAATGTTAAATCCATCTGTAAGATCATTATTGAGAAGGTATCTGACTCTGATATGGATGATTTAGTCCAAGAGTTGAAAAAAATCATTACGAACCCTAAATCATTTGATGCGCTCATTATCGATAGGTTCATGAATGAATCGACAACCAATCCTAAGATTCATTTGGTTCTAGACTTGTTGACTAAGCTGAAAACGCTTAGTGAGGGTAGCAATAATAAGGCTATGATTGCTGAGATGATGAAACTGGTTGGTAATAGTGCGTTTGGTCGATCTGGCATGGACATGAGCAAGCACAAGGAGGTCAGGTATGAGCCGGACGATATGGCAATCAAGGCCAAGATTGAGTACTTCACCTTCCATGGACTGGAAGAGCTGAATGATTCATGTGAATTCACTATGAAGAAGCGAAAGCTCAACAATAAGAACCCAATTCATCTATCGATTGCAATCTATCAGCTCGCTAAGCTCCGTATGTTGCAATTCTACTATGATTGCATTGACTTCTACTTCGACCGTTCGGAATTCCAGTACCAAGAAATGGACACAGACTCGGCTTATATTGCGTTCAGCTGTGAGAAGCCATTCGTTGAGTGTATCAAGCCCGAGCTTCGTGAGCATTTTCAGCAGCATAAGTACGAGTGGTTCCCACGTGATTATAGCGAAGAGATGGCTCAGTTTGATCGCCGAACGCCAGGTTTGTTCAATGATGAGTGGTCTGGTGATGCTATGGTATCATTGTCCTCTAAGAACTACATTTGCTACCTACCAGACGAATCTTACAAGGTCAAGGTTTCAGCGAAGGGAGTCCAGCAGAGTGGTGGCCGCAATGGCGACGTCCTCAACCCAGATGGCTTTGAATCAGTTGTTCGCGACCGCATCACGCTACAGGGCACTAACAAGGGGTTTAGACGCAGTAAGGAGAGTAAGTCAATCATTACGTACACCCAGACTAAAACAGCTCTAAACTACTATTATGACAAGCGTCGTGTACTTGCGGATGGTATCACCACCGAACCGCTCGACATATAAGCAACTACCTGGCAGGGGATTTTTTTGTTTTATAACCATATAGAGCGATGGATCAGCTGTTGTCCAAATTATACTATGCCCCCAAAACGGGCTATGTGGGTGCCCAAGCCTTATACCAGAAGGCTAAAGAACTGGAGCCGAAGATTACGATGAAAATCGTCAAGGAATGGTACTCAAACCAGAGCGATATTCAGCGATTTCAGGAGCAGAAGAAGCGATACGATGGGTTCAAAATCGCATCGACTAACCCCAATTCGTGACAGATGGACTTGGCGTTTTGGGAGAAAAGACCAATCTTGACTGCGATCAACATCAACTCTCGCCTAGGCTACGCAAAATTGCTAACCAACAAAACTGGCCCGACCGTACTAGCAGCAATTAGGGTTTTTGTCCGCCTCCATAAGGTTGACATTCTCACAACCGATAATGGTTCAGAATTCATGAACCAACAGGCTCAGAAATTATTCAAAACTAAGAAAATTGACCATTTCAACAATGAGCCTGGAGATCACGCCAAAATGGGTAAAATTGAACGCTTCAATAGAACTCTGAAGCAGCGCCTTGTCAAAATCAAACCAAAGCGACTAACCCAGAAGCTCATAGCTGCTGTTATTGAGAACTACAATAGCACGACCCATCGGACGATTGGTATGACCCCCAACGAAGCTAAAGGTAAGGTAATTGAATCTGAACTAGTCCACAACCAGGCTGAAGCCGAGAGGATTGAAAACGAGTTCGAGGTCGGTGAAAAGGTTTTGTATCGACTAAAAAAGAAAACATTTGATAAAGAAGCAGCAAGATGGTCTAAGGCTACCCGTGCTGGAACAAAGGCACGTTAAACGTATACCGTTTAGGTGGGCGCCCGATAACGCGCTGCCTAGGCGAAGGACCGCACTGGCCTGATAACCGCCGTGCACAAGACCCCCTGTAGGCCCGATAACGCCACACAAGCCCCAGGAAACGCCGGCCCGATAACGCCGCACGCCCGACGGGAACGCCGAGGAAACGCCGGCCCGATAACGCCGCACGCCCAAGGCTCGACGCCCTACGACAAGGAACAAGCGTCAACACAAGAACCCCCAACTCCGAAGCCTGCGAAGACTTGGGCCTGTATTTCGAAGATACGCTACTCCAACAACCGGGAATAATTTGCTCGGCGCGACCGCTATCCAGACGCGCCGAGTTTGTGCGAGATCGCATTCGTGAGATTTCTGCGAGGGCGCTACTCCACAATGGTGCCGCGACCCGGGAGTACTACTTCGAATGACGGGCCAACGATCGAAGAGGCATCGGAGGCAGGTGCGCAGTCGGCTGGAAGGTCGCCAACCGCAAGAGAGCACAGTGAGAGACCTGTCGCGTCGTGGAGCTCTGAGGGAACCTTCACGACAGGCCACGGGGCCAGCGACGACCTGGAGGGCTACGAAGAACAGTTTGCCGTTCCCGATTCGGCTCCCGACGAGGGAGCCGCGAAGGGCCGCGACGTAAGTCGCGGTCCTACTGGTCGGAAGCCTGCGAAGGCCGACAACCAACAACAACCCACCGCCAAGGCCGCCGCCAAGCGCAAGTTGCCCAAGAGGAGGAAGAAGAAGAAGCTGCGCGCGCCGGACTCGGCGGAAGCGTCGCTGTCCAAGCCGCAAGGCAAGGACGCGGGGCGCCAGTACACCGTCGAAGAGGTGCGGTACGTCGTGGCGCGCACTGAGCTCTTCCGGCTGCTGGAGCAAGACCCGATCTTGGTCTTCCTCAAGCCCATGCTGATGAGCAACTTCACGGGCCCCTTCGTCGCGCCGGGCTTCGATAGTCTCACCAGCGTCGCCCACGCCGCGCCGATTCTCTTCCAGATGCTGCGTGATTCGGGATTCGTGCTGGGATCTTTCGAGATGGAGAAGCTGTGCGACTGGGACCTCAAGTCCTGGTTGCGCGCGATTCGCGTCGTGCGGGAGCCCTTGACGATTCTCGCCGGATCCGTCAAACAAGTCGCGACGAGTTCCGCGACGGGCTCAGCCCAGACCTCGACGACCACGCCCTCGCCGCCACCTCGATACCAATCGAGTGTGGACTTCAATAGCAGCTTCGAGTCGCGCAAGCGCAAGTCTCCGGAGAAGCGCTGCGCGCCGGATTCAGCGGATGGACCGCCGGTCAAGGCGAGAGGCGATGACACGGGGAATCAGTTCACCGCGGCAGAGATGAGGTATATGCTTGCTGGAGTGGAGCTGATCCGGCTGCTGGAGCACGATCCGATCCTGCGTTTCATCAAGCCCAACGCGATCAAGTTCACGGGTCCTTTCCGGGTGCCGGACTTTGACATGCTCACGAACGTCACGCGAGCCGCAGGGACACTCTTCGAGATGTTGCACGAATCAGGCTTCAGCTTGGGCATCACCGAGAGGACGGGAGTGTATGACTGGGACGTCGAGTCGTGGACACATACGATCCACGGCGTCTTGGGACCCTTGACGGTCCTGGTCGGATCCATCCAACGCAAGGTGACTCCGCCTGGGACGCGCCCAATCTCAACGCAGATGATAACTTCGCCCCAGGCTGAGTCGAGCGTGGATTCCACGTCGAGGTCCAAACCCCGACGCGACGTAGATGACGAACCCGCCGACTTGTTTGACGTGGACTTCGGGATGTCGAAAACCACGGCCGCGACCTCAACCACGACTTCACCGGAACTGGACGAGGTTTTCAACCATCTGAGCGAGCCGCCGCGCGCTACGCCCCGTGAGGTCACGCCAGCGCGTATCAAGGTTCTGCCGGATCTGAAGGAAACAATTCCTAAGGCGCTGGAAGAGGCGAGTACGCGCTCTACGACAACTCAGGCATCGAATACCCATGTCTCTGCGGTTCATGTCGAGCCAAGAAACTCGACGCGAAAAAACTCGACGCAGAAAATGTCGACGCGGGACGCGTCGAAGGAGATGCGCCAGCAAGGACTTGGTAATCACGCCGTGATGTCCGTCGCAGTGCCGGTTGCGACGACATCCAGGCGACCGTTGGGCACGGCGCGGGCCTCTACGACTCCCGAGCAATCGCGCTACGACGCACGAGTGCGGCCGGTCTCACTCGACGCGCTTAAGCGACTCGACCCAGGGCAAACACTCGACGTCCGCCTGCGCTCTAGCCGAGATGCACCGCGCCTGTGGGTCACGCGCAGCAAAACGTGGGTTACAACCATGTTTAAGACTAAGATCGAGCGACAAACATACCTGCGGGTGACCAACGTCACGGACGAGACAATAATGCTCGACGCAGGCACGAACGTGGGTTGGTGGACACCCTCCGATCTGTTTCCGCCTGCGCCCCGCTTCGTGCTGGCGACTAATCGACAGTACCAAGATTGGCAAAACCTTGCGTATGAAGTGACCTGCGACGAGGACGAGACCTGGCGTGACGACGAGCTCGTCTGGCCCATGTATGGATGGCCGACCTACGAAGATCTGGAATTCGACGCGCGTCGAGGTGAGCTAGAGAAAGAAGTTCACGCGGATAGGAAGCCCACATCGTACCCAGTAGTCGCTGTGAAGTCACCAACAGCGGGGCTGACCCGTGCGCCAGCGGTGGAGACGTCGTCGGTCAGCAAGTTGCAGATGCGTGACCACTCGACGCTGTCGCGCGTGGTGTTGAAGACACGGGTCGACGTAGTAACGACGTACACCGACTTCGAACATGTGACGCACTACACGTACAACCGCGTTACGGCGTACGTCGAGGCGGGAACACGGGGCCCGACGCACTTGTTGGATGCGTACGACGAGATCAAGAAGACAGCGCGACGAATAACTCGTCGCAGATCCGGTGCGCGGAGACGATGCACCGCCGAGAGGTCACCGGGGAATCGGATCCTGGGGAACGCGGTCAACGCTCCGCGGCGGCCGGTTGCACTGGCGCGATGCACAGGGCGAAGGACGGTGCCGACTCAGCGAAGACTCAGGTGGGGGTCACCCAGCCTACTACAGCGCAGACCACGTCGAGCCCGAGCGCGGCGAGGGTGCCAGACCCACGTTGCACGACGGACAGTCGCGCTGACGCGAGACGCGGGACGAGCGACGGTGACGCCAGCGCAGCAGGGGCAGGGGTGTTTGTCATACAGCCGGCGGATCACTCGCGAGAAGACATCCGACCCCGGACGTTAGATCTAGAAACAGCGTCACCTGTCAACCTCGTCGCGGAAGATTGCGACGCAAAAAAACTCGACGTGGAAAATCTCGACGCGGAACGCGACGCGAAAAATCGCGACGAGGGAAACTGCGACGAGGCCAACCCTGTCGTCAACGTGCCGGAACGAGGCCAACCCTGTCGTCAACGCGCCGGAACGAGACCCGCCGACGCCGGAGAACATGGATTTGGGGCGCGGGACGGCATACGTCCTCGTGGTGACGATGCACTCGGCTTCTACACGCGCGACGAACCCCAGAGGCAGAGCTCCAGGTGTCCTACAAGAGCTGGCTGCTCAGAACCCGTCGAGCCTGGTCAAGACCCCTCCCAGAGCGGCTAAATGCGCAGAGAGTCATGGCCCGGGTATTTTACGGGGCGCGGTGTGCTGGACGAAGACGCGTCTTGCGTCGGATCTGGTTGTGCATTCAAGTTTTTCGGTGGCGTGTGGGTCGCAACGAGAAACACGTCACGCGACGGTGCCCAGTCAAAGCGCCTAGGGCTATGCGTTCGACAGCACCGCCGACTCGCGCAGGTGAACGCGCTAGAAGTCGACCAAGGTGTACACGTCGCAGATCGGACTCGGGGCGGAGTCGCGACGACGGACACGGCTGAAGTCAATTTGCCGATACGGTATTGCTTGGATTGCGACAGCCCCGGTCTCCCCCACGAGCTTAAGCGCATGTCCGACGCACTGGCAGGATGCGAGGTACAACGTCATGAGTGCAACGCGACGGGAAACTCGTCGCAGACCAGGTGCGCAGAGACGCTACACCACCGAGAGGAGATCGTCAGGAAACCAGATTCCACGAAACACGGTCAATGTCGTGCGACGGACAGTCACGCTGAAGCGAGACGCGGGGCGATGGGAAGTGCCCTCGACGGGGCGAGAGCGCAGGGGGGTGGCAACGAGCCTGCTGCAACGAGGAACGCGTCGAGCCCGATCAGGAGGCCTGTTGCAGTGTCGAAATACGTGGAGGGTCCAACGTCAGTACAGCCCTTAGAGTGCGACGACGCGATAAACAGAAACCCACCTTGCGTCGAGGCTGATAGGGAATTCGAGGTTGCGAGGAGCGTGTCGGACGCCGCGAGTGACTCGTCGCGCGACGGAACAGAGTCGACGCGCCGAGGGATATGCATCCTTCTGAACTGCCGACTCGCGCAGGTGAACGTGCTAGTAGTCGGCCAAGCCGGGGACGACGCAAATCGGACCCGGGGCGACGTCGCGGCGATGAACAGGGCTGGAGTGAATTCGTTGATGTCATATTGCTGGGATCGCGGCAGAATGGGATTTGCCTACGGGCTAGAGCTCATGCTGGACGCTGTGCCGCGAGACGCCCCGTGTGTGAGCACGTACGCTGTACGTCTTGAGACGGGCTGCACGCCTTGTCAATTTTCGGTCAAGGACGTTTTCAAGTTGAGGCCTGTGTGCGCTATGATCAATGGGACGATCCCGTCGAACGAGCCCGCCGACTGCCGCGACGAGATGCCGCTAGAAGTGAGCCGGGACACTAGCACTGTAAAGAGTGACGGCGTTGCGTACTCGAAGGTCAGGGACAAGCACGCCGAGACGGTTCGCGTCGTGGTAGACTTGGCGCTCTCCTTTCGGTTCGCGCGCGACCGAGATCCGCGGTGTACGTCAAGGGCGATAATCGCCGTCGGAAAACTACCGCACCAGTGCGCCGAGCCCAAGCGACGGACGCTACAGATCTGACCGCGTGCGCAGATGCGGCGCGTCAGGTTGTGCACCAAAGCGCAAGGCAGGCCAAACGAATCGCGTCGCGAGACGAGTAACTCGCTTTACCAACTGTCTTTCAACTTCCGCACCTCCAAGCAAAACCCCGTTGAAGAGTTTCTGTCACACGCCGCGACGTGTTTGGCGGTGTCAACGAACGGACCGTTTGACTCCACCGATACGTGTTTACTGGAGCACAGCCTGACACTCGCTCTGGACGAGGATGCTTCCGAAGGGGAGAAGTCCTTGGAGCTGCATGCCGGTCGGGCTTCCCGACCTGGCTGCGCGCGCCGCGAGTCCGACGTGACCTAGAGAGGCTGTACCGACGAACTGGATCTCAACTGCGGAAAGTGGCGGTGCGACTTCTCGCGACAGCACGCTGGTCGTTACCGTCTTGCGGCGATTTCGCGCGAGGACGTGGGGCGGCTGAGCCGAGCCCTGGTGGGTGAGCGCCTTTAGTGGCGCGGTGGAAGTTGGCAGGGTGGCTGCCGACAGGTGGATAGGCGGAGAGCCTCGACTCTGGGAATGGCCGGAGCGAGGGGTTGGATGAGGAAAGTGTGGAGGACCAGCCTGTTGCTGAAGATGAGATCTCATAAAAGATGTGAAGAAGTGGAAAGAAACGAAGGAAAAGAGCAAGACCTACGTGTTGGAGTTACGGCTACAGCGACTACGAGCAACGACAACGTGTGGCACTAGGGCCCCTCAATGGGGTCCATGTCAGTGAACGCGACGAGGGACGTCGCCACTTGGTCTGAGGGCGGCGCGTTTGGGCGTCGCTGTCCGAGGCCTCGGACTGGAACTGCGCTGTGACCTGGCGCGTTCGATCGACAGCAGCAGCCGAGACGAAGGCGAAGACGATGGAGTCGAGACCGAACTGGGAGGCCTGCACCCGTGACGCGTTGATTCCTTGGCTCCGCTGTACCGCGGTCGGCGGACACCCGCTGAAGCTGGCGGCGGAGTAGACGCCGGACCTGGACGAAGCGTCGGACCTGGACGGTGCGTCGGAGCCCGATGAGTATCCGCGGTTAACGAGGTCTTAGCCTCAGGACCGGAAACGGGGGCGGCAGAACCCACGCTGACACCCGTACTCGACGTAGTGGAGGCGAGACAGGAGCAGCGGGGGCCGCCGCTCGGCTTGACTCCACAGGCCACAGCGTTTATCTCCACCGCGACGGAAGCTTCACGTCGACGGATCATGTCGTAGGTGTCAATGTGCCCGCCTACGGACGTGACGACACCGGCAAGATGTTCTCGAAGTCCATCGCGCACGTGCTACGCCGTCTACCAACCTCGACGCGCTTCCCGAAGCACCCGTCCTCAAACCGCGTCATGCTCGTCGCGGTCCTGGATGGCCACGTCGTGCTCGTCCTCCAGCTCGATTACGTGAGCGCTGGAACGGTGGACTTGAGCGCTCGCGGCATCTCGCCGCTACCCCCACACGCGACGTATTCCCAGCTGCGCGAGACGTGGCCTGAAACTCGCCGATTCCTCCAAGTCGCGGATACGCGTCGCGCCCCGCCGGAGTTCTTTGGTGTGGGTCACAAGGAACGCGTTATTGCGCCGAAGGTCTACTAACAGCGGCTCGTTAAACGCTGCGCCGACTCGGCTTCCGCACGGCTCTGCGTGGGCGCATTACGGATAAGAATGAGATGCCCAACAAGGGTAGTGCGTCGCCGTCCGAGCGCGACGGACCTGGTCTCTCTCGGTGACGGCGGTGTTGCACTCCTTTTTGGAGAGCCGAAGCTTGACGCACGTGGTCCCTCGCGATGCTGGAAGCGTCGTGCGCTTGCTCGACGACCGCCAGGGCTTGATGCGCGCGGTCTCGCTCGGCAAAAGCTCGCCGCGTTGCTGCTCTGCAGCTACGAAGGATTGCTGCGCTTGATCGCATTCCGCCACGGTAGCGCCGAGTCGCGATTGGACCGGGGGGAGGCAGCTTGGGCTACCGCGAGCTGATCGGACGGATCAGGGAGGCGAGACCGATGTGCACTGGTTGCATAGACGACGATGTCAGCGCAGCCTCGAGGTTGCCCGTGTCGGGCCCGCTCTCCTCGACGCAGAAGTCCTCAGCGCGAACCATGATGCTTGAATGGCAACGAAGCGGACGGAGACGACAAAGAATTCGACGAATCGAGATGCGGCCAACACGCGGGGCAGGTTCTGCAACGACACACCCACCTGGGGAGTGCGCGTGCGTGGCAGCGGGACGGATGTGGTGTAGTGCCCAGCGAGGAAGCGGGCACGTCGGCGTCGGTGAAAGAAGGCGCCGAGACGAATGCTGATGGATGCGGATGATGAACTCGACGCAGTTGATGAAACGCGACGCGATTGATGGGGGCGACGCGCGGGAGAGGTCGACGGAAAGTCGACGCGGGTGATGGGCCGCGAGACACAGCGACAGAGTCCAACTCGACGCGTAATCATCCGACAAGTCGACCAGCGCCCCGTCTCTGCAAAACGTGTCGACCCTAAACCCCGCCGAGCAAAACGCGCCGACCCTAACCCCCGCCGACCAAAACGCGCCGAGGTAAGATCTTGATTGCACCACGCAAACCAGGTTGAAGGACGGCAGTGCAAGCACGACAGAAGTAGGGATAGGCCCAGAGCGGTAGGCTTAGCAAGCAGTAGTACAGAGTAGCCAGTAGCTAGGGCATAGGATAGGGTAAGGACTCAGTCCCGAAATTTCTCTGAACCACAAAGACCTCCCGTCTTCTCCGAGGTTCCAGGGGAACCACCAAGCGCCGGCAAGTAGAGCCGCCTCGATATCGCGGCCCCCCCGTCGTTTGTTGGTTCGGGTGCTCACCTCCCACAGACCCGTGCTGGAACAAAGGCACGTTAAACGTATACCGTTTAGGTGGGCGCCCGATAACGCGCTGCCTAGGCGAAGGACCGCACTGGCCTGATAACCGCCGTGCACAAGTCCCCCTGTAGGCCCGATAACGCCACACAAGCCCCAGGAAACGCCGGCCCGATAACGCCGCACGCCCAAGGCTCGACGCCCTACGACAAGGAACAAGCGTCAACACAAGAACCCCCAACTCCGAAGCCTGCGAAGACTTGGGCCTGTATTTCGAAGATACGCTACTCCAACAACCGGGAATAATTTGCTCGGCGCGACCGCTATCCAGACGCGCCGAGTTTGTGCGAGATCGCATTCGTGAGATTTCTGCGAGGGCGCTACTCCAGAACACCGTGGACCCACACGGATGTCGTCCACGTCTTGACTGGTCATCATGGCGTGGCAGCTCACGGGTGACACCGTGGACCAAGCTGGCTGTCTGCGTCGCTGGGATGGGGCGGCGTATTGCGGCGGTTTAATACCGTCAGCCGGAAGGCGGGGCCTGTGGGGGGTCCACGGTGGACTACATGTCCACCATGTGGAGCCGTTTCCCATTAGAAACCAGCCCACAGGTGACGCCGTGGTCCCAACAGGACGTCGGTGCCTTCATGACATGCGTGCGGCTCTGGCAGGTCACCAGGTCGTTGGGTGTGTTTCGCGCAGCCCATCCTCAGCACCGTAGTGACGAGCGGGATTCGGCTGAGTGTCAATGTGGCCTGCACCACACGTAGCAGGCCTGCGACGTGGATGGGAATATCGGTAAACTTCATGGCGCGGCGGGACGGAGAAAACGCAGTGGAGAAACAGCTATACGGAGCGCCTTGGGGGAACAACAGCGCTGTTGGAGCGATCAAGATGGCCTGCAACATATACGGCAGCAAGGAACGCAGATCTGCTTGGACAAGTGCAGTGGAGAGGGCTTCGGTTCTCGGAGGGAAGGCGATGCCGTTCGGGGGCACAGGGACCGTGACGCTGTCCACGGGGAAAGTAGACAGAAGTTGCCTGGGCCGTTTCAACCATGCAGCGGGCTGATGAGATGTGTAGGCTCAGAAGCGACGGTGATGTCTAGCTCGTTCCTTTAGCAGGTAGACGTTGCTTATACAATCCTCAAATACAAACTGAAAAACTGTCGTATTTAACGAGGTTGGACAAGACCGACCCAGATCAGTTGATGTATTGTGCTTTTCAGTTGTTTTGGCGAATCGGACGTGTAAAACAGCTACCTACTAAGATGGGGCTAGGTTATCGGAGCAGATTAGCAGGTCCCTAGTAGGGAATTAGGACCAAGAATTGCTAGTCCGATGGAAGCACTTGCGCAGGTCCTACAAACAGCCGAAAGCCCGAATGTCGCCCATTTTCACGGCATTCGGGGTTTGAGGTCTTACGAAGGACTCCTGCCAAGACTTGTGGCAGGACTTTCATACGAGCTGACTCTAATACGGCGTATGTCAAACGCAGAAAAAACTTAGGGAAACACGATGCAGTCGATACGTTAAACACTCCAGTCTTCGCCCTTCGCCTTCGCGTGTTCCGGCATTGCTTGCTTCCCTAAACAAAGCTTGGTTGGCTTGGACTCCAACCGGAGTCCATTGAACGGAGAGACTCCGGGAGACCGCTCATCGGACTCGTCCGAGATTTGCATCTCAGATTTAGAGACCGCCAACCTCAGATTAACTGACCTGTAAAGTCCTACGTAGGACTCGGCAAAATGACCGAAAGGCACAATACGTGACTTTGAAAGCGCAGTACGGCGACGACGGCGTACAAGAAATGATTGCCGACGCAAAGAAAAACGCATCCACGACGTCTACAACAACAACCGAAAAGTCCCCGATGACATCAGAAAGGTGGCAATGCTGTCCCATGATCTGGACAGTACGAATGCCGTTGTAGCGCGTTTGAGGGAAGAGGTTTGGAGGAGCGAGGGGAAAACTGGCGATGATATTTTCAAGATGCTGAAGCTCGGTGAGGATCTGGAGAGCCCATATCTCTACGATCTTGTACGTAACCCGGCGTTGGGTGCATGGGCGTTCTATGTTGCCAAACTTCACAATGTCGACAGCAAAAAACCGGGTGTGATTTGGATACTGGAAAAAAGGTTTGAGTACGGTATGTTGGGCCTGGCTGACGCACTGAGTACTGCGAAGATCTCCGCGGCAAAGTTCCTACAGAAGCTGCAGTTTGAGGACTGGCTAGCTAACGGAATCCACCCGGATACGATATCGTTCAGGATGAGAGATTTCTCCCCGAATAACGTTCAAGTAGGAGTGGCGTACCGCAGGTTTTACGAAGCCCATATCCCGCGCGGTAACTAATGCTGAAGGCCGCTAAGAGCACGGAGAACGCCACTATCATTGACGAATGCATCGAGTCAATAGCCGGATGAACGACATCTTTCCCCCTCTAAGCTGTTGTTGTGATTTTGTATATGGTACTTATTGCAACGATGAGATAGGAGAAGTGATCCGTGATCACCTTGAACCGGCACTAGGCACTATTATATTACCGTAGTGCCAATACTTAACCTGCAAGACGGCGTTGCGGAAAGTCTTGCAAAACTAGTTCGCGGGTGCAAAACACAGAAGCGATGTCGCTAGCACATTGGAGGATGCATGAGGAAAGTGCCGGCAAAAACGTGAGCACTTGGCAGCGGGAGCTCGGTTTATTATAATAGAAGATCAACACGACGCGGCATCTTGATGTTAAATGGGAGATATCACGCCAGTACATTCTATTCGGACTTCGCGTTTATGCATATTTTTAGTGGTCGCTATTTTGATGAGCATCTACAGTAGACAGCTGCACTGCAAGGAGTAAGTTGCTTGCTTGGTGTCTCGTGGCTTCCGCACGCTATTCTGCATCTTTTCATCATTCAAACCTGGACTATGAGTCCTGCCATCTCGACCGCGTCTTCCTTGTCCTCAATGCAGTCGCGAGTCACAACACCAAGGTCAATGTCAAACACGCGGTCGGCATGGAACGAGGATGAAGTTGCTGTCAGAGCGAGCTCCAGCCGCTACAGGGTCCTTGACTACGGACAGAAGAAGCGAGAGGTTCGTGCTTTTGTGGTCTAAATGTGCTGCCTCAGGTCGAATTGGCTAACCATAAACCATTTACGTTTCACAGACCGACGATGTGGCGCGAATCATCAACGACCTGGAAGCCCAGCGTCGATGCCGCTCCAACAGCAGCCGATCTCGACATCCTTCAAGCAGGCGTGAAGCACCGGTAGTTCCTATCCGAAGTGGGTCTCCGCGGCTGAAAGGCCAAGCAAGAAAATCCAGGTCTTCTCGTCATGGCAGCGGCCGTCTCTCATTTGGGGATACGTCAAGTACTAGTGACGAATTGCTCCCTAGAACTGAGCAACCTCCCGCTTCCAAGGCTGTATCGCAATCCTTCCAGGACCAGGTGCTGGATGAACTTCGAAAGCTAAAAGAGGCCCAGCGGATCGAATTTGAAGCTCTTGAGAGACTGCAACGCGAGAAAGACGAGGCTGAGCGGAAAGCACGTCGCCTAGAGCAAAAGCTTCGCGAACAGGAAGTTCAATTGTCGAGAAAAGAAGCAAAAGCAACCCGTACCTCAGAAGGCCAGCGAAAGACGAACGCGTGGGATGAAGCCCCTTTTTACTCTGACGAAGAGAACGGGGGTTGCCGCCACTCGAAGAACAATAACGATGGTGGAGTTGTGTCCGAGGACGAGGACTCAGCAGTAGAGGACCCGGAACTTCATGAATGGGACGACATGACGCAGTCGCCTCCGCCCTACGGCAGGATTGCTTCGCCTGCGGTACGTTCAACGGAACGAGTGACGCTGGTCAAGTAATTTAATGCCGTGTTCGTTTTCGCCCAGACATCACCATTCAAGCGCAGTTCCGGGTGGCCTGCATGGACTGGAGACGAATCCCTCCCACCGGGACCTGCATCCGAACCTGAGGGTACGTTCATCCTAAGATCACACAATGTTTGGATCAGTAGGCTAAGTCGTGTGTGTGTGTGGCAGAATCCAACTCACCTGAACCCAGTAAGACGCTGCGTCGCCGTTCTCGGTCTCGAAGCAGGATTGAACCTTCTTCCTCGTTCAATTTCCGGCGCGGAAGAGCTGTGTCATCACACGTTCGACGTCTCAGTCTGAGCAGATCTCGCAGTCCTTCAGCCACACGAACGGCTCGAAGTAACCAAGACAGCCAGGAATTGCGACGATCTTGTGCATTCTTCGAAAACAAGGCACGAGCTCAAGCGGAGGCTGAGCAACATGCCAAGGAGGCAGCTGAGCGATTACAACGAGCTCGACACGCAGCACCACCGCAAAAACTTCTGGAGCGACAGGCACTGGCGAACCAGCGTAAGACTCAGCAGCTTAAGCAGCTCGAGCAGGAAATGAACGCAGAGTTAGCACGTGAAAAACGAGCAAAGGCGCGTGACGTACCGTTAACGACTTATCTGTCGGCGGAAGATGCTGCGGAGGCTGAGCAGAAGCGCAAAGAGCGAATTCGCCAGCGAGCCGAGGAGCTAATGCAATCAGCTGAACTGCCACCGAGGATGGCGGTGGCCAGCAAGAATGCAATGTCGGGTACTTCAACCCCGAATGGTGAATCGGGACCGGACGCTGGGAACATGACGGTGAAGCTGAAGAAGAAGCTGCGAGCAGCAGCGGAGGCGGAAGCTGAGAAACTGAAGCGCCGACCGAAGCCTGTGCCAAACTTTGACCAGCTTCACTCGAAGTGGGAGGCCGCTCTGAAGAAGCGGAAGGAGTTAGCACGTCGCAACCAGGATGAAGAAGCTGTCGTGGAAGACAGCACTGACACCTCATCGAAGAATAAGAATGGGGAGTTCTTCACCTCACGCGCGGCCAAGCTGGCTGAGCTGCAGGAGAAGAAGGAGGCTCGTAAGCAACGGCTGCAAGCGAAGGAGGAGGCCATCAAGCAGCACGCAAAACGGGCTCAACAGAAGCTGCTTGAACGCGCTCGAGCTTCATTGGGAAAGGATGTCGGGGTTCAACGCAAACCTACCAAATCTGAGGCACTGCGCGTGCAGAAGCTGATGGCCGAAGCTGCCAAGCAGGAGAAGCAACGCCAACGCGAAGAACGTGAAGCTGACGCTCGCGAGCGACGACGTGAGGAAGCAGCTCGTCGTGTCCGTGCCCAAGTGAAGCGGTCGGAGGGCGTCCGACGTGAGAACTACTCTGGCAACTTCGTCGACTTAAAAGACCTCGACGCCGTGGCCAAAGAAAAAGCTCGTGAGCAGCGGCAGCAGTTCAAGGACGCCATCGCGCGCAACAAGGAGAAATTGTTGGCAGCGGCAGCGGCTCGCCCCAGTCTCATGGAGAGGTTCACCACCACCGTCAAGCGCGAGACCCACCGTCGCTCCGCCCTGGAGGCTGTAGTCAAGACCGTCTTCCACAAGGACTTGTCCACCCTGAAGGGCGTTCTCACCGACGACGAGCAGGAGCTCGCCAAAGAAATGGTCGCCGTTGATGACGACAAGAACGAAGACAAGGACAACGACTAGAAGTTAGCTCGAAGGTCAGTCCAATTCAACGTCAGTATGTATGTAAAGTTTATTTCGTGCACGTCGTCTAGGATGGCAGGTTCGTCCGTACCTCCCCCCTCCCTCTTACCTTCCTCTCTCTGTCTCTCTATCTCTTAGTCAATGAGGCTCTTGAGAAAGTCGTAGGTGGCGAACTGCACGCCCATGTTGGGCATGGCTCTCACCAGCGTGGGCGTGAGGCCTCTGTAGTAGGCCGTCCAGCCCTCGTTCCTCGCCAGCTTGACGTAGCAGTCCCACGCGTTCCTGTACTGCCTGGTCACTCCCCCCGCTCCCTGCATCTGCAGCCGCCTGCGCACTGTGTCGTTCGGGTACGTGAAGATGGTTGCCAGCACGCCGGCGCCACCACCACACACAATCTTGCCAGCAAAGTCAGCCTTGGGGTCAATGTCCTCGGGCAGCATGGACGTCAGCAGGTCGTAGGACCCGAACTTGATGCCCTCGTACGGCAGCGCGCCAAAGAGCGTGGGGCCAATGCCGCGGAACAGCGCGCGCGGTCCCTCCTCGCGCAGCGTGCGCATGAAGGTGTGGGCGATGCCGCTGTACACCAGGTTCACTCCGATCTGGCCGGACACGCGCGTGCGGATGAGGTCCAGCGGGTACGTGACGATGGACGCCGTGAAGCCCGAGAGCGAGCCCGAGACGAAGGGCCCCCACGCGGGCATCTTGCCCTCGCCGTCCATGGAGCGGAAGAGGTCCTTGTAGAAGTCGGAGAAGGCGAAGAGCACGGCCTTGTGCGGCACCACGCGCACGCAGGCCGCCATGTTGCCGCGCCAGAAGCCCAGCACGCCCTCGGACGACACGATGCTGCGCGTGGTGGCCAGCATCCCCACGCTCTCGCCCGTCTGGCACACGATCTTGACGCGCTCGAAGGGCGCCACCACCGTCTTGGCCACGATGCCCGCGCCCCCGCCCGCCGCCATCTGCTTCAGCTGCTTGGCGTCCCACTTGGGCGCGAGCTGCACGGCCGCCGGCGCAGCGGACGCCGTCATTGCGAGCGAGGAGGAGGAGGGATGGAGAGTGGAGTGGGAGAGGAGGTTGTCATAGGGCACTCTCTTGGGGGAATGGGTCGCTAAAGGGCACTCTCGCGAGGGAGACGCGCGCAATTCGACGACGCGCTTCAACAAGACGGGACCGCGACAGGCTGTAGACGAATCGAAAGGCTGTCTGTTGTCTATTGGTGTTGGTGTCTATGGGGGTGTCTATGGGCTATGTATGAAGGCTGTATGGGCGCAGATAAATATCTCTAGCGCGTTCACGCGTCCTGGACGCTGCGCAGTCGGCGGTTCTTGGCTCCTCCGCGGGGGAAGAAGCTCCTCCACCAGCGCGCGATCCGATTAAAGAGGCCGTTGTTGCTGAACTTGGTGATGACGATCATGTCGGTGCTGGGGTTCGCGACCGGGCCATTGAGAGGGATCGCGTTCGCGCCGACGGCTCGAGCTGCAGCGCCGGGGGTCGCGCCACCCGCGCGCTCTTCGTCTTCTGACCGCAGCGCGGCCAGCAGCTTGATGGGCACCATGAAGCCAACGGGCTCCGGCGTTTTAGCTTGCGCTTTGTTGGTTTTGGGCATTGCGGCCATCTGCTGGATGGGGGGAATCTCGACGGTAGCGTCGTCCGCCCCTCCGTCGCCGCAGTACTCGGCGGAAGCGCTGACTGTCAGCAGCGCGACCATGAGCATGAGCAAGAACTGAGCGAGCTGCATTTTCTTCTTGGAGGCTGGTGTGTGATTGGAAGCAGATTGCAAAGTGTTATTTGGGGTTGTGAAGACGACGCGAATTGGACGCGAGGCCTGGAAGCCACCGGTCTCGCCGTGGGGAACGACTGTACTGTACAGTACCTGGATCCAGAGGAGCCGCAGTGCATGATTGGCGGGCGAGTTTTATCGCAGCGGTTGGTTGCGCGAAAGAGCGAACACGCGGCTGTAAACATGGACCCATGACTGGTGAGCAGCCCACACATAAAACGTGGCGAATCTGTGACGTGACGAAAGTTTATATCGGCTGGCCCCCTCCACCAACTTTCCCTGTCCACACCAGGTTGTCGTTTCCTAACTCTCTTGAATTCAGGCTGGACACTTGAGTATCCTCACATGGCAAGGACCAGACCGGAAGGCGTACCGTACAGTACCGCCGGTGACCATGGGTAGCGGAGCTCATGCCTGGGCACGTGAAAGACTAACAACCCGTCCAGACAAACTCCTGGTAAGGTTTCGACCGTATACACTCCGTCGGGAACCGAGACCGTATTCATGCCCCAGTTTTGGTCGAACTGAGCGCCTTGTCACATGTTTACAGTGTGTTTATTCTATCTGCTTCTGTGTCCTACATGCACATACACTGGGCGCGCATCATATCAAGTGAGTTGTGTGCACCATCACGGCATGTAATGGCTCGGGATGTGGCAGGTAGGACAAACTCGCTTCGAGACAGCATCGTAGAAAAGCATTATACATGTAGTTATACTATTTAGTGCACGGCATTCTAAGTGCTCGGGGTGCGATGGCTCGGCAACCAGAGTCGCCACTGTTGGATGGATTCTGTGTATTGGTGGTTTCGAAACCACTTCGACGCTGCACGAAGTGAAGGGCGAGAAAGAAGACCATGGCCCCCGTGGACGAGCGCCAGAAGTAGGTAGTATAGTCAGTCTGCAATTTCCTCGGTACCTTTCACCCGCCACTCCACGCCCGCGACACAACACGAAAAAACATTTTTCCCCACTGATGGAGGTTGTTGGAAACACGTATTTTAACAGAACTACAGCACTGGACACTAGCGACATACTGCACCGGTCCACGCCACAAAATGCAGTTGCGAATGATTCGTAGAGAACTCCATTGGCAAACCACACCAACCGGTAAGGTTTTAAACAGGTCTTATGCAGGTCTGGTCCTGTTTTGGTCCTACGGCATCTAAACGAGACCGAACTGGGGCGCGCTTCGCGTGCGGGTCTCTAAGCGGACCGAACAATTTTGTGTTTTTTGCTACTAAAACGGTTGGGACGCGCCGCGCCTCAGCGCCAGTCTGCACTTGTTACTGTTATTAACATTATCACCAATATTTTTGTGACTACTATACATGAAACGATTCATATTACTACAAGAAACTTAAATTTTCATACTATTATAATTGATGGTGACCAGGGGTATGAATAAAAAATTTCAATATGAAAATTGTCAATTAATATGACGAAAATATGTGTTATTGGCAAGCGCCATATTGAAATTTGTATTATTGGCTCGTACGATTTCAGGGTATTCAAAAACACAGGCAAGGCGCATGGAATTGAAATATTTAATCAGTATAATAATTAGCTTTGGTTATCGTCATATTTAAATCATTATTACTGTCAAGCAATTTTACCAATTCAATATAATACTGAATTGGAGGGTCCCTGACATTGACAACATCATGTTGCAATTGGTATTTATTGCAACTGCCACTGTCGCCACCACGCCATGCTACAGCTACTGCGGCTGCTACTGTCACTGCTACTGCCACTGCTTCAGCCACTGTCACTGACACTGGCACTATCGCTGCTGCTCCTACTCCTACCTCATCACTACTTATATTGCTATACTACTCATATTCCACTATTGTTAAAGATATTGCATTTGTTATGCTACCTGTGGCGCGCTGGTCACAGGCACTATCTGCTTACCACTACTGCAACTACAGCTGGAGCAGCTGTACTACAGCTACTACAAATACTATTTCACTACTGTTAATGATGTCATAGTAATGTTGGCATTGATATTGCTTGTTCGTATCTGCTGCTATCGCTACTGCGACTGTTTATTATCTGCTGCCACTACCGCTACCGTTGTTATTTACGCTACAACTACGATCTCAGCATTGATAATGGCATTGTAATGATTGCTCCTGCTTTCTTTTTCATGCCTGAGAAAGACTGCCAAAATCTACTCCATACTGCTTGGCTTGCTGCATAATATCACGGGGCATTTCATGGCTTGCTCAAACTATATTTATAAGTAGATGCCATCTGAATATCGCCGTCCACCGTGGTGAAAACGACGCGATCCAAACATTATCGATGATCTTATCGTCATCTAGACCCTTGTAAATCACTCTCCTCTTTTCCAAATAATGTGTGTGACTTGTATTGTTGCGTAAGTAATATCAATATGACGTATTGTGTCTTTCACGTATTTTGGCGGGTGAGCTGTTAATTCATGCGGAATTAGAGTCATAAAAGGGTGATCAACGCTTATTTAGTGTTAATTATGCCTAAGATTGTGAGCGCTTCCCCTAACATCCGCGATCAGCTAATCGACGGAGATACGAACAGAATGGCATGGATTGGCGGATAGGAAACCGCCAATCGCTCTGTTTCCGCCTATTAATAACGAAGGCTGGATTAGCTTATTCCGCCTTGAGTCGGCCTCACCATCGCCGCTCCTAATTCGGCCACGGAGGGACGACCCGGAATTAACATGGGAATTAGCTAACTCGGGGCATAATTAAGGTCGATAACGGATTAGAGTTATGCCAGAATTATCACGGCAGAATAAGTGAAAGGCACAATAATTTTTATTCGGTATATTGCTATTGGAATTGTTCGCCTGCGTCACGATCACTGCCAGCTACCACTAATGGAATCTGCACCGGATCCGAGCACCTTGTGCCTACGAAGGATAAAATGAAGACTGAATTGATGGAGCGTCAGCTGCTCACTGCCTGAGCTCCTACCAACACTCACGGGTTCCTACCCGTTCCCATACAACGACCTGCTTTTCTCTGCTTCTCAGCTTTCGTCTCAACTGCCATGACCAGGTCTCAGATATGCATTATAACACGCCCTCCTCGAAGAGCACTCTTCGCCTATTGCACGCTTCCAACACCGGCCAGCAACAGCAACGCCTTGAGTCTCTTCTTGTCAAGAGGTTTAGTGAACGTGTCGGCAGGGTTCTGCTCACCCTTCACCTTGTGCAGCTTAATAGCTCCTTTCTGCACTTGCTCCCGCACATAGTGCCAATGTAGCTCAATGTGCCGCGTGCGGCGGCAGTAGGTCGGGTTTGTAGCCATCACGTGAGCTGCTTGGTTGTCCACTCCAATCCGTAGCCGGATAGTGTGATGAGGCAGGATCTCCTGCAAGATATTACTCTCTGCAACCGCCTCCATACTTGCTTCACAACCCGCTACATACTCGGCCTCTGCCGTGGACAAGGCAATGATCGATTGTCGTCGTGACATCCACGCAATGGCACCGCCAGCTAGGGTAAACACAAACCCCGTAGTGCTCTTGCGTTGCTCAGGATCATTTGCCCAATCACTATCGCAATATCCTTCCATCACCACTTCACTCGAAACTATCTGCCCTCTCGAGTAGGTGATCCCATGGTTGCGTGTGCCAGCTAGATATCTCAGCACCCGCTTCAAAGTGCCCACATGCTTTGTGGTCGGCTTTGCAACAAAGCGACTCAGCTGTCTACCGCAAAAGCCAAATCCGGTCTCGTACCGGTGGCCAAGTACATGAGCATCCCGACTGCCTCACGGTAAGGGAAGCTTGTATCCGCCACCACTTCATCACTGCTCGGCGCCAGACGCACATTCACTTCCATGGGATTCCCAACAGCATGAGCCTCACTGTAGCCAAACGTATTCAAAATCTCATTTGCGTACTTTTCCTGTCGAATCGCAATCCGCTCCGTGGTCTGCTCGACCTCAACGCCCAAGTACTGCGCCAGCCGCCCTTGGTCCTTGATCCCATACGTTTCGTTCAGTTCCTTGAACAAGCGCTCCTTGTACGGCTCGTCGTTTGTCGCTACGAGAATATCGTCGACATAGACTAGCACGTACGCCATCGTCTCACCCTCGAAACGATAGTACAGACACGGCTCCGTCAGAGATCGCAGGTACCCGTGATCCAGAAACCACTGGTTCAGTTCCGTATTCCACTCGTGACCTGACTGCCGCACCCCACACAATGCTTTCAGTACCACGTACACATGCCCATTCACTTTGCAGGGATAGCCATCGATCGATCGTAGGTACTGCCGAATACTCAGAAGACCATTCAAGTATGCGGTGTTTATATCTCCACCAAACACACTCAGTCCCAGCTCCGCTGCTATCGCCAGCAGCAGTCGGAACGACAACATCCTAGCAACGGGGGCGAACGTCTCACAAAAGTCAATCCCGGGTCGCTGGTAATTGCCCAGTGCAACAATGCGAGCCTTGAAGCGGATCAAATATCCTTGGTGGTCCGTCTTCAAGTCATACACCCACATCGTATTCACCAGCAGTGCATCCTCAGGCATCTCTTCGCCAGGAATCTCCATGATAACACCTTTGGCTTTCAGCGCTGCAATCTCCTCCATTTCGCCCATCAGAAAGAACTCTCGCCACTTAGAACGCATCATCTCACGGTGGTTCCGAGGAATCTTCACATTACTTGCTCTTATGGGTCGTCCATTCTTGTCCAGAGTACGCGAGGTATTGAGCGCAGCGTTCATCACATAGTCCTTCAAGTAGCTGGGACGGCGACGCTCGTCGTACTCGCGAAGACCGGTTCGTGTCTTCTTCACATCTGTCTTTGCTGCATCTCGCTCGACGCGCACCTCTTCCGACGGAGTTTCGTCACGATGCGACCGCTTCCCGATATTCATCGGCAGGGTCGGTGGGAACATCACACTAGCGTCAATAATCTCGCCAGCCGCTGCATGACCACTCGAATGCACCCTCTTGACCGATTCGGTCTCACCGAAGTCCTCTTGCAGTGACTGAGTGCGGGACAGGTTTGCATCTCCCTCGTGCTCGTCCGGAGCCAAGACACTTGCCACAGTAACACCATCACCATTGAGAATTTCATCATCTTCCTCTTCCTCAGTATCACTATGCGCTCCTCCTACCAGCGATGACCCACACGTTCCGGAACCGACACGGCGTCGTCACCCCCAGCAGCACCGTCGTCTTCTTCAGCAGCGTCCTCACCGCTGTCAGTGACTTTCTCATCATCGTTCGCAGGAGTCGCAAGCGTACGAATTCCACACTTGCCTCCATCGAGGCGCTCGCCAGTGCCGCCAGTCTCGTCAGTACCACCACTGTTGTCCTGCTGCTCTTCATTCACTGACTCTCCATCAACAACAGCTTGGCTTTCATCTCCCGCCTCGAGAATAACATTCTCGTCAACGGCGTCCTCAAAAGTAGACTGCATTTCACCGCTTTGCTCTAGTCCCACCACTACTGTACTCGCCCGTGTAGCCATGTTCGTATTTGAAGCCTGATCGGCATCACCAATATCACTTCCGTCGGTGTCACTGGCGTCGGTCACCGTGCGTCTGACGAAGTGCAGCGACTCCAAGTCCTCGTCATCCACGTCCACTTCGTAGCGATCACGGTACATGACGTCCTCAGCCACTCTCAGATCAGGAACAAACTTAGCAGCGTGCTCGTCAGGAAAATAGACCTTACATCCGATCACGTCTTCTGCATACCCGAGCACAAAGCCAATTCTAGCGTTATTGTGGTGCTTCTTCCGCTGAGGAGACACCGGCACGTGTACATAAGCCAGTGCACCAAACTTCCGGATATGGTGCACGTCCGGCTGAATCCCAAACATCATCTCGTAAGGAACACCGCCTGTGCCCTTATTGCACACACGATTCTTCACGTACACCGCGTTTCGCAGTGCTTCCGGCCATAGGCTCCGGGCAAAGCCTGCTTGCGCCATCGTCGCCTTCGCCATGCCCTCCAGCGACTGATGAGCCCGCTCGCACAAGTTGAGTTGTGAGGATTTAGGGCCGACTTTCACATGTTCAATCCCTTGCGAATCGTACCAGGTTGTCATTTCATCGTTGAAAAACTCCCCGCCCTTATCCGTCAGCACTTGCTGCACTTTGTACAACGCACCCCTGACATTACGACCCGCCTGCCGCTCGGCCCAGAGAACATACTCCTTCATGAGTCTGTTGATCACAGGACTTTGCTTGTCACTAAGCAGGTGTACCGTGACGAAGCGAGAGTATCCGTCCATAATGATCAGCACGGCCTCATACCGTGTACCGCAGTTTTTACTGGGGATTAGGAGGTCAGCGTACACAACCTGGTTCGGCTCCTTGGTTGCCCGATCCAAATTCTTCCTGTACGTCTTCCTCTTCTGTTTGCCCAGATGACATGCATCGCATGTGTCCTCTTTCCGCTGAGTCAGCAGCATCCCGCGCACTAGACCTTTGTCCACCATGGTCTTCAAATATTGTGGACAAGTGTGGCACATACGCTCGTGCCAAAGTGCCAGTGAGCCGACTCCCTCTGCAGCAGTGTAGTTGCACAGAGCACGATCCTGAGGGGTGAATTGCTCTCGCTCACCAGGGCCAATCACCTGGAACCCCCAAGTAGATTCCTGCGGAGTAGCGACAGCCATTGCTCTCCCCTCTCTTAAGACGACGAAGCTTCGAGTTGCAATGTCATAGTCAAACTCAAATCCTTGAGCGTACGCCAGTCCCGGTGAAAACAGTCCATACTCAGCTCCAGGGATGAAAAGCACATCGTCCAGAAACATTACAACTTGTTCACCACCGACTTCTGTGGCCAATGCCACCGTTCCTACGCCCGCAATGCGTGAAGCAATAGTTGTAGTCAGTCCGTATGCCCGCCGTGTCAGCCGTGAACGACACAAAGTCCGAGCGATTCCCCGTCACATGTGAGTTTGACGCAGTGTCGAAGAACCACCACCCACTGCCGTAGTCCGCAGCACCTTGATCACTGTCCTCCAGTAGTACCTCAGTACCTTCTGCACCGTGATCACTAAGTAGTTCCTCCTCACCATGTGGTTCTACGTGCTCGTCATGTGCATTTCGTAGCTCCTCGTGCATCTCTGGCTGCTCCTCCGCCACTAACCCCGTCACAACACCAGGATCCGCATCATCCTGCGTCGGACTCGATGAAACACCACTCTCCTGGCGCAGGGTACAATTTCCCCGCGGTTTTCGCTTCTGCTCAAAGTCATCAGCGCCGCTTTGCTTCTTTGTCCTCTCCGGGCAATTTGCCTTGAGATGTTTATCACTCCCGCAGACATAACATAGCCGCGTCTTCTTTGACCCACTAGTCCTGCTCTGCTCACCTCCTCTGCCACTTCCTGCCCACCATGGCTCCCTTGCTTCTCACTACGCTTGCCTCTGAACTCTTTCTGTCGAGCGACCGCAGCAAGAATCAATTCTCGAACCCGCTTCGGTGTGTACACGCTCGGGTCCGCGCCGTAGTAAATGGAAGACTTCAACCGCTCAAACTCAATCTGTTCCGGCAAACTCTCAAGCAGCATATCCACCATTGTATTATCGGCAATAACATGCTGCAAGTCCGCCAACTCGGTCTTGAGGTTGAACATCCTGCAAAGATGGAGGTTCGTGTCTCCTCCAGGCGTCAGCTTCATGCTCCACATCTCGTTCTCCACGCGACGAATCGTGTAGGCCTTGATGGCTTCATTCTGCTTGCCCTCGTACAGGTTGCAGAGCTCCGCCCACATCTCCGATCCGGTCTCCTTGTCGCGTATCTGCTGAAGAATGTCCGGCGGCACGGACGTACCCACCATGCGCATGATCTTGAGCTGCGCTGCGTCGAAAGCCTCCAGCCTCACCGCACTCGCAGTCGCGAGCATCGCCCTGGTCAGGTCTCCGACCGCGATCTCCTTGAGCTTCTTCTCCTTGAACACGTTCATCATGGCCCACTTGTACGTCTGCCAATCCTTGGCGCTCCAGTTCTTCGGCACCCCTTCGTTCGTGTACTTCAGGCTTCGACATCCCCGAGTAGCTGCCGCCGGCAGCGTGCTTTGGGCACATAACCCTAATGGAACCTGCACCGGATCCGAGCACCTTGTGCCTACGAAGGATAAAATGAAGACTGAATTGATGGAGCGTTAGCTGCTCACTGCCTGAGCTCCTACCAACACTCACGGGTTCCTACCCGTTCCCATACAACGACCTGCTTTTCTCTGCTTCTCAGCTTTCGTCTCAACTGCCATGACCAGGTCTCAGATATGCATTCCAACAACCACTGCAACTGCCCTACTGTCAATGCCACCGCTACTGCAACCGCTATTAGTTACTGACTTTGAAACTGATATTGTTATCGCTATTTCTATTACTATCTTTTTTTTGCTCACCCCACGATCAGGAAGAAAACTGTCAAGGTCTACAGTACTCCATGGTGCGTGAGTTGTTGCAACCCAGTATAAAGTCATCCAACGAGACTTCTTCGCGAGCCACACCTAGTAAAATACCTCTATTTTTACGAATTACATCTGCATACTGCAGTTATAAAGTACGCGGTGCAAATTGGCGCTAATTTCGCTGCGCCATGCGTTCATATTGCTTTACTTAGGTTCTTGCGGCAGCAAACATCACGCCCATCTAATCGAGCACTCTAAAGTGCACCACCATGGACTTGTCCGTCTATATCGATGTAGATACTGGTACTCAATATGATGCGACGTCCAGAAAACACTACGCATACTACTGTGGTGCGACGTCCGGACTACTGTCGCGCCATGCGCACTCCGTTTTGGATTCCTCAGCCTGCATGAGCCCCAACGTCGCACAGTACCACAGTATGCATCGTAATGGTGGGTTTGAATTAAACCGCACATTTTATTTTGCTTAAGTTTTATTCCAAATCCAAAACCACGTCAAAAGCATCGATCTGGACGCTGCGCTGCTTTATACCGGTAATACCATGAGATTTTGGATACTCTAGTTCATATTAAAATGTACCGAATGTATTAAACTGATGGTCTGACAAGAAATGACCCTGGCTCTAAGCTATCCGCTTAGAGAACAGAAAATCAGTATGATTTCGCTAGCGGTCCCGTTTGGATGGAGAGACCCAAATGATATCACTACGAAACAAGCCATTTTTAGACCCCCTTCACCCTGATATAAAATATCGTGATAGATTATAGAGGACAGCCACTATTGAAGTAGAGCTGGAGATTATAATATGGGTCGACGGCAAACAAAATGTTACTTATCAACCTAAGTACGAATCGCGATTTAGGCGCATAATTGGAAAGAGGGATGTCTCCTCTTTCGTTTGAGTCCCTCCCGAGCTTATGGTATGAAGAAACGACCGAGAACGAGACCGTCAAAAAATATATGTCCGACTTCAACCCCGAAAGAGAATTTGTTTTTTGATGAACTGGTGTAAAATTAGTCAGCGAATCCGACAATGTTGTCCGTTTTAGCTAATTTGAAGCCTAACAGTGTTAGAATCTCACTTTTGTGCCGTCACTTCAAATCACCAGGGGTATATTTTTGTTTTTTTTTAGAAAATTTGATATCTGGATGTAAGTAAGTTACTTAAAGTAACATTTTGAATGAACTGTGGACATAAGTATCATAATGATCGACTACAACCTTGGGCTGCCTATTCTTGCTCAGCAGGCAGATCCGCAGTAGCTTTGTGCTTCTTGTTCTTTTGCGTCTTCTTCGCTGCAGTAGCCCTCTTATTTGCTGGGTTCTTTTTCGTCGCAACAGCCTCCGTGATACCGCGCTAGTCTTGGCTAGCCTTAGCCGCCACGGCCATTGCCGCGCGATGCTCACGTCGTGCTTGTTTCCGTGACTTGGCATCTTCTCCTTCCTGTTCGCTAGGCTTGGCGTAGAGGGGATCGCTCTGAAATTCAGCAGGAACGTAGGGCCTGATGTTGTGGTACATCTGCGCAATTTTCTCGGTGTTGCGGACAGGAGGGGACAGCGTCTCGATATGGTCCGTCATCATCCGCTGCACCTTCTCCTTCGTGGTGAAAATCCCGTCAATTTGACGGCTCAAACTAATCTCTACAGGTTCGCTCTCGGGGCCTTTCTTGCAGACAACGACGCCCGCCTGCGATGCGTCCATCGTGAAAATCTGGAACTTCTGGATGCCGTCAAGTCGTTTGTACAATTCGGTGAGAATAGGTTTGTAGGACTTGAACGCTGAGCTTCCGCGAGGCAGATGCACCGTGATTGAGCTCTTGGACGCCGAACTAACAGCCTCTACGAGCTGCATGCGTGTTGAGCCGGTTACCATGCGCCTTGATCGACATGTTACCGTCTCGGATGCGCATCTTGTAGCGCTGCAAGGTAATGGGGACTACTCCATAGCAAAGCGCGAAAGTGGGTCGGCACACATTACCTACGTAGGGAAGGATGTACGGAAACTTCTCACGGTCACCCCGTCCTCTCGTACGCTCAACCGTGGGGGTCTGCATCAACACAGCCAGGAGCGTGTACAAGCTCGTGGTGCGCTCTTGCTTCGTCATCTGGTCCAGCGAGCACAGCAAGAACTCCAACTCACGAGCCTTGCCCTTGATGCACTCGTTCTCACACGCGTCCGCATGAATCACCTCAGTCACACGGGCTCGAGGACTCGCGTCATTCAAAAAGATACTAATATCCTCTTCATCTTCGGCTTCACTGCTCGCGCTCTCTGCTGTGAGCGGTTCCTCGTCGTCGCTGGGCGACGCCTCCGAATCAGGCGTAAAGTCGTCGTCGCTGCTGTCCTCGTTCACCTCACTCTCACTGGTAGCAGTGGGATCGACACCACAGACAGAATCGTCGGCAGAATCAGGCTCTTCGTCTGCTTCGCGACGCCGAGCAGCAAGGGGTGCCGTGGCCGACAGAGTCAGCGCCGTGGAGGGGGACGTTGTGGCCGGCGGAGTCAGCGCCTGGGAGGGCGATGTCGTGGCTGGCGGACCCGACGTCGCGGCTGGCGGACTCGGAGCCGTGGCTGGCGGGCTTGGCGCCGAGGTGGCCGGTGGCGAAGCTGAGAGAGGCAGCGCTGGAGGTTGCGCAGGCTGCGCAGTTGGCGCTGCAGCGCGCGAGGTCGGTGCTGTCGGCGTCGTGGGTGGTGTCTGCATGGCTGTAGGTAGTGGTCCGAGTGGCTTTTCGAAATGGTATCCGTGCCGATACACACCCTTCAAATTTTTGAAAATCAAAACTCCTCGTTTTCTCATGACTTCGTTTAGTTACGATTTTGAACCTGGCCTCTTTTAAGGCGATTATCTCGATAACTCTAAATGGTGGATAAGTAACATTTTTGTTGCCGTTGTCTCATATGAAACCCAAATGTCTGAATTTGCGAGCGAGTGTCTTGCTGGTGTCGATCCCTGGACCGTCGACGCTGCTCGGACTGTACGCTATTGCTAGACTTTCTTAATGAGCTTTAACTAACTGGGTTGCTCAGACGTCCTCGTGCCTGAATCTACTGCTATCTTCGTCCATGTAGTCTTGTATGCATGTACCGCTGATCCTTGGTACATGGTACTTGAAGTACTTGCTTGTACTTTGCCTCTGCAGGAAGCTAGATAGTGATCCAGTGATCGACATCCAGCAGGGCGCTAGCTCGCAGCTCGCCCTCCACATCCCACGTACGCAAAATGAACTTCTCGATTGTCCCTAAGACCGCAATTTAAGGAAAACTACAATTGGTCTAGCCTTAGTGCATACTTAAGTATAGCGGTAGCTGGTGGGCCGAAGATCGGCGTGGACTTCTTCTCATATGCTTTGGTTGCTGTTGGCTCACTGACGTTCGGCCTGATTAGACTGAATGATATCCTGTGAAGCTTGCTGGTCCGAGAGTTGGTACCGTTTGGACGCTTTGCTTGCGTTGGGTGCGCTGGTTGGGCCCATGGTGATTGCGTTGCTATCTCGTGAGTCGCCTGTATGACAGTGTTGGTACCATGGAGAGACTATTGGTGCTGACGGATCCACCGAGTGTGTACTCTATCGTTTGGCTGAGTTATTAACTCGCGGGGGCAGGGGTGTTCATCAAGTCGGACGGCCCGGGCAGCTAGAGTACAAGCCGGATTAGCATGACTGACAGTTAACCTGACAGCAGGGTTGAAGTTTTTGTCCAGTATGGTTTTTCATTTGCAATATCCCCTTTAATACAAAATACATTTATTTTCCGTTTGAATATTTAATTGTAGAGTTTTTCTAAAACCTTGTTTTCTGTAGGGTCTTTTCTAGGTCCCATTTGGAGGCTGATTTTATTTCGGTCCTGTTTAGGTCCTACGGACCAAAAAAGACCAGACCTGCATAAGACCTGTTTAAAAATCTTCCCACCAACCATGTCCGTTGTGAGTCAAGAGGCTTGAGGTCTCGGTGGTTACCGTCAATAGTTTTGGCTCAAGACGATTATTTCACACCAATATTCCTTTAAGAGTATCTCTAACGTAGTGCAAAGTGATAGTTTCACAGTTCTTCAAAGGACTAAAGCGACATATTTCTGTTGTAGTATGTAGGCGTTGGATGGTCTGCCTAAGACTCTCCCACTCTATTCGAAATGTCGGGTAAATAAATATCTTAATTCGTCATCACCGCTTCTTCACTGCCGGAGTCGACGCGTCGAGCGGGAGGGTTCCGTCCTGGTGCTAAACAGCCCGTTCAACCACCTCTTCATCTTCTGCCAGACTCCGTTGCCGTTGAAAGTCGTCACGGTCACCATCTCGACGCCCCCCGATGGTCCGTTGATTGGGATCGCGCCTGCGCCAGTAGCACGCGCTGCCGCTCCGGTATTCACTCCCGCGCCTCGCTCTTCGTCATTCGCTGCGAGGTTGGTCAGCTCCAGCTTGGAGTTGGTGGATTTAGAGGGTGCGTTGTTCGCAGCTCCGTTGGTGACGATGACCGTCGTCTTGACTCCGCATTTGCTAGCAGCATCGACCGCGTTGCTGCTTGCGAGTAGCACCAGCATGGTCACGAAGAGCAGTTGGATGAGCTGCATGTTGTTTCTTGGTTGGAGGGTGTTGGCCAATGGGCTCGAATTGGAGAATGAGAAGCCTGTGCACTGCGGCATCTTCAGACGTTACGCCGGAGCCATTGGTCTCCCGACGTAAGCAATCGGTGCAGGCACCCTCGGAACACGGTTCTGTGGAATCCAATCCTTGGATCCAAATGTACAAACGACTGCAGCTTTCGCAGAGTGATTGGTTGCCCGAAGGAACAACTCGACCGTAAACGTTTTCGTTGGCTGGTAGGCGTCTGCATATAAACACGTTCCGAAGTTCGAACGCTTCGAACACTTCAGGATTTCGATGCGATCTGTCAATTCACGAAATAAGGGAAAACGTCAAAAGGTGTATGAATTTGAAACGTTTTGTCAAAAGCGGTTAACTCGTGTCATTAGGTTATGCTAGGTTGTCGGTATGACAGTATGTGTATGTGGTTCCAAGCGCACTAAGGTGCATGATAAAGCTGCATCAGCAACGAATGCGGTGACTGGTGTGTGGGCTTAGATCCAAATCCATAAAACCCGGGGTTAGGAAGGCTTCTACCTGATGCAACTAGCCCGGTTCGTGGTGTCCATGACTTTGATAGCGAATTGTACGGCTGAGGGACTATTGCGCTTTGCATCCAGTTTGCCCTCCTAATTAGTGCACTAGTTAGTGCTCGTACTTAGTGGTAAATCATGGAGGTTATGAATGCAAGTTGCTCAAGTGGTGCTTCGAGCCCGATTTGGCTCGGAAATGGCACTTTCTAAAGGTGCCAAACGGATGCTAATCCATGCTGGATGTGCTGAATCATGCAGGAGATGGCGTTTGCGCACTACTTAGTGCTCATTGACCATCCACGACTTACAGCAATTCGTACTCGAGTACGATTTATAGATAAGTCGTGCTCGATAAGTCGTACGAGTTACAGTCCGAAGCGCCAAAAAGTATGCAAAGCACAATACAATGAACGTCGTTATCCATTGTAGCCAGGCCTCAGCGTTGCCACAGTTCTACGATACCACCACTCTCCCCCGGTTGGGGGCTCTCACTAGAGCTCCTTCACCTCCGAAATTTAGATGCAAAACCTACCTGGTATAGCCATGCTATATACGCTTGCGGTTTGCGTTGGTAGTTCCTTGTAGCTGCAATAGCGAAGTTGTCGAGTACAGTTGCTCTATATGCTATTATTAGTTGACCGTGTTCGCTACGAGCGTGTCGTTAATAAACTACTGTCCTTGGAAGCTCGATCCTGGGTCTGTATGACCCGAAATACCGCGGCAACCAAAACGTGTCAGTACGTGTATGAAGACATGACGCGACGTGACGCCCACGACCACTACACCTATTGACAAACGTTTTCCCAACGCATACACCTTTTGACGTTTTCCCCGCAATCATACAAATCCAACACCGAGCAGCACAGCTGTGGGTCTGTCTCACTCGAGTAGCTGGGGGTCGTCAAGAGCACAGCGTGAAGCCCCGACTAAGAAGAGTGACGTGCGTGTCCACGTCCGGATTCCATTTGTATTCGAAGTGCTGGGTTTCAGCAGTATTGCCGCTTGCAAATACTTTGCCCTCTAAAATAGACCTCTAAAATAGATCATGCCTGTCTCTTAATATGAGTGGACACGAGATAGGCGAGGGCTGATTTAGCTTTATGCTTTGCTGGGGGCCGCTTTTGGGCCCAGAAACTCGGTTTGGCCCGTCTAGAATGGCATTTCTGCGTTTCCAAGTCGTACAAAAGCGCCTTGGTCGAGAAAACAGAGCCCCAAGCTCGGATCTTAGACCGTACTGGCGAGATATATAAATCAGACCTAGGTCTTAATTAAGAGCTGGCTGGATTAAAATCGAGATTATTAACGAGATAATAAGCATGCGTTGGCCAAAATATCTGCAAACGGCAATAACGAGTGCGGACAACGTGGAGTGGATCCCGAGAAACTAGCGATACACCTAAATGTGCCACGCTGAAAGAACGCATTATTACTTTTAGTCTTGATCGAGTTGTTACTTGGACAACCTGTACGTAGGTTAACAAACTTGGCTAGAATCCTACAGGACGTCTTTCACCGTCGTTGACTGTATATGTATCGCCGATGGCACGAGCAGCTCAAACCTTCTTGCTGTTCCCTTCTTGATTCATGCTCTTTCCTAAGACGATACTTGTCTTCAGAGTACTGCCGTACGACGTTGCGTCTTACGTTTTCCAATCAACGCAGTTTGGCACTATCTTGATTTTTGTATACAGCTGACTACATTGCTAATTGTCCACTGGAACGTAAGACAGTTTGTCGTACACGTATTTGTCTCGTACCATTGGCTGAAAGCCTATTCAGTTCGTACAGCACCCCGAAGAGCAGACCCCTCCCCATCCTCCACTCAGCCGTCCTTCCCATGCCTCCAGCCACGTCCGCAGAGCAGCCATCCCCCACAGGCATCAGCACTGCCGTCGGGCAGCCAACCAACAGCGGCATGGATCCCTCATCTCGCGCCAGTGACGCTCTTAGTGCCGAGAATGTACGCCGCGCGTGTACGACCTCGAGAACGCAGCGTGCATACCGCAGCTATCGCCACGGGATAGCTGCGTGGATCCGCGAGTCTAAGGCCGATGCAGACCGGTATTTCGAGCCTGGTGGCGAAATTGACATCTCCATGTTCACTCCCAAAGATTTCGAGGCGTTTTTGCTAGCTACGATGAATGCCACTGAGAAGAAGCTGAAGGTGACCACACTCAGTGGTTATAGGAGCGCAGTCAAGGACATTTACCGACAGAAGAAGCTTCCTCTCCCTGCTGCGTACATGGACGATATGAAGACTTTTTTCGCTGGGCTCAAGCGCATCGAGGCGGAGCGCAACCAAGGAAGTGCCGGCGAGGCAAAAATGGCGGGGAAAATGGCGCTACCGTACTCTGTGTACGAGCGAGTGTGTAAGCAAATGCTCGTGCTAAATGACGGTGGGTTTGCCCACCGATTTCTGACGGTGCAGTGGAATCTGATGTGCCGATCTCAGTCGGTCGAAACTATTCACACCGGGCACATGAGTAACGAAGACGACAGCATCGGCTTCGTCTTTCATAAGAGCAAGGCGAATCAAGATGGTAAAGGACCAAAAGACCCCCGACACGTCTACGCCAACCCATTTGCTCCATGGACATGTTGCATCACCGCGCTAGGGGTCTATTGGGCGTGCTACCTCGCCAAGGCACCGGTCCGCTGTTCCCAGGCTCCCTGCAACGCAACCGGTTTCGCAAGGCATTTGCCCGCGCCTTGGGAAATGCTGACGACGAAAAAAACTATGGAACTCATTCGGTGAGAAAGGGTGTAGCTACGTTCGCGTGCAACGGGAGTACGGGAGGCCCGTCCATCGTGAGCGTGTGTCTGCGCTGCGGGTGGTCTCTTGGAGGTGTCCAAGACCGCTACTTTCGGTATGAAGCCGCTGGAGACCAATTTCTGGGCCGTGTTGTGGCAGGTTTGCCACTGAACAGCGCCGGTTTTGCTATACTACCGCCCCACTTCAAAGATAATACCGACCCAGTCGTGCGTGAAGGTGTGAAGAGCATGTTTCCAGCGCTGGGTTTTGACTCTAGCCTGTTATCAGTCCTCAAGCTCTGCTTAGCGTCGCTGGTGTTTCACAGCGATTTTCTACTGTCCCAACTCCCCACCACGCATTCGCTACGTGGTACATCGATTTTCCGATCCAAAGATTTAAGGGAGCAGCTCCGATCGCGGCTTGTACAAGTGGATTCTCCGTGGATGACTGCTACCGGTATCCCACCTCAGGTGGTCATGTTTGGGCTACAAGAAGAGATTCGGGCTACAGTGTGCGCTCTACCAGAATCTATGGCTGCTAGATTTGCTCAATTACTGGAAGAGAACGGGATCTGTGGCGGGGGTGTTACTCAGCAGCAGCTCGAAGCAACATTGCGCCGCGTAATGGGGGAGAATAATCAGACGCAACAGCAAATTGCTGCAAGTCGACCCGGTGGCGATGCACCACGCACCACGGTTCACTTCTAGCCAAGCGATGGTAAATTGCACACTCTCCCAGAATCGTTTGAGTTTCCTAGCACTGATGTGCTACATGCGTGGCATTTATGGTGGTTTGGGAACGAAGATGCTGGGCAGCCTCCGTTCAAGTCAGTGAGCACGCGTGATCTGTCAACGAGGAAGAAGCGCCAAACGTATTCCGAGTGGCGTGTGATGATGCAGCACATCTCAACGGCAATCGAGCGCGCAACAGGCACGCCGCCTCCTTCCTCCAAGACAGAGCAGCAAGCTGCCATGCTCTGCATCGCTGGTGTCAACAGTCTGCAGCTCAAGACTAGCCGTCATACCCGCCGACCAACCCAACTGAAAGTCACGACTATGCTGTGTCTAGTTAGAGAGGCAGAGCACGCCGACAACGCAAACGCTCGTACTATAGAATTTAGTCGCCGGAAACGGAGCAAGAGAGACTAAGACCAACTTACCAGCGCGCAGTCGCTGTCGTCTTCACCTCAGTACAATACTGTAGCAGCAGCTCGTATTAGCCAATCCAATCCCTAGATTTGCTCTATCGTCAAACTGTCTTACGAATGCTCGACACAAGTGAGTGAAGTTGCAAGCAGGTTTTGGGAACTTCCGGTGGAACGAGAGCCACCGCGTACCGGTGTTACTATGCCTGTTGCGTAATTTTGTCTGTAGTCAAATAGCAACCGCAGCACTTCGATGCCACAAGCCAAATCCACTTTCAAAACTATGCAAGGGCTAAAGACTTCCTATAGTGTTGCACCTTTCAGATGCAATTGCATGGCGTTTATGGCGGGCTTCCATGTTACCGCGCTAATACGAGTAATTAGCGAAGAAGAAGAAAGTGTCTGCTGATTGAGTCATTCTCCAAAATGATGCTGCTAGTTGGATTAAGGTCGCTTTGTACATGCTGCTTCATTGCCCGCAAACTATTGACGTCTGCCTACCCATTGTTGGCTTTTCGTACCCCACTCGGCGTCAAGGGCGGCAGTGAAGTAGTCGCAGCAGTACCATTACTAGTAGTCGTCTTTGCCTGCGGCGGGCCTGGTGACGGCGACAATAGCCCAAAGCCGCTCAAGAATCTGGGCGTTGTACCCGTGCATTCGAACGACATGCCGCCGAGCTCCGAGCCCAGCGGCGACGGCAGCATCGACCCGAACGTGAGACCCGTTGTCGCTAGTAGATGCAGATTGGGCTCGGCACTTGTGCTCGGTCCTGTCGAGTTCCCACTGAAGGACACCCCAGCCGATACGTTCAACGCTCTTGGGTGCAGTCGCAGCCGCACAGCCAACGTCTCCAGCACCACCTGAGGATCCGACTGCTGGGCTGCCAGTAAACCGTTGAGTACTTCCAGCGCCTGCTCCTTAGCAAACAAAGGTTGGGTGCGTTGCGGCGGTAGTCTCCCGTTCGAGCTCGTGAACGCCGCCACGGCCGACGCGATGCCTGCCAGCAAGTCTGCGGGCGCTTCAGGCGGCACGAAGACTTCCGCCATGGCGTTCACCAGGATCTGCTCTTCGGCTGGGGTCAGCGTCACGACGCTGTCGAGTACCCGAGGCGACGTCATTTGCGACGCCAACCGCCCGCTCTCTCCAATAGCTGCGGCCTTCGTGGACAGCGGAAGACCAGAATGGCGCGGGAACTGACCGAAGTGCATGGTCACATGCTGCCCGCTCTCGATCCGCGCGACGTCGTAGCAGAGCTTCTGGTAGCGCTCTTTCAGGTCCACGGGGCTCTTGCCTGGCAGTCGAGACGCCATGAGCTCCCACGGATAGCACACCGAGGACGTGCTGAAGGCCGCCAGCATGTTCTCGAACGCCGCGTCCTCGTCGGGCGTCCAGCGCTGGTCCACGCTCTGCATGAACTGCCGCTCCTGGCGCTTCTGGACGTTGAGCTGCTGCAGCTGAGCGAAGTACAGACGCGCGTGGAACACGACCTGCGCGATGTCCCGAGTGCCGACTGCCGTAGTGATGGACTGCCACGCCTGCATGAGACTGACGCATTGGCCGCCTCCGAACTGCTCCAGCGCCTGCAGGAACCGCTGGTGCTCATCCGCAGCCCACGGAGACTCGTCCTGCTGCTGGTTCGAGACGACGCTGAACGAGCTGTAGGTGGGCGTCGACCCCGGAGTCCACTTCTTGCCCATCGGAGATCGGAGCTGAGGAAGAATCAAAAGAGCGGCTCGGGTGATGAATGCAGAAGAGTGGAGAACAGTCGAAGTCAAGTCGGAGTCGCGACCCAACAAGGCGGAAACTGCCGTGCTCCAACGGAATAACGGACGCCAACGGACGGGTTTCCAGCGAGAAGAAACGGATGAACGCACTCAGCTGACGAGAGGATATGCTAGTGGAATTTTGAGAGGCGAGGCCGGCATGGAGTTGCCCTTGTGCAGGCTCTGTTTTTTTGCAGTCTTCATTGCCGTCAGAACATGGATACTTTTTTATACTTTTTTATGCTTAGAAGATCGTGGGCTTCGTTCCTAGAATACTAGAACTCCAAAGCAACATGCTCGGCAATAATCTAAGCCTTAACTCGTGCGTCCTAGACATCGGCAGCGCTCAGATCTTGCCCGCAATGACGGCAGAAGTGATCGGTCGACAAAACATCCCCACTACAACTTCCACATGATCGCTTAGTTACGATCGCTGCTGCAGGATATGAAGATGGGGGCTCGCTGCAGTTACCGCAAAAGTTGAACTCGATGGGCATACTCGCTGTACAATACGAGCACATCCGCAGTCTCGACCTCCACTGGCACTTGTTGGTTGTCAACATTAGCCAGATGCACGTCCAAGCCCTCGGTCTCGAGCATTATCGGGTTCGTTTGGACGGAGCCGTAGAAGCCCAAGTCGAAACATTCTTGAAGATCGAAGTCCACCTCGTCCCTGGGGATATACCACGCAGGAACCACCGGCACCTTTGCCTTGGACAGAGACACCACCTTGTTGTAAGGCTTGGCCAACAACTCCACTTCGGGTCCAGCTTCACCATGAGTGCACCACAAGCTGCGCGATCCCCTCCTCGATCTTGTTCCCCATTCTGTGGATCTCCTCCTTCATCGCCTGGTTGTTGGCCAGGATGTCCGCTCTCTCCTGCATGGCGAGCTTCTTGTCCTCCTCCCACTCTTGCTTCCACTTCGACATCTCCGCGATGTGGGTCAGGTTCAGCAGCTTGAAGAGGTCGTCCATGCGCAAGTGGAAGTCCTGGATCTCCTCGTGAGTCTCCTGATGAATCCCTTGTTGGCCTGCCTCTTGAGGAACGCGATGAAGCTGGCGATGTTTTTGCCGTAGATCTCCAGCACGTTTTGCTCTCGAAGCACCTTGTCGTCCTTGAGCCTCAGCAGCTCCTTGTGCACGGACGTCATGCGCTTGAGCACGCGCTTGCACATTTCCTCGTTCTCCTTCATCTCCGTCACCAGCTTCCCCACAGTGCCGAGGGCAGCGACGACGACCTCGCCCACTCCGGGGACCACAAACTCGGCAACCAGCGACGCTACCTCCGTGAACATGTTGGCTCCTAAGCCAAAGTGATCCTCCCTGACGTGTCGTGCACAGCATACTGTAGCAAAATCCAAGCACCCAAACCTGAGTTGAAGTGTCCAAAGATCAGGTCGATCTCCGAACTCATTCCTGCAAAATCAGCACACGAATGGGTACGGTACCACCCCATTTGCTGATCGCGCCACGCTGCAAGTAATGCCCCCTCACCGGTATCCACACCACGTCAGCCATGACCACGATCAATAGGTTTGGTCTTGATGCGCTGTGTCCCCTACAAGCTGCTTCTTGCAGCCCATTCTCATGCGAATGCTGGATCTGCGTCCAGACGATAGCCGCAGTGGCGGCAAAAGCGGTCTGTCGAGTGCACGTTCTCCTCGCAGCTCGGACACGCGTTCTTCTGGTGTTGCGCTGCACTCGACTCCTGCCTCGTCATAGCTGTGCCGCAGTCGCCGCAGAAGGCGAACGCGACGGGCATCCTCGCCTCACAATACGCGCACACGCGCGTGCTACCGGTAGCTGCTCCAGGAGCCCTCTCCTCCTCCCCCTCCTCCCCCTCGTCCTTCTCTCTGTCTGCGAACACCTTGAGCCCGTGAATCGCGTCCTGCAGCGAGATGCGCTTACTCCAGTCCGGCTGCACCATGCGCTCCACCAGCGCCCACTCGTCGTCCTGCATGTCGGCTGGACGCGGGTACGGCTCGAGCTCGAACAGCCTCGTCATGATCTCGTCGTCGTCCAGGAGTCCGTACGGCGCCTCGCCCTGGACCGCCTCCACGATGCACATGCCGAGCGAGTAGACGTCCGAGGCGAAGCGCGGGTTGAACTGCGGGTTGGTCTCCTCGTTGGGCGGCGCCAGGCACTCGGGCGCCTTCCAGCGGATGGCCTCGGTCTGCGACTTGGCGCTGAGCCCCACCGACTGGCTGCGCACGTACGAGAAGCCAAAGTCGCAGAGCTTGGCCTTGTAGTCGCTGCCCACGAGCAGGTTGGTGCACTTGAGGTCGCCGTGCACCACCTTCTCCGCGTGCAGGTAGCCGAGCCCCAGCGCGGCCTCGTAGAAGAGCTGCCAGCGCCGCGGTCGCCCCGCGTCCAGCTCCAGGAAGTCGCTGAAGCTGCCGTGCGTGGCGTCGTCGCACACGAAGAAGGCGGGCGAGCTCACGTGGCACGCGCCGTAGAGCTTGAGCACGTGCGGGTGGTCCAGGCGTCTCCAGACGTCCACCTCCTTGTAAAACGAGCGCTTGGCCTCGGCGTCGTCCACCAGCAGGCACTTGACCACGACCTTGGCGCCGCTGCCGCTGCCGCCGCCAGTCGCGCCCTTGGCCCACGTGCCGCGGTGCACGGAGCCGTACGAGCCGCAGTCGAAGGACGCGTCCGAGTCGAAGTCCACGTCATCGCGCGGGATGAACCACTCGGGGACGTCCACGCCTGCTCCTGCTGCTGCTGCTGCTGCTGATGATGATGATGATGCCGACGGGTCCGTGGCTGCCAGGCGGCGGAGCGCGCGCTGCATGAGCTGCAAGTGCGCGGCCGCTACCTCGTCGTCGTCCGCCTCGTACCTATCGCGCTTGTGCTGCAGCTCGAACTGCAGCATGGAGAGCGCCTCTACGAAGCCGGCGCTGCTCTTCTCGGCCTCCAGCACCTGCGCGCTGTCCACCAGGTCGGCGAACTCTTGCAGCGCCGCGCGGCGGTCGCTCGTCCACTGCCGTCTCCAGTCGGTGGCAGGCACATTGTCTCGAGCCTCCTCCTGCTGCTGCTGTAGCTGGTCGAGGGCCTCGTGGAAGCCGCGCAGAGCCTCCTCCACCTTGCGGCTGTTGGCCAGGCGCTTGACGAAGCTCGACTCGCGGCGCTTGCGCAGGAACGAGGCGAAGCTGGCAATGACCACTGGCCCTGACTCTGAGGTGGTCTGTGTCTGTAGCTGTTGCTGTTGCTGTAGCTGCTGCAGCCGCTCGCAGACGTGCGCGCACATGAGCTCGTGCTCGCGCATCTGCTGGCAGAACGAGGCGGCCGCGGCCAGCGCCTCGGGATCGATGGCCGGCATGCTCAGAGTGACGAGGCAGGAGGGCAGGTATGTGGAGACTTTGAATCAAGCTTGAAGCGTGATATGTTGTGGACTGAGGTATGGCTACAACCGCCATGAATGGGTACAATCAGGCGATAAAAGAAAAAAAAACATCGGCAAGAATTCTTGTTGGCTACACGGTTGTTGCTTCACGGTGTTGCTGCCTGGGACTCACTCTCCCAAGTGGCGAGGATTTCTTGGGCGGTTCGGTCGTCGACGTATGGAGCTCGCTTGGCGAAGTAGCCGAGCACCTTGACAACGAAGTCGAGATCAAGGCGGTCGTCTGGCTCAAAGCGGCACATGCGCTTGACGAGCTCCCACTGCACTGGGGTAAGTGCATCCGGCTTCGTTGGGAGTTGCGCTCTTACAACGTGATACCGCACCACGCTATTTGGCATAGTTAGACCCCAAGGGAGCTTCCCACTGACAGCCTGGACGATGCACATTCCAAACGAGAACACGTCGGATGCAAACGTGGGGCCTTTGCCCTTCAGACACTCGGGCGCTTTCCACCGCTCGGCGCCCTGGCATTTCCCTCCATCGACCGTGTGCAAGCAACTGAGACCAAAGTCGATCAGTTTGGCTCGGCCGTCTCCTGATACCAAGATGTTGTCACACTTGAGGTCTGCGTGCACGACGCCGTGCAGGTGAAGCCCCTGTAACCCAATGGCGGCGTCTTGTAAGAGTCCCCACGTCGCCTCAACCCCAAGCCCAGTCGTAAGATACTTATCTAGGCGCCCTCCCCCCACTAGCTCGCTAACGAGCAGCTGATATCCGCCCGTGCAGGCACCAAACAAACGCGCAATATGAGGATGCCGCAAGCCATACCAGAGATTTGTTTCAACTAGCAGCGCTTGGCATTGATCCAAGTCGAACTTGTGCAACCTCTTGAGAGCAACGGGAGCCCCAAACCACAAACCACGGGCGACTGATCCAAAGGACCCAGCACTGATCTGACCATCAACAATCCTTTCCAAGTCTTCGTGGTGGATGCCCCACTTCGCGCGCAGTTGCATCGGTAGCACGCGAGCGCTGGGTGCGTGATCAACGGTCGGAACTTGGGCGCTGGTATACCTCCGCAGCCTCGGCAGAAGCTCTTCAGTTATGAGCTCCCTCGCTGCATTTTCAGCGAGGAACTCGATCGGCGGATTCTGAAAAGAAACCTGCCGCGGTTGTATCGCTGATGTGTAGTCAACGGAGCTACTACCAGTAGATAGGGAATCACCAAGCGACCCATTGTTAGAAAAGAAATCAGAATCGTCCGAAGCTCCATAGTTGTCGGAAGTAGCGTCTCGATCGCTAGAGCTTCTTTTCGGTTCATTTTCCCTCATATTCGTGGCCATCATTACTTGTAGTTGTTTTTGTTGGTCCAGGTTGAGTCGAATGCCCGACAGAGTCGGAAGGTGCTTGCCAATTGCGACTCGTACAGCAACAAACCACTTCAATCGATCCACAACTTGCTCCATTACGATACGGCGAGCTGGTTCATCACAGCACATGTCCTGGATCAACTGCCACTCTTCGTCATTGAGCGCTTCAGGTCGCAACAACTGGCGCTTTGGAGCGCAAACGGCACATGCAGGTGCTGGTGGGCATTCCTCTAACGTGAATTGTGTTTGTGTACCTAAAGCCTTAATGATGCAGACTCCCAAGCCGTATACATCAGACTCGAAACTGGTGGGATGCCCTACCGGACACATTGTCGAGGTTGATACCCCCTCTGTCGTGGGATCTTCTTCGGGTGAAAGGTCCTTGATGTGGTTGTCAATTCTGGAGCTGAGGTAAAAGCCCGACAGCTTTCCTCTCGCACCGGATCCTACAAGAATATTGCGAGCGCCTATATCTCCGTGCGCAATGTTCATGTTGTGCATGTATAGCAGACCGAGCGCCGCATCCAGCACAATTTCCCACACGTGCGTGGTTTCTGGGTTGTTGTTGTGGAGATACGAGTTTAAAACCCCGCCTTCAGCATATTCGCAGATGAAACCTTGTTTTCCATCCTGCTCATACGCCCTATACAGCGGTAGTATCGACGGGTGGCTCAGTGAGAACCAAAGATCTGCAACAGCCCGAAAACTTCGACTCGTACACTTAAATGCACCGGTAGGCTTTTCGACGCAAACTCGGGCGTCTTTCCACCAGCCCAGGTGCCTCGAGACAAGTGCCGTGGTTGAGATAGGAACAACACCAGAATCTTTCGGTAAGTCACGCATCATAACCCACTCCGGATGTCGATCGCCATCGTCCTCCACGGAATTTGCGAGGTGGCGCACAACGTCTGCGATGGTTGGTCTCATTCGAGGCTCGTACTCGCACATTTTATCCACAAGCTTCAAGTCGTCTTTACGAAGCTTGTAGAATCCTGGAGGCATTCTTCTCTGGTCGCACACTTTATACTGGATGTCTTCATCTGCTAGAGATTTACCCCACGGAGGCTGTCCGCTTACAGCGTAAATGAAGCACATACCAAATGTGTAGATATCAGACGCTAGGGTTGGCCTCTGCCCACGCAGGCACTCAGGTGCCTGCCATCGCACACTTCGATCGCGAGAAGAGCAGGGAGCAGATCCAAGCAACTCCAGGCAATATTTGAAGTCCGTAAATTGCGCTTTTCCATCACGACCGATACGAATATTAGATGGCTTGAGATCACCATACACGATGTTGTTAGTGTGGAGTTCCTGGAGAAAAACCGAAATCTCGAAGAGCTTCTGTAGTACTTCCGTTCTTGTGTGACGTTTCACAAAGTTAGCAAAACTTTGGCTATCAACATCGGTGTTGCCAGCACAAACGTAATTACCACAGCACTGGCACCATTGCTCAAACGCACAGGATGCTTCAGAGCAGCTCGAGCAAGTTGCAGTAGTACTAGTCTTGTGCTCACTTGGCGTAGGTGGTGTATAGCTGATTTCACGAGCGGCGCTTGGGGGCACTGAGTCATTTGGGTTCCGTCTAGGATCAACGTTATTTAAAACCAGCTCGCGAATTTCTTCAATCACGTCGTCAAGTGCTGGGCGCTTCTCGAAATCAGGATCACACAGCCGTGATATCAGATCCCACGCCCTATCAGATACTTCATCAGGCCGAGGATAACTCTCCCCACTCAGGATTTTCTCCACCACTTCTTCATCTTCCACCATAACTCCAAACGGAGGTTCCCGAATAATAATCTCAATCATACACATACCCAATGCGTAAATATCGGACTCAAAACGTATCTCATCGTTATACATGATCTCTCTGGGCTGCCAACGAACAGATCCGAAAGTCAGCGGAACTGTAGTGTAACCAGAAGCGCGCAGGCGGTCTTCCTCTGAGCGTTTCCCGGTGTCGGCCAACTTTGCTGCGTGATTCTCACCAACGAGGATGTTATTACACCTAAGATTTCGATGAATTATTTGCCTGTCGTGCAAAACCTTCAAGCCTTGCGCAGCCTGGAGAAATAACTGCCAGAACTGCGTCATGTGCTCTTCATCCTCCAGGTATTCCCAAAGGAATACTGGAGCATATTCACATACGTAGAACGGACGACCAATGTGAGATCCACCGTAGACCTTCAGAATGTGCTCGTTTTCTGGCATATTGCACCACAGATCCAAGTTGCGGATGAGTTCATCTTCAGAGTATTCTAAGTGTGGATGCAGCCGGTGCACCATCACCTTCTTGCGCTCTCCGTCATGAAGCCAAGTACCCTTGACAATTTCTTCGTCTTGGTCACGGATAACTGTGTCTCCACACTCCAAGTCGTCAAAGGGAATGAACCAGTCATACATGCAAAATCCGGTTTGGCCCAAGAAGCCTCTCACCCTCGACAATGTTGCCTGCTTGAGCTCTAGCATCTTAGGCGACTGGTCCTTCCACTTCATGCCGTTATTCAGGATCATGAGCGCCTCCTGCACCTTTTTGTCGCTTTGAAATTCGCTCACCAGCATTCCTTCGGAAGCGCCAGTCACCAACTCAAATAGCTTGGCGTGCTGATCCGCGCGATCGAAATCCCATTGCAGCCTCCAATGAGTCATCTCCGGTTTGTCCGCCAGGCCGAGGCCTTGTGCGACGTCGCTGAGTTTGAGCTGCATTTCTTGAATTTTTACTACCAGCTTCTCGCTATCCGCGAGACGCGATAGCAATGGTTTACGACGGATAATCTTGGTGAAGCGGGCGATGACAGTCTCGTACTCAATCTTCAGAGAATCCTTGGCCTCCAGCGGAGCCACAAAGTCGTGCAAGAACTGCAGACGGCTGAGGACTTGTCTGCATAACCCTTCATTCTCAGGCATGCGTAAGAGGCGAGTATCCAGGGCGCTCAAGACCTCAAGGCTTGACGCCTCTCTTAACCCAGCAACAGGAAAGTCTGTTATTTGGCTTCTAAGAGCGCGCATTCGCTCCTGCACTTCGTTTAGATTTGGCCGTTCGTGGCAGTTTGCTGCACAAAGCCGCTCGATGAACTCCCAAGTCTCATCATTCACATGTGCAGGGCGAAGATCACGAATTTCCTGGTTGATATCTGTTTGATTCGGAACTGGGGTATCTTGCTGAAGCACCTCAATCATGCACATTCCCAGCGCGTAGGTGTCAGCTGCGAACTGAGGAGTGCTGGTATCCTCATACATCTCCGGGGCTTGCCAACGACTGTCCTCAGACTGCACGTGATACGAACTTAAGCTCATCGACACGGTCCGAATCGAGTTAAGCCCAAAATCGCCAAGCTTCGGAATGTTCCTCTCTCCCAACAAGACGTTGTTGCAGCTCAACCCGCCATGAACAATACCCCGCTGGTGCAGAAATACCAGTCCTTCCGTAACTTGAATGAACACATCCCACAACAATTTCCAGTTAGGTCCATGCTCACGAACAAAATCACGTAAATTGCCCTGGCACGCGTCCTCGCACACGAAGAAATACTGTGATCCGACGAAGTTCCCGCCGTACAGTTGAAGGACGTTCGGGTGATCCGGTAGGCGATACCACGCCTCAAGGTGCACGATAAGCGGACGACGTACGACCTCCACGATGTCAGGGAAAATCTGTTTCACCACCACTGGCTTCCGTACTCCATCATGAAACCAAATCGCTCGAGTCACTCTACCAAACGAGCCGTCCACAGTGGGGCCGTCGTCGAGCACCAAATCGTTCGCAGAGATGAACCAATCCGCAATAGTAACGTCAGCAATACGACTATACTTGAGAACTCGCTCGTACGTCGCCTTCTTGAGCTCAAGTTGGTCCTGGGGTAAGTCGTCTCCCTTCAGGTCGTCCTCATAGTCTGCCAGAATTTCCTCCAGTTTCCTTGCACCCTGACCATCACCAGACACCAGCTCTCGATCGGTCGAGCTGGCGACTAATTCAGCTAGAAGACGGAGCTGCTTGGCCCGATCGCCCTCCCACTCCACTCTCCACTTCGTCACCTCTTCACAGTCACCCAGGCCCAATCCCTCCGCAACAAGGTCGATGTCTTGCTGCAGGTGGCGGATGAACTGGGCGATGGTATCACACTTGGCCAGGCGCCCCAATAAAGGCCTCCTCTGCGTGATCTTCGCGAGGAACGTCAGGGCTTTTACATACTGCGCCCGCAGTGGGTCATGTGGCTCTCGACTCGCCACCTCCTTGCGGAGGAACTCGAGGCGGTCGATTGCGTGCGCACAAAGCGACTCAAGCTCTGGGAGCCACTCGCACCACCTCTTGTGGATGGCATCAAGCAGCTTCTTGCAAGGAAGACCCCCTGGGGCGACCTCCAAGTCCCCCTCCATCGATCGCCCTGCTTTGGGTACGTACAAGATTCTTGAGTAAGCCTGCAAGACGCCGAAACTGGACACAAATGAGACCTGCCTAAGGGTGTAGCCATCGTTTTAGCGAATCAGTTGAGTTGGGCCGGCGTGAATGGGTTCAAGCAGTGTCTGAAGTTTGCAAGGACCATGCTGTGCTGCAGAAGTAAAATTGCTGTAAAGAGTACACGCTCAGCCAACGCCGACTCTTCCTATGGATAGTTATTACATGCATGTAGCTTCTGGACGAAAAATACCATTCCAACTTCCATTCACAAAACGCTACCTTTGGTACCAAGCACCACCTCATCCACGCCACTCTATGTTACGCCATACTTGCCATGGGCTGCTGCTTCTCCTCGGCGTCAGCGAACGCGCTGATCTCGGCAATCACCTGGTCGATCGTCGGACGCTTCTTGAAGTCCGGGTGGCTCAGGCGGCAGATGAAGTCCCACTCGGCGTCCGTCAGTTCCTCAGGACGCTCGTGCCTCTCGCCGCTCATGATCTTGTCCATGGCCTCCGTGTCGTCGTCCATGCCAAAGGGGACCTCGTGGGTCTTGGCCTCGATCATGCACATGGCCAACGAATAGACGTCCGACTCGTAGCGGGCCGCCTCCGTGCCCGCCTCCTCCAGCACCTCCTTGGGCTTCCAGCGCACCGACTTGGCGTTGGCCTGGCCCGCGTTCTGACTCAGCCCCGCCGACAGCGTGCGCACCGTGCTGAAGCCAAAGTCCGCGAGCTTGGGGGTGAAGCCTTCGCCCACGAGGATGTTATTGCACTTGAGTCCGCCGTGCACCGTGTTCTGGCTGTGCAGGAACTTGACGCCCTCGGCCACCTGCAGGAACATGCGCCAGAAGAGGCCGCTGTGCTTGTCGTCCTCGAGGAACTCGGCCAGGTTGCCGTAGTGCGCGTTCTCGCAGATGTAGAACTGCGGCTTGCTGACGTGGGAGCCGCCGTGGAGCTTGAGGATGTGCTTGTTGGGCGGGAGGCCGCCCCAGAGCTCGAGCTGCCGCAGGAAGGCGTCGTCCGACTCGCTCGACGTCTCGGGAAACAGCCGCTTGACCACGACCTCGGTGCGCTCTCCGTCGTGGATCCACGAGCCCCTGCACACGTCTCCGAAGGTGCCGCGGTTGCCGATGGCCTCGTCCTCGTACTCGACGTCGTCGATGGGGATGAACCAGTCGAACATGCGCATGCCCGTCTGGTTCAAGTAGCCCGAGACCCTCGCAAAGGTGTCCTCCTTGAGCTTGAGCATCTCGGGCGTCTGGCCCTTCCACTTGATGCCGCTGTTGAGGTTCATGAGCGCCTCCTGCACCTTCTTGTCGCCGCGGAACTCGTTCACGAGCATGCGCTCGGACGCGCCCGTCACGAGCTCGTTGAGCTTGCCGAACTGCTCGTTGCGGTCGGCGTCCCACTGCTGCTCCCAGCGCGTGGCCTCGGGCTTGTCGGCCAGGTGGAGGCCTTGGGCCACGTCGCTGAGCTTGAGCTGCAGCTCGCGGATGGTCGTGACGAGCGTCTCGCTGCTGGCCAGACGCAGCAGCAGCGGCTTGCGGCGCATGAGCTTGGTGAAGCGCACCACGACGTCCGTGTACTTGGCCTTGAGGGGGTCCTCGGCGGGGAGGGGCGACACGGACGCGTGCAGGAACTGGAGACGGTCGAGCACCTGGCGACAGAGCTTCTCGTTCTCGGGCATGCGGCGGCAGCGACTGGACAGGTCCGTGAGCGTCTTGACGCTGGAGGGGGAGCCCTTGAGCCCGGCGATGGGGAAGCCCTCGGTCGACATGGCAGCACGGGGGCGGGGGGAATGCGAGAATGACCAGGGAACGAGAGGTCCAAGAGTGGAGAAAGATCGCCAGTGCTGATTTTTGTTGTTTTTGGCCGCGGGCGATGGGTACACTTTGCGGAGAAGGTGCGGCGGCAGGTCCTGCCATTCCAGCAAGGTGCTCTTGCTGGTGTTGGCGTCGGGGAGCTGCATGTGGTTTTGGGCATGGCTAACGTTAGATGCTAGGAGCTCATGTGTCTGTGTTGCGGGTGCTGGGCATCGATCGCTAGTGGAGACTATGAACGTGAGGTGGGGACGATGCTCGATTGTGATTGGCTGACAGCTTCAACCAAGGCGTATCTGGTCAGAGCCAAGTGGACAGCAGCTGGTGATTTAAGGGCGGACGTACAGAGGCCCCGTGCAGTAGTGTCGCCGACCCCTCTCACTCAAGATTTCGCCCCTCAAGCGTCGAGGCCTCACTGCCGCCAATTGCTCTGCTCCAGCAACAATGGAGGATGCCCCCGTGTCGCCCGCTGAGCCGGTGAGTTTCCCCGTGGCGGCACGGAGAGGGATATCTAGCCGTCGCATCGTGTTCAAGGAGCTCCCGCAGCGGCTTCGACACATGCCCGAGTGCGACGGTATGAGCCGACATCTTCACGCACGCGTCGAAGCGGCCCACGACGCTGTCGCGGCTCACAACGAGCAGTGGAAGGCCAAGTATTGCGACGTCCTCGGGCACTTCTGCAAGCTGCTGCGTCGGACGCCTCTGCTCGAGCGCCTCGCGGGGGGAGAAACGATCGCGTACACGTTTCAAGAGCTCAACTCCAAGATGGACGAGATCTGCGTGGGCGTGGGCGTGATTGCCTCGTCCGCTGCAGACCAGTGGAAGGAAGATTGGGTCAGCGACTGCCAGGCCCAAGCCGCGCAATTGAAGAAGCTCGTTCGAGCTGCGGGACCCTCCATGCTCATTCGAGCGGTGGGTGACGAGAAGCAGGCGCGGCTAGCGATGATGGACATGTACTTGTCGCTCGAAGAGGAGGTGTTGGGGCCACTCACACAGCTTAAGCGGGAGACACTTGGTCGCTTGTGTGCTCTCCTTGGCCTCGAGACCCTTGACATCACGGCCGAAATGCTGGGTGCAGGTGAGTGTGGAGCCAATTCGAACAGAAGCTTGTCCATCTTTCGTTGGTACATTCCACAGAGAGACGTAAAGTTCGCGTACGCTGCGCTTATTGGGGATGGAACGTACGGCACAGTTTAACGTGGCACATGGCGCCGCCGCGACGGAGTGATCCAGAACGTCGTGGTGACGTCGCTCTATGACGTGACTTCGTTCTCGGGGTGGTCATTTCTGAGGCACTTGCAGCTCTGGTACGAACTGCCCAAGCACCGCAACATCATTCGTCTCTTTGGAAGTTCCCACCTCGCCGCGAAGCCCTTCTTCGTGTGCGAGGATGCCCCGGGTGGTGACATTGTCCAGTTCTTGGGTAAAGAGGAAAACCGAGGGCAGCTGTGGAGCATGTTTTTCGAAGTGGCGGAGGGGCTGAAGGTACTCCATGATCACCATATCGTGCATGACGGTTTACGAGGCAGCAACATCCTGATAGGAGAGAACCACACGCCTAAGATTTCGGACTTCGGCTACGTGAGTATCCGTACGACATCGCTGAGTTTGAGTGCAAGCTTCAGTATGAACAGCTTGTTTCGTTGGAAGCCTCGAGAAAGAATGGTGGAAACTACCAATGACCGCTACAAGTCGGATATCTACTCCCTTGGAATGTGCATCATCGAGGCCATGACTCAGGACATCCCCTTTGGGACTGACGTCGACGATGACGATGTCGCAGAGATGATCATTGCAGGGAAACCATACAAACGCCCCGACACAAACATGACGGACGAGGAGTGGGGCGTCATCAGTCGCCTTATTGCTGTCGACATGAACGAGCGCCCGGATATGAACGAGACTATCTCACTCTTGCGCAGTCTGGCGCCACCGGCGGCGTGAGCTTAGATAAAGCTGCTTCAAACATGCCACTTGTTCGGCGAATCGCTGCTTCTCAATGCCCGCCATTAGGTGCTACCTACAATGGTACTCTTATCGGTCAATACATGCACACTGGACGTGATCGGGTAGTCGGTTAGCCTAGGATATGCCTGTCTAGCCGTTGTGGCTGGGCTTGCAGTTAGTGGAGACTATGAACAGAAGGTGGGGCAGCAGCTTGGCTGGTAACTTCAGCTTGGATACCGAATCCAAGTCTGCTCGAAGTGTGCAATGCAATGCGCTCGAAAGCTGAGCAGCAGTGTAATGATAGCTGCACTGCCCGCTGGAATGGCCAGAGCCTTCCCTGTTCGTACCCAAGTGGACAGCTAGCCACCGACGGTGATTTGTGTGCAGACGATCTCCAGCAGGTCGCCAGCAGCGAGGTCCTAGAATCTAGGACCTCGCTGCAATATAGGCTAGATTGTCTTCGTGCACTTGACTCATGTTTGACTGCTCACTCTGATCAAAAGATCTGCCCCCACTTTCGTTTTCGCTTCTCAAGAGTCGAGAACAACCAGCACCCGACTGTCGGCAGCCCCACCCCAGCAGCTATGGAAAGGGTCCCAATGACACCCGTTGAATTCCCCGTGCCGGGTCTTCTAGGGTCACCGTCAAGCCGTTCGATCGTACACAAGGAAATCCCCAAGCGGATCGTGCGCATGCCTGAGTGTGATGCCTTCGTCCGAAGCCTCCACAAGCGGCTTCACGTTACCCATGACGTCGTTGCAGCGCACGAGGACGACCAGTGGCGGGTCAAGTACTGCTCTGTTCTCAAGCGCACCATCAAGTTGCTGTCTAAAACGCCCCCTCTCGAGCGCCTCGCGGGGGGGGGATACGACCTCTTGCTGGTTTCGCGTGCTGAACGAGAAGCTTGACGAGATCTGCGTGGGGGTTGGACTGACCCCAGCTCAGTGGCAAGGAGATTGGGAGCGTGTCCGTCAAGTCCAGGCCCAAGAACTGGAGCGGCGACTTCGTACAGCTAGTCCTGCCGCGCTTATCGGCCAGGTGAATGGCGAAACGAAGCTCAAGCAAGCGGTGCTGGAGATAAAGCTGTCGCAGAATGAAGACACGCCACTGGCGGGTCTCAAGAGAGCGACGCTGGAGCGCCTACGTGAAGTACTCAGCCTCAACACCCGCGTCATCACTTCCGAAACGTTGGGGGGGCATGAGCGCTAAGTGCATCTTGAACATGTTTCCTTGGTACATCCACGAACAAGACGTGCAGCTCACTGGTGGTATTCCGCTTGTTGGCAGTGGAACGTACGGCACAGTGAGCCAAGGCACGTGGCGCGACCGCAACGGCATCACCCATGAGGTCATCGTGAAGTCGCTCGTTGACAGAAGCTCCGAGTCGGGGGCGTCATTTTTCAACCAACTGCGGCTCTGGCAGAGATTGCCAAAGCACCGCAACATCATCCGCCTTTTCGGAGGTTCACACCTTGCAAAGCAGCCCTTCTTCGTGTGTGAGAACGCTCCTTACGGGACGATTGTCCAGTTCCTGAGCGAAGAGGAGAACCGCGGGATGGTTTGGGGCCTGTTTCTCCAAGTGGCAGAAGGCCTGAAGGCCCTCCATGACCGGCGCATCGTCCACGGTGGCTTAAAGGGCAGCGACATTCTGATCGGTAAGAACTACACGCCCAAGATTTCTGACTTTGACTGCTCCCGTATCCACTCGGTGTCAGCGAGAGATGGGGGAAAGCGCGCTACGGAGGAGGGCCCGAGATACAAGTCGGACATTTACTCTCTTGGTATGTGCGTCACCGAGGCCATGGCGCAGGGTCTCCCATTTGGAACCCACACCGACGAAACCAAAATCACGGATATGATCATCGCAGGGGAGCCATGTGAGCGCCCAACCACAGAAATGTCGGACGAGGAGTGGGGCGTCATCAGCCGCCTTATTGCTGTGAGACGAACGAGCGTCCCGACATCAACGAGACCATTGCGCTTCTGCGCAGTCTGGCGCCACCGGCGGGCGTGAGTGAGCTTGACTGCTTCGCTTGAAAAATTCGGCGAGTCGCTGCTTCTTCTCGCGCAATGTCCGCGGTTAGTTGTCCTCTGCAATGGTACTCTAAAGGGTTAATTGATGTTCACTATACGTGATCGGGCGATGGGTTGGCCTAGGACAAGCTGCATTGTCGTTGTGTCTAGACTTGGAGACAGCAGCTCCATTGTGATTGGCTGATAGCTTCAACTTGGATACAGTCTGCTCGAAGTGGGCTTTGAAAGTTTCAAATTGAAACACATAGAGGCCCTGGATGGCAATGAGCTTGTTGCTGCTGCGATTAGATGGCTACTGTAGAGGTCTTCCCTGCTCGCACCCAAGTGGAGGTGATTTGTGTGCGGGCGATTTCCAGCAGAAAGGTCCAGGGTTGTCTCTGTGCTTAACTCATGGTCCACTCCACTAAGTACGCGGGCAAAAGATCTCGATGTCGATGTCGAGTCGAGCGGTCATCAAGGTCTCCTCACTTCCGCTTCCGCCCCTCAAGCGTCAAGACCAGCCCAGGTGCCAAGACCGCCTCGACCCGCCCACCCGCAAACATGTTCCAGCCTCCGATGGCAGACGCGACCATGACGCCCGCTGGGCCTGTGAGTTTTCCCGTGACGTCTCTGAAAGGGGCGTCCAGCTATCGCATCGTGTTCAAGGAGCTCCCGCAGCGGCTGCGACGCATGCCCGAGTGCGAGGGGATGAGCCGGCGCCTCCACGACCGCATTAAAGCGGTCCACGACGCCGTCGCAGCTCACGACGAGCAGTGGAAGGCCGAGTACTGCAACGTCCTCAAGCGCTTCATCAGGGTGCTGCGTCAGACGCCTCTGCTCGAGCGCCTCGCAGGGGGAGAAACGATTGCGTACACGTTCCAGGAGTTCAACTCCAAGATGGACAAGATCTGCGTGGGCGTAGGCGTGATGGACTCGTCCGCTACAGGCCAATGGCAGGGAGCTTGGGCCAGCGACTGCCGGGCCCAGGCCGCTCTATTGGAGAAGCTGGTTCGAACGGCCAGCCCCTCCATGCTCATCGGAGAGATGAAGGGCGAGAAGAAGGTGACCAAAGTCATGGTGGACATGTACGCGTCCCTCGAAGACACGGCGTCCGGACCACTCACGGAGCTAAAGCGCGCGACACTGGAGCGCCTGCGCGCCCACCTCCGCCTCGAGACCCGCGTCATCACGGCCGATACTCTTGCTGCAAGTGGACCCAATTCGAACAGCATCTTGTCTATCTTCCGCTGGTACATTCCCCAGCGAGACGTGGACCTCGCGGATGCTGCGCCAATTGGCGCTGGAACGTACGGCACAGTGAACCACGGCACCTGGCGCCGCCGTGACGGGACGACCCAGAACGTCGTGGTGAAGTCGCTCTACGACAAAGGCTCGGAATCCGAGGCTTCATTTCTGAGGCAGCTCCAGTTCTGGTACGAACTGCCAAAGCACCGCAACATCATTCGCCTCTTTGGCGGTTCCCACCTGGCTGCGAAGCCCTTCTTTGTGTGTGAAGAAGCCCCCGCAGGTGACATTGTCCAGTTCATGGGCGACGAGGAGAACCGAGGACTGCTGTGGAGCCTCTTCCTGCAGGTGGCAGAAGGCCTCAAGGTCCTCCACGACCACCGCATCGTGCACGACGGATTACGGGGCAGCAACATCCTCATGGGCGAGAAGAACACGCCCAAGATCTCGGACTTTGACTGCTCTCGTATCCGTACCATTTCCGCGAGCTACAGCAAGAAGACGGAAGACGCGATGAGCAGCTCCATCCGCTGGAAGCCTCGAGAGAGAATGGTGGAAGCTACCAATGATGACCCGCACTACAAGTCGGACATTTATTCCCTTGGAATGTGCGTCATCGAGGCGATGACTCAGGATATTCCCTTTACAGCCGAGATCGACGATAAGGATGTCACGGGGATGATCATCTCAGGGGAGCCATACGAGCGTCCAGCGGCAAAAATGTCGGACGAGGAGTGGGGCGTCATCAGCCGCCTTATCGCTGTCGATATGAACCAGCGCCCGGATATCAACGAGACTATCGCGCTTCTGCGCAGTCTGGCACCACCGGCGGCGTAGACGTAGCTTGTACATGCTGTTCTGTTGTGTTGGAGTAAATAGGAACTTCTCGAATCTCTTACTCGATGTCCCGTTGGGGCTTCTTAAACCAATTTGACGAGCTTATGGCGTCAACCCTGGGAGATGTTGCCCTCCAGAGCTACGTTTCGAGTTCGTTTCAAGGTGCGGGCTTTAGTGCCTACGATGAGTGTGGAGTCTTGATTTGGTGTCCGACACCTATCAGACACCGGAATCGCCGGCTTGGATTAGTAGACGTAACTTTACCTAAGTCAGATTCACCTACGCTTGCCAAAGCAGTGAATTGCTTACACCACATCTCCAAAGAGTTTCGTCGGCAGAAGAAGAGAGGTACTGTACAGCGAACTCCTGGACTACTATTTGTCGAGAGGGGTTTCCATTTTGAATCGTGAATCGTCACGATGCTTGTCTTTGCAGTGGAGCTGGACGCTCGTCGCTGCCTCGCAACAATACGCAGGGGTTTCTCAATCGCGCAGCAACTTGAAGTCGAGTACCCCCCGCCTCAACCGATCTCTTATTCCGTCCAACCATCTCGACGAAACCTAAAACGGAGAGATCAGCATTTACTGCTTGCTGGCCACACGTCTGTCGCCACGACCTGAGCTCTGCCTGACGCGCGTGGATATGCGTACCGAGACGACAGCGATAGTGAAACTGAAAGCAGTAGAGTCTGCGAGCGTGCATTGCGCCGGTGGCTTGCCTTCCGCCATTCTCATTTTCCCTGCTCCAAGTGTCCAAACTCCTCAGGCATAATTATGCTTCAAGTTGCTTCGACTGTAACCCGAGTACTTGAAGAGCACAGCGATCTCTCAGGCGCGTCTTTAGGCAAAATCATCTCCACCGCGGTCGTTCAGGGCATGGTGCATGTGCTCACAGGTGGCTATCGTCGCTCTTGTTCTCCACTGCTTGAGGTCGCGGAGTCTGACTTTGAAGTCGTCGGCGTGCGTATATACGTAGGACCTGACCACCTCAGCGCCATTGCAGCCATGACGACAGGTTCGCCTTCTCGCTCGGAGTCCGGTGGGGCTGTGGCCACTCCCTTGGGCTGCTCATCATGACGGCGACCTTCTTCGCGGCGGGACAAACCGTCGACCTCAACGCTGTCGGCGCCTACCTCAACTACGTCGTGGGCGCCTTCATGATCGTGCTGGGGACTTGGACACCAGTGAACGTCCGCAAAAAATATCTCCAGAAGGTGAAGGAGCTGGACGAGTTGCCCACCTCGCCCAGCGTGATGAAATCGCCCGACTATCGGTCCCCCGTGGGCGAATTAACCGCAACTAGCGGATCACTCGGCCACTTGGCCCCATTTCCCCCGCAGAGGTGGCTCATGAGGTGACTCGCTCGCCCGCCTCGTCCTTCCACCTCTTCATCCAAAGCAACGGCAACCACGACCACACGCACCATGTGAACCGACTGTCGGTGGTTGAGTCCGTGGACTTGGAGCCGGGCAAGCCTGACAAGACACGAACCAAGTGCTGCAGCAACCTGAGCTTCGAGAACCCGTGGGTCCAAAAGGTGCGTCTACAGTAGCAGCTTCCACATTCCCGTGTCCTGTGCTGATGAAGTTGTCGTGGTTTTCAACAGATCACGGCTCTGGCGGTCGGTGTCATCCACGGAATCGCTGGTCCGGGCGGCATCCTGGGCGTGCTGCCCGCCGTGGTACTCAACAACTGGCTCAAATCGACCGCCTACCTCGGGTCCTTCTGCATCGCGTCTATCGTCACAATGGGAGGCTTCGCTGCACTGTACGGGGAAGTGACCGGTCGACTCGGGGGCAGTTCACTCGCGATGGACCTGCGCGTCGGCCTCGTTTCAGCCTCCTTCTCCTTCGCCGTGGGCATCGCCTGGATCGTTTTCCAGGCCACAGGCCTCATGAGCGGCATCTTTGGCGAGTAAATGAGCGCTGTCAATAGAGAGAGAGAGTCCGGCATTGCCTTGCATTGCATTCGTCCTCCACAGTCTCACTTGACTCACTCCACTTCAACGTGAAACCAACGGCTCGAGAGTCAGCTCGCTTTTGGACCGGCTACTGATGCGCTGCCGCCGTTTGATTGGCTGGGCGATCGCAATCATGACCGCGAGCTGACGTCGGTCGGTCCCAGCTCAAGCCGTTCAAGCCCTTCAACTGACGTCGTCCCACGAACGCCGTGTAGGCTACAGACGTTGGATACTGCTGCTACACGGTGTAGCAGCAGTATCCAACGTCTCATTGGACGAGAAGAGGGGAACGGCAGTTGTAGATATCCCTCCGCGAGTAGCAATGGAGACTGCGGGTCGGTGGCTGAGCGAGGAGCACAGCAGCCTCTCGGGCGCGTCGCTGGGCAAGATCATCTCCACGGGGCTGCTGCTCGGCGTCGTGCACGTGCTCACAGGTGAGTTAGTTATGTGGTCCTGACCAATTTTCATCTTATTAGCCTGGGAGATTAAAATCTGGTGCATATGGTATCACTTGGCGCAGGTCCCGATCACTTGAGTGCGCTAGCTGCAATGACGACGGGCTCTTCGTGGCGGGCGTTTGCGCTGGGCATTCGCTGGGGCTGCGGCCACTCGATCGGCCTCGTGGTCATGGCGCTCATCTTCTTCGCCGCGGGCCAGACGGTGGACTTGGACGCCGTGGGCGGCTACCTCAACTACGTCGTGGGCTTCTTCATGATCGCGCTGGGCATTTGGACGGCGGTTCACGTGCGGAAGAAGTACCAGACGCAGCTGAAGGAGGGCGTGCAGTCGCTCGTGAGCGCGGAAGGCGGGCGAGCTGAGAGCAACCGCGCGAGTCGGAGCTCCACCGGCGCCACGCCGACTAACTTGGTGGAGCTCATGCCGCTCTCGCAGCGAATAGTGTCGAGTGCCGCAGACGCTGCGGTACCAATGACGTCCCCGAGGAGCTCGTCGGCTCAGGAGCAGAATGTGGAAGTCGCGTCGCCGTCTTCGTCTTTTCACTTGCTGATCAAAGAGGACGGGGCTTCGAGTGCTGCGGACGCCACGGGAACGGCGGTATCCCCGCGAGAGAAGGCTTCAAAGCTGCACCCGCACAGCTGGAATTGCTGTCGGAGTGTGAGCTTCGAGAATCCAGCGACACAAAAGGTAGGTCTTGTGGCTCTACGTATCCGATTCGGCTCCATTGTTAGCTTAAGCTCATATTGCTCTTGTCTTGTGCGCTGCAGATAATGGCTCTCCTCGTGGGGATTATTCACGGCTTCGCCGGACCTGGTGGAATTCTGGGCGTGCTGCCTGCGGTGGTGCTGAACGACTGGGTAAAGTCCGTCGCGTACCTCGGCTCCTTCTGTGTAGCGTCGATCTTCATCATGGGCGTGTTTGCGGCGCTCTACGGCGAAGTCACTGGTCGCCTGGGCGGCAACTCGCTGGTGATGGAGTTCCGGATCGGAATCTTCTCCGCCTTCTTCTCGTTCATCGTGGGCGTCGCCTGGATCGGCCTGCAGGCATCAGGCCAGATGGACGCAGTACTCGGAGAATAACTCGATCGCTGTTCGTAGAGTGGCGTGTTGGTCGAAATGCGAGTCGAATACCGTCTTAACTAAAATATCTGAGGTGGGCCATGAAAGGTCATTGAGATATCTTCCATTTGTCGTCGTGAACATGGAGCCCGACGACGATGCGTCGAGCGTTCTACATAGCTCGATGTGGCAGGTGGCGCTCATAGCCGTCTCCCTCGGCGTTGTCCACGTGCTCACCGGTAAGGCGAATGCACTTGAGAGCCTCGAATGTTCGACCAGGACAGCTAACCTTGTTGCACTTCTTCGTCCAGGACCCGATCACATTGGGGCGCTGGTAGCGCTCTCCAACGGGAAAACGTGGCGGCAGGCGTTCTTGCTGGGAGCGCAGTGGGGGTGTGGCCACTCGCTCGGCATTTTGGCCGTCGCGCTGGTGTGTGTATTCGTCATCGGCCACGCGTTGGCCCCGAGCAGCAGCTTCAATATGGCGTGCAAGTACCTCACGGGAGTTTGTCTCGTGTTGCTTGGAGTGTGGACGCTGTACGGCGCCTTCAGAAAGTACAAGGAGACGCAAGTGCCGCGCAGTCCTCGACATCTGGCGTCGTCACCGAAGTCGTTGTGGAGTGAAGTGCAGTGTCAAGACGCTTCCTACGTTTTACTGCAGTCGCCGAATGATCCGGAGGCTAAGATGCAGCTCACAGCGACGTCGGCAGCCAGCATCGGCGTGGGGATCGTGCATGGGGCAGCTGGACCGGGCTGTTTATTGGCAGTGCTGCCCACTCTCGCCATGGAGAAGGACGTCTTCCGGGCGTTGCTGTATCTCGGATTCTTTTGTGGCAGCTCCATCCTGTCCATGGGGTCGTTCGCTGCGCTCTACGGGGAGTTGACGCAACGAAGTGGGAGATCGCAATCCCCAAGAGCAGCTCTGTACGTTGCGGTCGGCTCGTCCGTCCTCTCAATAGCTGTGGGGGTCACGTGGGTCGTGTTGCAGGCGACTGGAGTACTGGATCGCGTGTTCGGCGACTGATTGCAGCCCCATCAACACGAGTATTTAGCAGTTCAGCAGTACGATAGGATAGACCTCCTCCACCTAGTGTGTGCAGATCCACTGTTTCCTCGGCGAGGTACACAGTAACAGTAACATTGGTACTGCTTGGTTCACAATGGTCACAGTTACCTACTACCCCCTATATTTAATAGGCTTGGAATGTCGCGCTATAGCTCTCCACGTCGGCTTCACTAATGCTACACCCGCCTACATCATCAGTCTACCCCACTTCCTCGTCGCTGTTGCTGTCTCCTTCGTCTACAACGATCGCTCGTCAACCAGACTTGCCAACGGCACTAGACCTTTCCTGGTCCCTTTGTCCCTGCCGTTGGCGACGTCGAAGTACCCGAGAGAGTCTGCCAAGCATCGTTGTTATGTTGGAGACGGGGAAACAGCGATACTGACGAAGAGGAAGTGCTAGCGTGTACGTAAACGACTGGGTGCGGCTTCTGGAGAAAATCGAGGAATGAGGCAATATTGCAACAGTGCTCAACTATGAAGAGCTTTACCGCACAGATCATTTACCGCATAAGGCTATCTATCTATCCCACGATAGCCAACGCATGGTCAAAGCTCGTCTTCAAAAGCAATGTTGAAGTCAAGATCCCAAAGCTTCACCTGTAACATTTTATCGGGTCCTTTCAGGCTTCCTGGCGAAGGGGGTCTCATGAGCAGGAAACGTGTTACCAGATTCTGGTACACGGTAACATCCACGGTTTCCTTGGGTTTTCATGGTAACTGTGGACGTGTACCTGCGCACACTACCTCCACCCAAGCGAGCACAGCACAAGTTGCATCCATTGATACGCCTTTACGTCATCGTCCAGTACTTTATCAGAGGCTTGGAAGCCTCTGCTCCATTTTACCCGAACACCTCGTCCAAGGTGCCGGTCGAGACGAGGATGACCCACATGATGCCCACGCAGAGCGACACGCAGGACGAGAAGATGCCCACGCGCACGAGCGACGAGTCCGAGAAGCGGCTCATGCGGCCCGTGACTTCTCCGTACAGCGCTGCGAAGCCGCCCATGGTGAAGATGGAGGACACGCAGAAGGCGCCGAGGTAGGCGGAGGACTTGGCCCAGTCGTTGAGGATCACGGCCGGCAGCACGCCCAGGATGCCCCCGGTGCCCGCCAGGCCGTGGGCCGTCCCGTAGGCGAAGGCCGTGAGCTTCTGCGTGTGCGGGTTCTTGATGTCCGCCGTGACGAGGCCGAAGCAACAGGTCTTGGTCACTGGTTGGTCCTCCTGGACCTCGGTGGACGTCTCAGAAGGACCCTTGTGGTCCAGATGGTGCGCGTGCAGGATCTTCTGGACCTCCGAGTCGCTGTCCACGTCCTCCTGCAGCTCCGCCTCGAGCTGCAGCGGCGTCCTCTCGCCCGCGGGCTGGTGCTTGAGCCGCAGCCGGCGCCCGAGCAGCACGTAGTAGCGCAGGCTCCAGAGCCCGAGCCCCATCATGAGGAAGCCCACCATGAAGTCGCAGTAGCTGCCGAACGTGTCCACGTCCAGGTGCCGGTTGAGCGCCAGGAAGCACGCGGTCACGACCACGAGCCCCGTCGAGTGGCCGCAGCCCCAGCGCATGCCCAGCTGGCACGAGCGCCACGACGACCCGGCGCTCAGCACGATGAGCGCGCTCAGGTGGTCGGGGCCCGTCAGCACGTGCACGAGGCCCAGCAGCAGGCCTATGCCCACGATGCCCGGCAGTGACGCGCCTTCCAGCGCGGCGACGGTGTCTGCGGCGCCCATGAGAGCTGCTGCTGGTCTACGGGTCCGATCGGGGAATGTGGGCGATCCTTTGACACGCACGCGGCCTCTTGTCAGACGTGGCACTGGACAGGCGCATCAACTGTCTATAGCGATGTTTGACCTGAAGACACGTAAACAATACGTAAACAGTTTCAAATGGCTGGAAGTCTGTGTATAACGATGTTAGATACAAACTGATAAAACGGGCATATATTAGATAATATAGGTTTCTGTCAAACGCTCGCTGATTGGTTAACTTGGAGCGTCACCGATCCCAACTTCAACTTGGTGTGTCTGACGTCCTCAGCCGACGACGGCGTTCACCTTGCTGGTCGCTACGAGCGCGACCCAGGCGAGGGCGATGCCGATGCACGCGCATGACGAGTATAGCGCGAGTCGGTAGAGCGCGCAGTCGGACACGCGGCTCAGTCTAGCTGTAGCCCCACCGAAAGCCGCCGCCATGATGCCGACCACGAGGATCGACGTCGCGCAGAACGACACGAGGAAGGCGACGACCTGGCTACAGTCGCTGAGCAGAGCTGGGGGCAGCGCACAACTAGCCACCTCCAGCCCTTGGAACACCCCGAAGACCGCCGACGTGACTGTCTGCGTTGTCGGGTCCGTGATGTCCGGGCTCGGCCGCCTGCACCTCCCGCAGCAGCACTTAGTAGTAGGTGGCAGCACATTACACCGGCAGTTTTTTATTTTCATAATTTCTTACCGTAATTAACCACCGAGAACATTCCTGAAACCTTCTTTCGGGACAGCAGCGATTTCAACGACGCGACCTCTCAACCACCTGAGAGCTTGAGGAGGCGTCTGTTAGCGAGCGGGCAGCCGCGCGACCCTGTAGACGTGCAGGATCGCACATGCGAGGGTAAGACGAAACTCCTAATAATTACTGGCACATTACGACGTCATTTTCAGAAATAATTTATTTTTTTCAAAAAAATAAGAGGCTATCTATATAGATACCATACATACATCACTAACTTTCGGAAAATACAAAGGTCAATCCATTGAGGATGTATTCAAGAATGATCCTGGATACTGTCGATGGATGCACAACCAACCAAGCCTTAACATTAGTGAGGATATCAAGATTTTCCTTCACTCCAAGTTTCTCAGCAACGATAATTCATATATGATGACATGGGGGAAGTATCGGGGTAAGACTCTCAAGCAGATTAGCCGAATGGATCCCGGATATATCGATTACCTACGCAAGAGCGAATTAGTGATTGAGAAGTGTCCTAAGCTACTCAAGGAGCTTAACTAAGAAAAAAATATTTTTTTGTTAGCTAAAATGGGGTCTACAACCTATGCGGTTGAGAATTCTAAAATTTCGCCGGTTAGTCTATCGAACGTTAGTTCCTGTTCGCTGATCACGAGGACCAACAGATTTACGCCTTGACATCCAGCGTTGGTACCCTGAATCTGAATGGCTTGAGGTACATCACGCTCAGTCAGACGACTAACGTCAGCGATAAGGACACGGTTAGTTAGCGACCACGTCTGATAGTCAAGGAGACCATTAACTAATTCAGGTGTTAGATCACCATTGATCGAAGAGATCTTAGCCAACTCATTGTGGAAGTGATGGAAGTCATAATCATGGCTAATGTCGAACACCTGAGTAGAACCAATGCGCACGTTGAAGTTGCGAATCGAACTACCTGGGTGGAGTGTCCATGGAGAACTATCGAACGGAGATTGGAATTCCTGAACAGTAGCAGAAGCGAAATTACCAGTCTGTTCAGCAAAAGGGAGTACAACTACGTATTTCGCATTCTTAACACTTGCCGATAGCTGTAGATCAAAGGAAGCGTTATGCTGAGTCGATTGCTTTCCAATACCAGTCCGCTGATAGAACCACTGAGCGTAGCAATCGTTGTAGCGAACCTTCTTAACCGGCTTAGAAATGATAGCCTGAGGATTCTCAAGATGTACAAACGGTACATACAGGCGAGCCGTAGTGAAAGGCATATACGTTCCATCGATAGTAGGTTCAAGAGCATTGACTACAGCGCCCCAAGAGATACTGAATCCGGCAGAAGCAGCAAGCACTCCAGCCATGGGATTGCCACTGGAAGAGGCAGCGACCATTACAGGACATACATTGCCCGAAGCAAGGGTAGTAGAAGTTAGAGACATACCCTTTGTAGAATCTACAGCGATAGTAGAAGTTCCCTGATTGACGCGGAAACGGAGACGAATCTGGGGATTAGCCATTAAATCAAGTTCCTTGAAGATAGGATGGAGATCGGATAGCTTGATCTTTAGCATGTAGTTCCATGTACCCATGATTGCGTTAGCAGTGGCAGCACCAGCTACAAATGCACCACGAGCAGTTTGGTTAGCAATGGTGGTAGAAGCAGCAGCTCCACCCACCGAAGGCCACGTCGAAGAGAAATCAACGCCAGCAGTAGGAGGGTTCGACAACAGACGCTTTACGAGACCGTCATTAGCAATTGTTGCTCCTCCAGCAGGAGTAGAAGTGGTGAAAGTTGAAGAAAAGGCAGCAGTGTTTGAATAGCCATCGCCGTTGAGGGAATTAGTTCCAGAGCTGTACGAGACGGACTGAGCAGCATCGGGGAACAAGAACGATTCCGCTCCATGCTTCTCTACATACTGAGGACTGTATCCAGTCTGAGCGCGAACGTTGTTCCAAAAGAGCTTGTAGTCGGCCATCGATACGATGGTCTTACCATTTAGTTCAAGACTCAGGCTATCGATGACATTCCAGTTGCCACACTTTAGAGTAGCGCAGAAGCGGTTAGCAGGTAGAGTCTGACCAGTAGCACCATTCTTCATCGATACTTTGTATGGAAGCATAATGTAGGCATCACGGAGGCTCGCAAACCCTTCTGATCCATTCAGTTGAGCTGTTGCGTCAATAGTGATGACACCATTTTGATACGATCCCTGGTTGAGATCGATAACAAACGGTACACGCTTGCCTGATGATACCTTGATCTCCGGGTCGCTCTTGAGCGAGCTCTGGTACAAATATTGGTCGGATAATTGAGTTTCACTCATCGTTGAGATTCTATATGGGATGTAATATCCTTTCTCAAAATTAATTATTATGGAGCTCATTAAACCAATCACATCTGATCATGACCTCATTGAACTTGCGAAAAAAATGAATATACATCTTGATGATATTTTTGAGTCAAGTGAGATAACAAAGCGGCTCCCAAAGAAAGGATCATATCTGATTTTGTTGAGGCAACCTAATATGGATGTAGGACATTGGACATGTGTTCATGATGGGGAGTATTTCGATAGTATGGGTGAGGCAGCCCCAACAAAGTATGGAGTTGGTAAATACAATCCAAAGCACGTATGGTGATTATTGTGGGATATGGTGCATGCTGTGGCTCTATTCGAAACAATATCGTAAGCCAGATGTATTCAAAAATATGAAAGATTTAAATTTAACTATTCTTTAATTCAACGTATTTAGCAAACATGTACCGCGAACTAACTATTTCAAGCGATATTCCTGCCCGAAAGCTTAGCAAAGCTTTCAAGACCGGTAAGCTTAGTCTTACATCAAACGAACTCAAGGGTAGCGGCTCTGTTATCCACCTTCATCCGACGTCTTATGAGAAAGCTATTAAGGCTTGTAAGGCTGGACGCGGTGTCAGACTTGACATTACCAAGCACGAAGTAAAGAAGGGATACAAGAGGGCTCAAGGAGGTTCTATTTGGTCCAAGGTGTAGGGAGGGATCAAGTCTGCTTTCAAATTCGCTAAAGATTCGGGAATCTTGAGCAAAGCCGTTGATGCTGCCGTTCCTGCGTTAGCAACGTATGCCGGTCAGCCAACGGCTGCCATCCCCGCGCGAGCTGCAATTAAGTCTCTAACAGGAATCGGTATTTACGACTCCGATAGCGACAAGGAGGGAGGACGTGTATCGATGGCTGACGTAAAGAAGGCTGCTAAGAATGCTCTTGGATATGCCAAACGTAGAGGAATCATCACTGATGCGGTCGATGCAGGAGAGAAGTTCCTACTATCAAAAGCTACCAAGCCTGAACATGAGGATCTAATCAGATCTATGCGAAAGGAGGTTCGTCGTCGTTATGGAGTAGGAGTAGCAAAGAAACGCCCAGCGAAGGGTTCGGCGGAGATGAAGGAGCGAATGGCAAAGCTACGAGCTATGCGAAAGAAGGGTAAGTCTGGAGGTTCTTTTACATTGTAAAAAAATTATCGAAGATTTATTTTTTTGGACGGATCAAGAGCATAATAGATACCGAAGTATCACGGAAAATGACCTTCTTGTCATTTTGATTGTATATGCTTAGCGTAATACTGGCACGAGATCCGTTATGACAGTTCATCCACGCATACTGACTCGGTTTGTATGAAATGACCTTTCCAATAGCGGCATCGCCTCTATCAAAAGCGCTGACAATATCGCCTGAGGCTACGTATTCGTTTTTGATAAGATCGCAACGGACGATGTAGGAACTGGTTGGATGGATCTGAGGAATGATATTAGAGAGCTGAGCACTTGCAACAGTAGCTGGAGAAGCAGGATATGACCCAAGCGTCAATCCTACTACTTTTCCGAATTCAGCATTATCGATGATCAATCGAGGGACACGAGTGGTAGTCGGCAATCCACTACCGCCCGAGGAATATAGACCTGTGGTAGGTCTTGTCCATGTACCCCCAGCTGTAGGTAGCGTTGTAGGTGTAGGAGAGAAATCAAGCTGACAAGCGTAATAGACGCTGTTAGCACTCATTTTGAGGTAGAATGTATTATTCCCAGACGGATCGATGAGATAGGCCCCAGCATTGACAAGAGCCGTCTGAATGCTTCGATTGATATCGTCGTAGGAGTAGATTCCATCAGGAAGGCTTAGATTGATTGTCGATGTAGTTGCTGCGGTAGGTACTTCGATTTTGAAGGTTGTGTTCTGAAATTGCATCGAATCAATGTTATACTCGGAGTTATACATTGAAATCGATTGAATAGCACATACTACATCGCGGAAGTCAGCGGCCGATCCGGGAAAAGAGTATTTCCAGGTTGAGTTGGTTCCATCCTGTACCAGATTGGTGCTATCGAGTTTGATAAAGCTGGACATATTGTTTTATATGAATGGAAGCATATTTTTTTATAAAATTAGTCCTCAATTCGAATCACTCTATCAAAGTTATACCTGATCTGACCCTTGACGGAATCTATGAAGAGCATTTGCCCCTTTCGCTCCGTAGCCTTGTTGTAGTAATAGACGATTGAACGATCATCTACTCCCTTGATATTGAAATCTTTCACAACCATCTGGAGATCACGCTTCGAATTCGCCTTTAGGATAGCTACATACTCTGAATTCAAGCGTATCATCTTATCCGTGGCAAAGTAGCTGTGGCTTAGGAATATCGTACTGAGCTTGAAGTGGCGACCTCTTGTATAGTAATGAGAGAACAAATTCTTCTGAAGTAGCTTATCGTTGCTGTAGTCATCTATGATGACGAGCTCAGGTTTATTGGAGTTGATTGGTGTATGACGAACCTGATCAACACTTGGAGGCGAATCAGGGTCGGCGAATGTGATAAAGCCATCCAGCTTGTCGCGAAGATATTCGTACAACTCCTGATGAGGATTACGGGCAATGATCGTTAGATGAGCGAATACGTGAGGAGAATGTTTGAGGATGTACATACATAGATTGTTCTTCCCACCCCAGAACCACCATTCTAAACAACGCTTTGATGTCAAGCGCTGGAATATCACCCATCGATGCGCTTTTGAACTTTTTTGGGATTGAAGCCCCAAAATCAGGAATACCGCTCATGATTATCGTCTAATCTATATAGCTTTAGACAAAATGAGTTCTGGTTTTTCTTATCCTCAACCAACATTCACATCTTCAATCTATAACCCTGCATTCTACCTATCGTTGGATGCCAGTGGTTTTCTAACGTATGACTATGCTCAGACTCTTTATCTAAACAAGTATGACTATCGTTTGCCATACATTACCGGTATCTCTCAAGGAATTGCAACCCAAGGAGTAGCACTTGTCCCTGGATCTGGTGGTGATATCAGCGGCCTCGGGGCAATCAGCTGTAGTAGTCTGACTGTTAATGGATCAACTATTACAAGCGCTCCATCTTACGTTTTAGGAATTACGCCTGGTACCGCGGATCTAAACAAAGCATTGGTACTTGATGGATCGAAGATTGTTTCAGGAATCAGTTCATTATCAGCTTCGAGTCTTACAGGCACGCTACAAACCGCGGCTCAGACGAATATTACCTCAGTAGGTACGCTGAGCAATCTCACCCTGAATACGGGTGGGACAGGTCTATTCATTCCGAATCTCAAGTTCTGGGATGGCGTTAGTGCATGGGTTAACTTCAATCATGCTTACTTTCTTAACGTTATCGAGGGAGGAGCTTCCCCCAGTACCGCTGTCGTACTCAGAAGTACAAAGGATTACTCTGGAATTCGAGATCTAACAATATCGCGCAATTTTATAGCTTCAACTTCAATATCATCACCAACGCTGACATGTGATACGATTTCGAAAAGCGGCACTCAAACGATGAATGCAACTACCCTCAACATCAATCCTACCACTCTTCAAATCAAAGGAACAACCCTGAATGCTACTGGAGCGGAGCTGAACAAGCTTTCCGGATGTACAGCAACTACAAGCGAGTTGAATTATTTGGATTTGACTACTGGGGCAGGAACGGCTGAAGCATTGAAGGCACTCGTTCTAGACTCTAATAGCGCGTTGACAACAGGTATCACATCACTAACTTCGACCAATCTGATCTCAACGACGACCACTCAATGCCAAATTGCTGCTGGTACTTCATTTACATCGACAACGCGTGCGTCTGATTTCAACCTCATTATCCGAAATCAATCCAACACGGTTGGGGCTCAGGCTGGATTATCGTTCGTGATTGAAGGTACTAGTGATATGACTACGTATACACCATCTGTCAATCTATATTGTACCAGAACAGCTACTGCCGCTCAATATTCGATGGCCGATTTTGCAATTAGTACCAGAAGTGGTTCAAATGCTCTTAGTGCTATGACTGAACGCATGCGTATCACTCAACAGGGGTATATTAGATTCGGATCATCGTCATCGACCGCGAAAATTGATATTACATCAACCGCGAATTTACTAAGCGGATCGTGGCAGCGTGCAATGAGAATCGCTAATGATCAGGCAACGCCTATCGAATTCGAAGTTCAAATTTTCAATGATGTTGCTGGAGGTAGCAATGGAGTAGCTTTAGGGACCACTACAAGCGATCCTCTTAGGTTCATGGTTGGTAATACTACCAAAGCATATCTCAACAACTCTGGACGGTTGGGAGTTGGAAACACAAGCCCCGAAGCGACCATCCACAGTGGAGGAGAGGTATGGGCAAACAACTTCATGCATATCAAGGGTAATGGAGATGGTTTCGCTCGTTATCGATTCAATTGGAGCCAGACTGACTACCCAGCGATCGGAACTGACTCTACGGTCGGGGCGATCCGTCTAGGCAAATGCGATGGAAACTATAATTGGACAGCCTATGTTCCGGTGAGAGGTGGTTCATATACCAACGCATCAGATCAGAGATTGAAGAAGGATATAATCGATTTAGAATATGGAATAGATGCGTCATGAGAATGCGACCAAAACGATTTAAAATGATTCAGGAGCAAACCTCACATGTTGGATTCATCGCGCAGGAAATGTATGAGGTTATACCGGAATCTGTTGATATCGGAGCAAACGATGATCTCAATGCTGATGGATTTCCAATCAATCCATGGGGTATAGATCTATCTAGCCTGCCATCGGTTCTGTGCAAAGCGATTCAACAGCAGCAGCAACAAATCAATGAACTCAAGCAAAAATTGGACTCAATTATATAGAATGGCTCCATTCAAGTTCCGACTATCAACTCGAAAAGGCAAAAAATATGATGCTGTTTTTACTGATGGGAGGGTTGTATCTTTTGGTGCTATTAAGCGGACTGGTGAGCCTTATCAACAGTATCGAGATCGCACATCGTTGAAAGCTTACAAAGACTACGATCATAACGATAAGGCTCGCCGAGAGAGCTACTACAAGAGGCATGGACCCCTTGACGAATCAAATCTATACACAGCCGATTGGTTCTCGAAAAAATATCTTTGGTAGAGTATATATATCATGGGTTGCGTACCAAGTAAAAGGCAGATCACAAAGGATTTGACAAATCCTGAAACTGGTCAAGTCATCGGCTCAATAACGATGCGCGATGGAGTAGTATCTACTGGTGATAATGCTTATATCCCCATGCGCAATGTCCACAACGGCAAGAATGCTATCATGGCTATCGATATCGGTGATAAAAAAATTAGAGTCTACCGTGAGAAACAAACAGAAGTATCTCTATAGAGCAAAGGTTTTCACGCTCTTCGACTTTTTTTTCGGCTGGTACGCCCATACCCGTCCACCTTCCGTTTGGGTAGCTGCTTCCACCTTCTTGATTGACTTATCGAGGTCAGTAGCCCATGCTGCTGCTTGGGTCTGTTGAGGTCGGTCATGGATGATTAGATTCTTCATGATGGACTTGAGCTCAGCAATGTTGAGATCGCTGTTGTCTCCATAGCTGCCGCCTGAACTGGCGATGATGCGGGGGTTGAAAAAGAACATAGCTATATTAGTCCGAAAATAAAAATGGCCCAAGCGATAATTAGAGTAGTAGGAAATTTCATAGTTTATAGTAATCGAGTGATAATTTCCTTGAACTCCTCATCATCAATCAGACGATTGCTGTACATATCCACCGTGAGAGACTTCAGCTATTTGATGATGCTAGGATTATCGTTTCCTAGCTCTAATTCACCTTTCAGCTTGTCATACTCGGCGCGGAGCGTCGAAAGTGGATCCTCGAGCTTGTCGTGGAAGTTGTACTGGAGGTGAGTGATTGCTAGGATTTTCTTGAAAAGCTTCTTATCATCGATCGATAGCTTATCGTATGAGGCTTGATCAATTTGCTGCTTATAGACTAAGGTTCGGATCATTCCTTGGAGACTCTCACTGATTTGACATTTTGGACCACATTTTCGGCGATTCGGCTGTACAATGACCAGTGTTTTTGCATCAAGATCGGGAATTCTGATGTATTTGCTCCCAAGCTGCTTATAGGTATAGGCACTAGGTGTAGCTAATCCCTGGATCTCGTTGAGATTATAGGTACGACCTCGGCGAACCACACCTTCCAATGGAGCAACTCCTGCACCACGCAATCCTCGCCCCTTAAGCCCGCTACCTTGAGCTAAATGACGAAAGTGAGCACGGACATTAGCTCGGTCCACCCTTGCTCGAGCCGAATCGGGCATTGGATGATCATTGTACCTAATTTCATTGAGTTCTTGTGCTCTGGTTATATAATCACGTTTCTTAACCGTATACGCTGCCTTAGTAGCTTTTACAGCTGCTTTTGAAGCTCTTACAGCGTCCTTATCGGCTTCTGAATTTGAGTTCTTTAAATCATGTAGATTCTTTTCCAGCTGACTGTAGGCTTCTCCGTATGCGCGATAGGCTTCTTCAGCCTCATCGTGTAGCTTTTGTAGCTGCTCGTCCTCATAGCCATCGTAACCTAGTGGGCTTTTAATGTCAGAAACGTTGCTGAAGATAGCTTCACGGAGTAGTTTGAGGTTATCATCAAGAATTTTCTCTAAATTCTTATCATCATTCTCATCAACGTACTTACCATAATCTTCAAGCTTGGTTAGTAAGGATTGAAATGTATCCATCCATCTGATAGTTTTCATTAGGTAAGCCATAGCATCACCCTTCACTGGTTTGTGCTGTGCATTCTTGAAGTTCAGTGGTTTAGTATCTGTCGGCATGCCAAGATAGTAAGTAGGATGGGTTTTAATACCCTTATCGGAATCAACAATCGGATACAACCTTGTGGCAATCGATACTCCATTATTAGCAAGTTTCTTATAGTACTGGGTGAGGATGGTTTTAGCTTCGAGATCTGGGATAGACATTAATTTATCCATATCTTCATCTTTTCCGGTTTTAAGTCCTGGAAGTTCTTCAAAGTCCCCATCAAACGCATCGTATGCTTTGGCAAGTTTCTCCTTATCCATTTGAGTGTTTAGCGATAGCACCAATCCCTTATCCTTAACCATTGCTACGAATCGCTCGAGTGTGGCTATCCAATTGACTTCCTTCTGTACAGCAGGGCGATGCTTATTAGTGTCGGTTCCAAATACATAGATTCGGAAATTGGCGTCAAGCCATAGATACCCCTCTTTATAAATTTTCCCGTCCTTGAGGATAGGATTGATTTGCTTATGAAGATGATTGGCTTCTAGTAAAGCACTATTTTGAATAATCAACCATGTAAGATTGTACTTGGCGTCGTCATCATCTAGCTTTGTAGAAGTAGATTTGTCCTTGTACTTTAAATCTAGTCTTGGCTCCTTAAGTGGAGTATCTAAGTCCTCAATATCATCATCACCTCTCCGCTTTCTATCTGATCGAGGTGGTTTGTCTTCCCTACGCATCGCATCAACTTCATCGATCGAGTTGCTTTCCCCATCGTAGAAAATATCGCGAATCTTTCCTTCAGTGGCAATCCAATCGATCAAGTCATATCTCTTGTATTTACGACCGCTACGCACTGAGCGGAGAGAACCCTTTTCACTAATTACTAGGTTTTGATCATCTCTACCAGTTTTCTTTTTCACTGGGTGAATACCAAGCGCCACCCAGTTAGGATTGTCCGTAAAGAACTTTTTAATCCATTCACGCGCATGAACTTGCTCCTCAATATCTCGAATAGAGGTGTCTGCCTTTTTCTCATTGAATATGTCAGTGTTTACACCAGTATCTGTCATTCTTGCACTATTAGCAATTCCAACATCATTCATATCAGGTCTCACGTGGACCCAACCATCACTGGTTTGAGGCTTTGCTGTGGTCGAAGCATCACTTGTTTGAGGCTTAACAGTAGCTTCTGCATCGCTTGTTGTAGGTACTGCGCTAACACCAGCATCTACCATTAACGGATGAACATTTGGCATGGCTTCAGTTTTAGTTGATGTTGAGGACTCAGGGTTTTTCTGGGAGTTTTCAATTTTCAGCTTTTTTTTAAGATATCCGCGAGCGGAATTTTTAATTCATCAGGCGTTTCTTCGTCAGGTCCGACAGAAATATCAGTCTGTGTGGATTCAGCTGTTTTCTTAGTAACGGTGGTGATGCCCTTGATGATGTCACTAGCCCATGATGCGCCTTCGTACATCTGACGCTTGGAATTGGCTTGTCGAACCCGTCGTTGAGCTCTTTCGAGCAACTCTAGTCGCTTCTGCTCTCTTTGAGCAAGTGATGTAAAATTTGGAAACATATCGATCCTATATAGATGTTAGGCATAAAAAAATGAGTATTCGAATTACCAATAGCTCGGCATAACTGAGTCATGGCGGAAAGGTAGATACGAATGACAAATACGATTTCGTTCGTTTAATAGATTTAAATATCGGTCTTTAATACAATGGAATGGAACGCCAAAGATTTCCTCCAATTCGTGTCTGTATTTATGATTGACCACTGTCTTACGAAAATTCGCGCTTGCATCAAGATTCAGCAACTCATTTTTGATTCGACTTACCTCCTGAATGATCCACAGCTTTCGTCGGAGCTGTACAAGCTCACGTTGGTTCTCTACGCAGTTGGAACACATTCTTTTATCTATATGAAGTCATATATTTATGCAATCGTTTTCAAAAACAAAATTGATAGATATAGATGAGTCAAAGCTTACAGAGGATTGCTCTATTAAACTTATTTTGAAGCTAGTTCGACTCCTTTTTTTATCGACTTCCAGTACTCATTCTCTAAGGTTGATCTCTTGTTCTTATTGACTAATCTAAGATTATCTTGTGGCTCCCAGGAGTCAAGTTCATTACCGAGCCATTTTATCAGATATTTGTACTTCCCAGTCCGTGTCTTCTTATGATCCAAGATCTTTTCCGCCTCAAGAATATCACCTCGATTAATAGTAGCATCTGTAGTCTCTGTATTGACCAGTTTAAGATCGTTTGGAGCCTTGTAGAGGGTATGACCATTCTTTGAGCGGATTTGGACTCGGTAGCCATCAATTCCAACTATCATATAGACTGCATTGCTCCACCGAGCCGATTCCTTACCAAATGCATGCTTCTTGAGACGGTATTATACGCTTGATCCGACCTCAAACTCCTTCTCAATTCTATCGGCTTCTGCTTGATTATGACTCAGATCCGCATCCATTACTTTACCTTTGGCATCACTCGGGGTCATACCAATCGAACGATGAAACGTGCTATTGTAGTTTTCGATCACATCACCAATAAGCTTTTGCGTAATTCTATTGGGGGACATTTTAGTTAGTCTCTGCTTCAACGTTCTGTTAAATCGCTCGATTTTTCCCATAGTACCGTGATCACCTGGATCGTTGTTGTAGTGTTCAATATTTTTGGATTTGAAGTATGCTTGAGCCTGCGAGTTCATGAACTCGCTACCGTTATCGCTTGTAATGATATCCACTTTATGGAGTCGAACAAACGCTTTAAGCGCTGCTAACACAGTTGCTGCTGTCTTGTTCGATAAGACCTTGGCAAAGCCCAACCTCGAGTTGATATTGATAGCAGTCAAAATTGGTCGCTTCTCCCAAAACGCGAGGTCAATTTGCCAAGAGTTAGGGTTATGCGAAGCTATTTTCAACCCATCGTATCGCTTCTTCTGCTCCTGAAATCGCTTGGTTTGAGAACCATTCCTTGACGATTTTCATTGTTATCTTCGACTTTAGTTCTTTCGCCTTCTGGTACAAGGCTTGTGCCCCCACATAGCCCGTTTTGGGGTTATAGTATAATTTGGACAACAGCTGATCCATCGCTCTATATGGTTATAAAACAAAAAAAAATCCCCTGCCGGGTAGTTGCTTATATGTCGAGCGGCTCGGTGGTGATACCATCCGCAAGTACACGACGCTTGTCATAGTAGTAATTTAGAGCTGTTTTAGTCTGGCTGTACGTAATTATTGACTTACTCTCCTTACTGAGTCTAAACCCCTTGTTGGTACCCTGTAGCGTGATGCGATCGCGAACAACTGATTCAAAGCCATCTGGGTTGAGGACGTCGCCATTGCGTCCAGCACTCTGCTGGACTCCCTTCGCTGAAACCTTGACCTTGTAAGATTCATCTGGTAGGTAGCAAATGTAGTTCTTAGAGGACAATGATACCATAGCATCACCAGACCACTCTTCCTTAAATAAACCAGGGGTTCGACGGTCAAACTTGGCTACAGTCTCATTATAGTCGCGCGGGAACCACTCATACTTGTGCTGCTGAAAATGCTCACGAAGCTCAGGCTTGATGCACTCCTCAAATGGTTTTTCACAGCTGAAAGCGATGTAGCCAGAGTCGGTGTCCATCTCCTGATACTGAAAATTTGAGCGGTCGAAGTAGAAGTCAATACAATCGTAGTAGAACTCAAGCATGCGGAGCTTTGCGAGCTGATAGATTGCAATCGAGAGATGAATTGGGTTCTTGTTGTTGAGCTTTCTCTTCTTCATTGTGAATTCACATGAATCATTCAACTCTTCCATTCCATGGAAGGTGAAGTGCTCAATCTTTGATTTAATTGCCTTCTCATCCGACTCATACTTGACCTCCTTATGCTTGCTCATGTCCATGCCACTGCGACCGAACGCTGAATTACCTACTAGTTTCATCATCTCAGCAATCATGGCCTTAGACTTATCGGCATCACCTTCCCGTCGCGCGTTCGATACGGCTTCCATGAATGGAGCAAACGCCTTGTGAGAGCTAGCCCTGATGAAGCTGTAAGTCTTGGTGATCTCCATGCCATGAGAAATGTACCATTTGAGTAGCGGTGCATAAATGAGGATCTTCTCACCAAAGTAGCTCCCGATGAGTTTGCGAGCCGGCTTTGCTCGGCTTTGCTTGCACCCCTCGTTGTACTCGAACATGTGCTGACCGATGACACTCCGATCGCTGCAGTCGATAAGGGTGTTCTTGAAAATTGGGGTCATTTCACTGAAATAGGGTTTGAGATGCTCTGGTGTACGGATATCACACTCTAGGAAGCCAAAGATCTTGCCATTTACAATATCATCGACGATCCCTGTGTATGCCTCGATGGTGGTCAACTGTCCACATGGCATCTCGTTACCAAGAGCCCACAAATACAGAGCATTAGCATCGTAGCCGATGATCTTTTTGCAGATCTTACCCCCTCGAATCTTGGTTTCGTTACGTTTTGCGTATCTGTTGAAGATGATAGAAGGACCACCAGCAATGTTCGCCTTCATCTTGGTGTAGATGTCCTTCTCCTCTCTATCGATACTGTACACCAACCTGTCTGAGTTGAATTCAAGTAGCTTCTTATGGCGGAAGCCCTTTAGCGACATGTTCTTGCGAGCAACATTGCATCCCACACAGCTGATCAAGATATTGCCATCGATGTGTCCGAGCTTGTTATTGATTCGGTCGGCCGAGGCAGTATCAGCTGTGAGTTGCTTGTAGCATAACCCGCACAGGTACTTTTGTCGCTCTAGCAAGTCGTTGACGTGTTCTAGCGTCATATTGAATTCGCGATCGGCATCAGCATCCTGGGTCTTATATCCGCTTAAGCGACTAGCGGGAAAGTCAAACGCTTCCGCAGGCTCCTTACTTGGTTGCTGGAGGTTGTTGAAGCACGTCTGATACATGACTTTCTCAGAGAGACCAGGTAGCGACACACCATCAGCGAACATATCAAGTTCGAAACGTTTGAATAGTTCTCGCTGGGCTTTGATGGCCTTGATGAAGGGGACTACATCGAGGTTGTTGTACCAAATGAGTAGATCCTTGATTCACTTCATGCCATAGTGTTCCCAGACGAACTGTACCCGCACATAGTCCTCATCGCTGATGCTAGTGCTACGAAGAGCACTGTCGAACGCCGACTTAGGAGGGACTTCCGGCTGACTGAGTACGTCAAATGAAGTAATGTACTCGTACGGGAAGATACCTTTTCCTAGGCCACAGACGCATCGAATCTTGTCATCACACTTGCACTCACCGAGATATGTCAACAAGTACTTTGCATAGCTGGTGCCTGCCGGAACATAGTTGCTAATGTCAAGCATCTTCATGTCTGACGTGGCGATGCACATGTAGCTAGGGTTCTTGATGACTGATGTGATGTTGTCAGTACCGATGACTGCAAACAGGTCCGCCTTGATAAGGTTGATGTCGTATCGTCCAGAGTTGAATCCGAGTACTGGTACCTGATCAATGCACTGCTTCAGCTTACCATAGTCAGAGCGCTTCTTACCGAATGTGAGCTTGCTGTGGAGATCGAAGAAACTAGCAAAATCTCCGTTCTGAATCCAAGCATTGACATCTTCCATCTTGTACGTCTTACTCAAGTCTAGGCCAGGAACCTCAGCGTCAGTCAAACCATGGACGTTGATGATCTTGTGTAGCAAAGTCTCATACTTCGAGACGTTGTACCGCTGAATCTTAGCCGCAACTTCCTCGATGTACTGGAACATATCCTTGAGCAACTCCTTTGGATCATCGCTGACAAAGCATCGCACCTCCTCAGTCAAGCTGTTGGCTACGGAAACAGACACAGGGATGTGTTCGTTTGTGAAGATAGTATTCTCCCGTGTTTGACACCCGTAGGCTTGAGGATAGCCTCAAAATCATATACAATGAAGTGATCGATGTAATGGTCAGCATCCTCGATGGAGTACTTAGTCAGTATGGAACGAATGCTATTCGGAGCGGGTTGGTAGATGGTTGGCTGAGCTGGGAACGATTCGATGTTCACGAGTTCACACTGGTTCTTGGTGTGGTTGCGTAGCTTATCAGAGCTGACAAACACCATCTCACACTTAGAGCATTGGTACTTCTGCTGGAGCATATCAATGTTCGTGATGTAGAGAGCGTGATTCTCGTGCGACAGGATGTTGATCGAATCATAGTCCTTGTCCGAGCAGCGAATGCATTCAACCTTGCCTGTCTCAACATCCATGGTGAAGACGTTGATGTTCAGCTTGAAGCACTCCTCAAGCTCATCGAATTGGAGAATATCGATAGGCTTGAAATTGCGGAACAGACCCAGAGTGTAGGTGATCTCCTTGTACGAACAGTACTGCTTGAAGGCTTGTTTCACAAGAGCCTGGATTCTGCGTGGATCCTTCTTCGCCCCCTCCTGCTTGTGATAAGCAATGCAGTGGAAGACACACTTGTTATTCGTCTTGGGGAAGTTGATGACGTGCTTGTTATCGCGGATCACCTTAGGAATGACAGCCTCACTATCGCCCAGCGCATGGTCGCGCTGGTAGATATAGATTTTGAAGCCAGTAATACCCTTCACCATGTACCCGGATCTGGGGTAGTTGAGCTTGTCAGCCAACTCCATGGAGCGAATCTCCAAGATCACCTTCTTACGAATATCAGCCTTGCTGTTGATAGCCACAGGAGTGCTAAATACAGATGTGTTGCTAATATTCGGGTGGAAGTAGCGAGTCTCGCTGTCATCGGTTCTGCTGACAAGCTTGTACCCAAGAGCGATGTTGACCTTGAAGGCAGACTTCTGGGTTGCGAGCACGTTCTCGAGCTTGTCGTAGAACTCAGCAGGCTGAATTCCCTCGTAGAGGTGCGACTCCATGTTCTTGCCTTGGTAGAAGCGGTACTTACTGTCTTCCTTGAAATCAGCAGCCAAATTCTTTTGGAGCTTGCCTAGACTGATCTTGTACTGCTTCGCTACCAATTTTTGGTTGAAGGGGTGGGAAATGTTGCTAATGTATACCATGCGCCCCGTCTTGCCACGTACCTTAATACGGTAGCTGCTACCCCATCGGATTGGGTTAATATTTAATCTCTTAAGACCTTCAAGCTCGTATGCGAACATTGCTATATATCGGTGGCTATATTATTCTCCGAAAAAACGACTTTATAATATTGGGTCTTGTATCAGGATTGACTTTATATCATAGGCGACTTTTTATCCGAGGAAAAAATTTAATTAATTAATTAAGTTCGGTTTCATTATTAAGTTCGACTTCACCATCAATAAGTTCGGTTTTGGGTTTACGCTTGCGAGCTCGAATCTGGTCTCTATTCTTGTCATCGTAGTCTTTTTGATAAGATAAACGGGCTTCGCGTGTGCGCTGGTAGTAGCGCTTCTGCGCTGCTTTGATACGTTCCTTGCTAGCTTGGTATTGCTCAGGAGAGTACGCCATCGTTGTATATTAGTAACTTTATATTTATCAGGATCAAAGTACCGTAATCTAGGTGTTAAGTGTCCGGAGTTGTTTAGTGTCACCCCGTTGATTGAGCCAATCAGATGCGGTGATTTGCCTACTCAGATTAGGATTTGCAGCGATATGTTTAGTGTCACCCGTGGCGGAGCCCACACTCTCTGCCAGAACCAACAACCAACCACCATTAATTCGCACTCCTGAACCAGCAGTCAAGCGCTCACAACACCAAGGCAGCCACAGCATGAGAGGAAGACTAGCGAAGTTCCTGCAGCACTTCTTCGGACATCGCTGCCGCGAGGATGATCCCGTCATGTTAGTCTGGGACGACTTCAGCGCCCACTGGACCGCTGAAATCGTCGCTTACGCGGCTGAGAAGAATGTGGTACTGGAACGTGTGCCCCCAGGTTACACCCACTGCTGCCAACCCGCCGACATATCCTGGAACAAGCCCCTTAAGGATGGCATGCGAGCGGCTTGGGCGGTGTATCTGAAGGCAGAGTGCGCAAAGGTGCTGGTACGCGGTGACGGGAAAGAGATGGCCCCGATCGTAAGCGTGTGCTACGATGGCTACAGCAAGCATGGAGTGGCCTCAGTTCTGCTACAGTGAAAGGTGGGTTCAAGCACATTGACATTCTCTTTGACGGGCGTGAAAACACGCCGAGTATGCTTGTGCAGCCGGACGAAGTGGACGACGAGCTGGTGGCGGCGCTAGAGGGCCTCTCATGGATCGATTCTGAGGTAGGTGACGTTTGCTGGGACGACGACATCGTAGATCGCCACATTTACAGGGAGGAAGATTGTTAACCAGCTAAATACATCACAGTGTGTGGATTAATTGATATCTGGCGTCTCATCATTGGTTGAAAATCTATGTCACACACCTTCATGTCCGCTTAAGTACGCCAGAAATTCTCCCTCCCTTCTTCCTTCTTCCTTCCAGAATCTGCCGGCTCTAGGAAAGATGGTGAAGCTCTTCTGTGCGATCGTTGGCGTGGCGGGCAGCGCGTTCGAGGTGGATATCGACGAGGGTGCATCGGTTTCCGCGTTGAAGAAGGCGATCAAGGCGGAGAACCCAGCGACGATCACGTGCGATGCCAAGGACCTGCAGCTCTTCCTGGCGAAGACGGCGGACGGCGCGTGGCTAGATGGAGCTGGCGCGGCATCTGTGGCGCTCGATGAACGTGGATACCCGCAAGGCTTCGGGCAGATGGATCCCACCCTGTGGATCAAGAACCCCAAGCACTTTGGCGATAATTTTCAACCGGGTGAAGGACAAGTTCACGTGCTGGTGAAGGTCCCGGAGCAAGAACACGCACAAACTGGATTGTGGCTTGTCACTGGATCCGTTGAAAACGCGTTGATCACGAAAGGAATTCGCTGCAAACTGTACTGGATGGCGACGTTACGCATTGGATACTACGATCCTACGCGCTGCATCGGCAACAAGAATGTCGCGTTTTGGTATGAAGACAAGAAATTGTGTTTTCATGTTTTATTCGAGACAAGTACGTGCCTCTATATGCTGTCGCTGCATCGTAATACTGCTTCATTGAGGGCTAACTCTGTTTCTTTTATAGAAGATGCTGCTTTGCTGTTCGAAACTGACTTGAGGACTGGGCCACAAACGCTGGGCTCTCCGTTAACTAACCAGGTTGTTGAGACGCGTGTTGCACCAGCTAACGCTGTGTCTACTGATCTCCAGCGCGTCTTCTACTGCGACTACGTTCCAGACGATTCGGAATCTCCTCAAAACGATATCGTTGACTACAAGCGTTTCGAATCTGGACTCGTCGACTGACGAGTTTCGTTTTCAGCGGATTGAGCACGAGAAGTTCTTCCTACCGTACGGCAAGGCAGAAAGCTGCCATTTGGTGTCGAGAAAGCAAAGCAGAGACCACAAACGGGAATTCGCCAAGTACGATCGCGACTCAAACAACAGGCTTGCGCTTTCTCGCGATATGCATGGTTGGTTCGACGGTATGAGCATTGAGGTTCCCATCGTTAACATGCTACCCGGATCTGTTGAAGAGAATCAATCCATTGGCAACAGACGCAAGGTACTGTGTGAGCGCGTAGTTCTGGTGTGTGTAAGTTTACTGACATTTTGCGTGTAGGTAGAGGTCTTCGTGAAGGTTCTGGATGCTCGGTGCACAGATCGCGTTTTCAGTCGTTTGAAAGGAGGATCAACCACGACGGACGATCCGCTCATGATGAAGACGTTTGTTCACGTGGAGGATCCAGAAACATTTTGTTTGTGCATGAGGTGGAAGCACGACGACAATGCGGAGCGTTGGAGAAGCTTTTGGGATATGACTCCTGCGGTCGATTGAATGGAATAATGTGGCTCCCGAGTTAAATACTTCGAAGTAGTATTTGATTTCTTGACATACCGTAATCTAGGTGTCAAGTGTCACCCCCCACCTTCAGGCAAATCCCAAGATCATGATAAGAGCAACATGCAGATAAAAGCAACATGCAGAATCACGTCGCGCTGGTCCTTGGCTATTGCTTTTTTATCAATGTAGTTAGAACGTTGTCGGTCGAGCGGTCCCGAAATGCCCTAAGAAACAAAAGACGTGGCTCTCGCTATAAGGCCGTCGAGAGGTTGCGTCGTCAAAATAGCAGCTGCTAGATCTCAGTACTTGAGCGTTCTAAAACTACCCTAATATCGAAAAGTCGTGGCTCTCGCTCTAAGGTGGTCGAGAGGTTGCGTCGTTGAAATCGCTGCTGTCCCGAAAGAAGGTTTCAGGAATGTTCTCGGTGGTTAATTACGGTAAGAAATTATGAAAATAAAAAACTGCCGGTGTAATGTGCTGCGACCTACTACTGCACTTGTCCACCATGAGCTCCTCGTCGAACGACGGGTGGTAGAGCACGGCGATGTTATTAGGAGACGTCTGCAGCTCCAAGTCCGAGTCCGGGTCGAGCATCGGCGGCTCGCTGCTGCATGCTACCGCCTCGGGGATGGAAGCCATCGGCCACACAAGCGACAAGACGTGCTGCTCCACTTGCTGCAGGTGCGTTAACAGAATCCGCTGCTGCACGATGTTGCGGACGAGCAGGTAGTGGTGGACGCCCCACAGACCGAGCAGCAGCAGAAGCGTGGCCAGGGACAAGTTCCAGTGCTCCCCCATAGTGCGGAAGTCGAAGTCGCGGCTGGTCGAGTAGAAAATCGCCGTCATGGTGGCGATGCCAACGGAGTGGCCGCAGCCCCAGCAGACACCAAGGCAACAAGATCGCCGGGAAGAGCAGCCGATACTCAGCAACGCCAGAACGCTGAGGTGATCAGGCCGTCGAAGAATATGAAGACCAGCAGTCAAAAGGCCCGTGACGATAGTTGAGCCTAGCGACGAATTACGGAGGTTAGGCAAACAGAACATGTTCTGCAAACTTATACAGCCGAATGGGAGTCAAGGCAGCTCCATGCTAGTCTCTACAGCACGCCACCAAGTCCTCGCGCTCCTTCTTCGACGTCATATACTCGGGCACAAGAAGCAGCTTCACAGCACAACTCTTCGCTGGCTTACTCGGTCTTGGCCTTGACCTCCTTCTTCACGTACGGGAAGCTGGAGTAGATGGCCATGCTCGTGGCGACGAGGCCCGCGGCGATGAACACCTCGTTGGGCAGCACCGCGCCGTAGACGTAGCTCTCCACGAAGGCCGTGAACGCGATGCCGCAGATGAGCGCGAACGACTTGAGCACGCCGCCCACGTACTTGGTGACCGTGCCGACGAGCAGGCCGCCCAGCGCGTTGCTCACGACGGGGATGATGGTGTAGTAGGTGCAGCCCTCGAAGACCTTGTCCATGTTAGCCAGCGCGTTGGCGGCGGGGGACTCGGACACGGGCGTCTTGACGATGGTGGACCAGATGGCCGGCAGCATGAGGAACAGGCTGCCGTAGATGGACAGCTCCATGGTCACGAGCGCTGCGTCGCGCTTGTGCTGCTGCATGGAGCGCTGCGTGAGCGCCGAGCCGAGGCCCGACAGCAGCGAGGCGAGCAGCACGGGCACGAGGCCCAGCTCGACGGAGATGGCGGGGGCGGCCGCGTCGTCGTCGGCGCCGCCGTCCTTGGCGAGCGACAGCAGCACGGCGGCGCCCAGCAGCATCATCATGGCGAAGCACTGCTGCAGCGAGAAGCGCGTGCCCATGAGGAAGTAGAGGAAGAGCGCGGCGGACAGCAGCTTGGTCTGGTTGATGAGGTTGAACACGATGGACGGCAGGTGCTGGTACGCCACCTGGATGAGCACGTTCTGCACGGCGTAGGTGCAGGCGGGCAGGCCCGAGGCCATGAGGCTGTCGTGCAGGTTCCACGTCTTGACCACGCGCCCGAGCGCGCCCGAGGACACGAGCGTCAGCAGCGACAGCAGCAGCTTGCAGCCCTCGCACGCGATGACCAGCACCGAGCGGTTCTTGACCTCGCCGGCGAACTCCTTGTACAGGATGGGCTGCAGGCCGAACTGCATGGCCAGCAGCACCATGGCCACGTAGCCGATCCACGCGGACGACGACGGCGCGGCCTGCTTGGCGGGGGCAGCGGCGGCCATCTCTCTCTCTCTCTCTCTCTCTCTCTCTTGATTGCTTGCTTCGGCTCTGGGTCTTGCGCGACAAATGCAGAAGTGAGCTCTTGGCCGCCAAGGTGGACAGTACTGTATTTCCGCTATAAATAGAAGCGCGCGAGGGGATTGGGTAAAAATACGCTGAGCCCAAGCAGCTCCCACTTTGCTAGTCGCAAGCTGGTCGTGGTGGTTGAAGCGCGCCGCCATGACTGCCTTTCACTATGCGCTCGGCGTATACCTGCTTTTGATTGCAGGGCAACTGACGGCAGGCGGCGTAACTTCAGCTGACGATCGCGCTCCAGTGACGAGCTGTGGCTTTCAAAGCATTTCTGTATTCACTGTTAGAATAGGATAGAGCGGGCGTCTACACGACGAAGGTCTCCGGCAGCGTGTGGGCGCCGAAGTGGAAGGTGTCGGCAGCGAGGCAGATGGACGCGTCGGCTCGCGGGGAGGACACCGCGCAGGAGGACAGGTCGTCGTCCATGAGCTTCATCAGCATCTTGTCCGACTTGTCGCTGGTGAACAGCATGGCCAGCTCCAGCGGCTCCTCCTGGCACAGCGCCTGCTTCTCGGCCTTGATCGCTTCGACGGCTTCGATAGAGACGCCCTGCAGCAGGTGCACGCACTGTTGCGCCAGTAACCGGTTGCAGTGGGCCGGGCGCTGCGCGTCTCGGTGGAGTTGCGCAAGCTTAGCCTGGACGCACAGCTCGCTTGCGATCTCGGACGTTGTGCGCACGGAGGAGGAGGTCGGCGGCTTGGCGGAAATCACGCGTTGCGTGAGCTCAAGGAAGAGCTCAGTCGGCAGCGCGAAGAGCTGCTGCATGGCGTCAACGTCCAGCGTTTCCCCCCGTGCTACCAGCGCAGCCATGCACGTTTCTACGAGTGTCTCGCACGCCGAGCGGAAGAGCTCTGGCTGCGCCTGTGCGAGCGTCTGCGCCGCGTTGACCACTTGCAAGAGCCTGCTCAAACTTCCACTCCCCTCGCTGATCTGGTGATCGAGAAACCGCTTGGCGCGCTGTCGGATGTCGTCGCGCATCTCGAGGAACTCAATGGCGCAGTTCATGGCCGCGACGTTGGCGAGCGAGAAGGAGATCTCCCCCGAGTAGCAGTAGATGGCGAGCGTCTCGAACATCTCGGCGCCGCCTGGGAACGCGGACAGCTCTAGAACAGGCACGGCGCCACCAAAGTTGCTGCTGCTGTCTGCGGCGCTGGAGTCCAGAGCCTGGCGCGCCATCCTGCGCAGCCTGCGGCTCTCCAGCAGCATCGGGTGCTTGTGCAGGTTGAACTGCGTGCCGCAGACCAGCACCACCAGGTTGCAGTACTGGCGCCGGGACGCGTACTCCTTGAACTCGCAGAGCGACAGGTCTCCGCCCAGGTTGGCCTCTTGCAGGAACGCGCGCAGCTCGGCCTCGAGCTGCTCGTCCGCCTGCTGTGCCTTGCTAGTCGCCGCGGCAGCTGGAGCAGCGAGTTGGCGGTGCTGGTAGACAGGAGGCGCTGGGGCGGTCAGGAGCTGGAGTCGAGCCTGCGCTACATGCAGCGACGCTGTGACGCGCGGGCGCTTGGCGGCTCGTCCCGCGGAGGACACGAGGTTGCGGCAGTGGCAGCACGTGGCGCGGTTGCTGTGCAGGCAGCGGTCGTCGCGCGTGCAGCCCTCGCGCTTGCAGCCGCGGCCGGAGCCCTCTCGGCGGCTGCCGCAGCGGCCCGCGGGGTGGCGTCCGCACCGGCCGTCGCACGTGCAGTGCATGCAGGTGCCCTGCGCGCTCGAGCACGACGGCAGCGAGCAGGACTTGCGCAGCTTGCGGGCGGCAGTGGCGGCGCTGGGCTGCTTCCGCTTGGGCGGAGGCGTCGTCGTCTTCTTGGGGCTCATGGGGCAGGCAATGGGAGCTTGAGCCTGGCGGGGCAAATTGCGGACTGAGCTTCGGCTGAGTGCGGTGACAACGTAATCCGCCCGTGCGGCCCGGCTCTGCGCGTTTCGCTAGAGTTGCGTCGGCAGAATATGACCGGCGGGTCAACCCAAGCGACTTGCGTCCAGCAGAGATAAGGCTCGTGCCTGCGGGCCCAGCAGCAGCCCCGCGTTCGCTTGATCACCGCCATCATTCCTCGGCCGCCGCGCGGATTCTCGTGGGGCAAGCCGCGTTTGATGCCGGCGGCTGCGCTCGGCCGCAGGAATACCTGCTCATGTCGAGACATGACCGGCGTCCGATAGGTTCAAGCGCGGCCAGCGCAGCAGCGGCGACCGTCGTTGTCATCGATGCTGGAAGATCGTTCGTTATACTAGCTGGAAGATCGGCAGGGGTCAATAATGACAGTGTGCGTCGCGAGCGGCGATGCTGCTGGATGGTGGTGGCAGCAAGGCATTGCAGTGCGATGCCGGCAGCAAGCGCAGCAGCTCTCCAGCTCGCTCGCCGCTGCAACAAGTTTGGACCAGTTTGGCTCGGGGGCGTTCGTGTGCAACGCGATGAGTGTTGCGGCGAGAGAAGGGGGCGGTTGCGGCAATCGCGCGCCCCATCTCCCCGCGTAATCGCGGTCGGCGCGATTACTCCGGTGTGGACCACACCTCGGTTGAACCGGTGTTAACGAGGCGGCGCGAGTTGCGTCCGGTAAAAGCGCCGTGCCTGCAGAGAGCACCGCAAGTATCGCCTCAGAGTATCGCTTTCGGTGTTGAGACTCCGTACGGTGAGCACGGTCAATCTGTCTGCGTGCCCGTCGCGAACGCGCTGGCCTGAGACTAGAAGCGGTCTGCATCGCGCACGCGTCCGCGAAGGCGTGCTCGCTTTCTTTCGGTGGCGAAGAGAAATAAAATCAGCTCGCGACTCTCAATATCCAGCTCGACATCTCAGCACTCGGAGTTTGACACGTCCCACGCTGGATTCGCGTGATTGAGGACGGTATCAAGCTGAATCAAGCCCGAGATGCATCAAGCCCAATGCAGTCGCTTGCTCGTGGAGGCCATGGCTCGTGGAGGCCATTGGAAGGCTGTATTGCCACCTACTCAAGTACGTTGGAAGGATGGTCTATTACACGAACACGCAATGCTTGTTATAGTCAAAAGTCTCAGCTCCGATCATTCGTTCTTACAGGAAGTACGCGCCGACAGCCATGACAGTCGCCGCCGCGACACCCATGGCACCAGTGACCTGCGCCGCACCGCTGCTCGAGCCCGACGCACCCGTTGATCCCGCAGTCGACTTGGACTTGGACTTGGTCGAGTCAGCCTCCCTGGAAGAACTCGTCGTCGTTGAGGTTGAGTCGCCAGCGTCCACCGCACCCGTTGAGCTCGACGACCCCACCGTCGTCGAGTCCACCGCAGCGCTGCCCGCGCCCACCGTCTCAGAGACACCAGCGTCCGACGATGTCGTCGTCGTCGTGGCGCCGGTTTCGGGCGCCGTCGCCGCTGTCAGAGCAGCCGACCCGGCTGAAGAAGCTGTGGAGGAAGATGTCGCCACTGTCGGGGTCGCATCCGTGGTCGCATTCGTCTGTCCGTTCACAGCAGCAACAGCGAGGGCAGCGAGAGCGAGGATCTGGACGAACTTCATTGTTGATGTGGGGGGTGGAGCTGGAGGTGCTGGTCGACGAGTGGAGTCGGTTGAGACTGGGTCACTCGAAAGTGAATTTGGGTATGGAAGAGCAAGACGAGGCCCAACCAACACCTTCACCGAACCAGAGGCGTTGAGCTTCAACCCTGAGTCCTCTCTCGCTTGTTGCGCGAGGGAACAGGCAAAATGTACCGACCAATAAGTCTCCAGACACCCACCCACCCTTATGTGCCTGGATGGACTTTGGAATATAAAATCCAGAGAGCTTAGCAAGATCGGGTTCGTTTCGTTTCGTTTCGTTTCTCAGTGAGGTACATTGATGTCACTTAGGTCTAGCTAACGACTTCCTATGTGAGAAGATCGGGCTCGTGGGCGAAGCAATGGCGATAAATTCAGGTAAACGAGTCGTCAGGGAGTGTAAATTGTGGTTGCAGTCGCGCATAAGTCATTCTAATTTGCGTTGGAAGACTATCTAGCTGCGGTCGGGTGAATAACACTAACTGTTTGCAGGTTGTGGTGATGGCTACTTAGGTACAGAGGGTGCTTGGCGTGTACTTAGCGGTGTTTCTACATCGATTGGCAACGATCTTTTGGCCTTGCTGTTCAGACATGCCGCGTGCCATAGATGAAAGATGAATAGCGTCAAGAAGGACAGCACCGTTTTGTTCGGCATTCATGAACTTCGTTCTCTTCCAAAAAAAACTACTTCTGATGTACCAACTACTGCTACACAACCGGTGACGGGTTGTTCGTTGCGCTCGCGCTAGTGTTTCTTCTTCTTCTTTTTACTCTTCTTACTTGTCTTCTCTGACTTGCCGTGGTTATCTTTCTCGTGATTCGATTGACTCTTCTTTTTCTTCGGCTCGGATTGCGTGGGCTCGTCAACCGAACAACCAAAGTTAGGCCGAGCCGCTTCTGGGAATAAATTGACGATAGCGGACACTAACCTGTTGGACAGACAGTCATAGCCACGTAGCGTTAGTACTGTTATGATCACCGTATGCAAGACCGGCAATAAGCAAACTTACTTGGCGGCCTTTCCGCGGAACTGAGGGACTTTGTGCATGACCAAACGAAGTAAGTACAGCAGCTCTTCAACTCGCATACACTCTCTGCAAGAGAGGCCAGTGCCATCACGCGATGCTAAAGCAGCTAGCAGCCCGAGTCCGGCATTGCATTGCTTGACGCCACCCGAAAGAACGGAAGCACTTTTTGTCACCGCAGCACTAGCAAAGAACTTCGTCATTGTATCAAGCAAGGGCAGGAAATACTTCTTCTTCCTTTCCTGCTTGTCCGAAGCATCCACATGCGCCTTACTCACAATACGGTGAATCGGAACGGCAACCTGATGGAGAGCATCCAAGGTTTTACAACCTGATACCGCTAAAGAAGCCATTTGAGGCAAAATCTTCGGCGGCATCGACACGAGGTCCAGGCTCGGCACGAACGCAGACCCCGTCATCTCCTTCTGCCATTTACTGATAGTCTTGCAACGCATCAGCTGGGCCACGCTGTCTTTGAACACACCCACCCGCCTCTCCATCTCGTGGAGCAGCCGAGCGAGCGTCGGGTCGTCCCGCGGCTGCCAGTCGTCGAACTTGTCTGCTGCTGCGAACACTTTCTTCACGTACGCCGCGAGCTCCTTGTGAGTCGCCACGCTGTATCCGTGCGCCGGCAGCGCCTGCAGCTGCTTCAGCTGGCTTGCCAGATAGCTGCGCACAGTCTGCGTGTCCTCGTCCAGCGTCGTCGTCGTCGTCGTCTTCCTCCTCGCCGCTGGCGGGGGCGACTGGGACAAGTCCAACGTGGCCGCTTTGCGCTTCTTGCTGCTCGTGGGCGGGGCCACCTCCACCACCTCCGGCTCGTCGTCGTCTTCGTCCTCATCGGACGACAGCTCATACTCACTGGCCGTGGAGGAGGACGCCGACGACTGAGGCGCGGCAGGTTTCGTCTCGGTCCGCTGGGGCGCTGTTGAGACCGTTGAAACAGCAGCAGAAGCTCCAGGAGCTTCAGAAGCTCCCGCCTGAGCCACGGCGGCCGACTGGTCCGAGGCCGACGAGACGGTGGCGCCCATGTCGCGGTGCAGCAGCCGCAGCAGCGGGCCGATCTGGTTGCAGGACGCGCCCAGGCGGCGGAAGGACGCCTGCACCTGCTCGCACTCGTTGAGCACCAGCGACTGGTGCAGCTCGCGCGACGCGCGCACGACCTTGAGCGCCTGCTGCAGCGCGGCGACCACGTCTTGCACGCGCGCGTCCGCCTGCTGCAGCTCGTCCAGCACGGCGGCCTCGCAGTGCTGCCGGAGCTGGGCGTCGCTCACGCCCACGCGCGACAAGATGGCGTCCATCGGATTGGACTCGCGGTCTCAAGTTGAGTTGAGACTCTTCAAGCGTTTTTATGTTTTAGAATTTAGAACGGGTCTGATCCAAATTTCGGGGGTCGAGTTGCAGCTTGCAACGTCGGATGCCGCTCAGCTCCGCACGCGCGAACAGCGAGATGAGATTGCTGCGTTCTTTTGCATGCGCCGTCTTTCGCGGCTTCCTGTCGTACCGTAGTAAGCACAGCTTTACAGGAGCAGCTACCCGCCTTGAAGTTGTCGAGTAGATCAGCTTGTCCACGTCCTCATGAGGCAGACGCTGAGGCTGGTCTTGACGCTCCATCGACCACCCTGATTTATCCGCATGGCCTGGGTTGGAGCTCAACACTCCGTTACCGCCTCTGCCTCAGTGGGGGTGTTGGGGCTTGCCTTTCGCCGATGCGAAGTGTATTCATTCCCAAATTCACTTTCGAGTGACCAAGTCTCAACCTACTCCACACGTCGACTAGCCCCTTCAGCTCCGCCTCCGCATCACAATGAAGTTCATCCAGATCCTCGCGCTCGCCGTCCTCACTGTTGCCGCTGTGAACGGACAGACGACTGCCACCGCGAATGCGACCCCGACAGTGGCGACATCTTCCTCCACAGCTTCTTCAGCCGGGTCGGCTGCTCTGACAGCGGCGACGGCGCCCGAAACCGGCGCCACGACGACGACGACATCGTCGGACGCTGGTGTCTCTGAGACGGTGGGCGCGGGCAGCGCTGCGGTGGACTCGACGACGGTGGGGTCGTCGAGCTCAACGGGTGCGGTGGACGCTGGCGACTCAACCTCAACGACGACGAGTTCTTCCAGGGAGGCTGACTCGACCAAGTCCAAGTCCAAGTCGACTGCGGGATCAACGGGTGCGTCGGGCTCGAGCAGCGGTGCGGCGCAGGTCACTGGTGTCATGGGTGTCGCGGCGGCGACTGTCATGGCTGTCGGCGCGTATTTCCTGTAAGCGGATCGCGAGCCGTGTGAAAGGAAGCGAGAGCAAAAGATCGGAGCGGAGTAGCCGTTCGGTGCTGAGACTTTTGTGAAGTAAGAGTGCGTGTAATATACTCTCCTTTAGCTTTGTATGGCGTGCTGTGTATGTATGTAGTAACTTGCCATTCTTTGTTGTTACGCTTGCGTCCCACCAACAAGTTTTGCAATGGATGGGTAGTTGTATGTACTTAAATTTTAGCGCATTAAATAGATGGGTACAGAATTCTGCCCGAATAAGGAACGGGTGTACAACTAATAGCCTCACATATTTAATATTATTTTCCAGTCGATGTGGCGATAGAGGGATGTGCAAGGTACTGCAAGGTACTGAGGTACTAAGGTGAAAAATCCAGTGCCAATCATCAGCTCTCCACCCTCGTTTGAAAAATGGCGCGCATTTAGCGATCTTACTAGACTTCAAACTATATGTACCGTAGTGGTAGACTCGCACTTTTGCTTTTGCACCTCGCCCCACAAGCCCACCTCCTCCCCCACTCCACCCATGAAGTCCACACCGTCCAAGCGTCTCCGCCTCACTTGGGCATCCTCGACAAGGCAGCCCGCACACCTGCTTTCTCCTACAGGGGCTGGCTGAGTGGGCTATGACGGAGTTCAGTCTCCCGGCCGCCCCAGGCAAGACAACGATATGCCGCATAATCAAGTCAAGTGCAGTCCTGCTGGGGCGGCCGCTGGAGAAGGACCAAGGAATCATTCATTGTATTAAGCGACACATTCTATCCCGTAAGATGATGCAGGCTCTAGACCGGCTTGGTGAAGGGCTAGATAATCCCTACGAGGAGGTCGACCAGTTGACAGCGCTGTTGTGGTGCGAGGATGCCTGGTCAGAGGTTAGTGCTTCGACCATACGCCACTGTTGGAATCATTCCGGACTCGTTGGTAAAGCTGCTCTTCAGTTCATTTTGAAATAGCTAAATCAGTACATTGGAAACGTATACTCAACTTAACATCAATTTATATATTCTGCGTCTTTATATATATCAGGTGTTCCTTACTCGGGCAGATTACTGTATTTGTATTGTATTGTGAACGTTAGTGCGCCTTTCGCTTAGGGAATAGGTAATCTACAGTTTCCAAATAGATGGGTAATGTAATGTAATGTATTACGTTTTCGCGTTGCCACACTATGCTGTCGCTAGGCTCAGCTTTGCTAGTCGACGGCATAAGGTGGTGTCCGCATACGTCGGGTCCTTCTTCGCCGGCAGTGCGGCGACAATTGCCCTCTCGAGGGCTTTCCATTTAGGTTTCTCTTGTGCAAGCAGCCGAAGTTGGTCCAGGTCACGGCGGGTCTCGAGGCGATAGGCGTATCCGCTCGAGATAAGGTCCGCATCGAGCACAGTCGGTAGTGTCGTGCGTGGGCGTCCACGCCAGGTTCCCTTGGACGGCGAGTCGAAGTAGGCGGCCATCTGGGTGTACGCTGGGATCTCGGGCCGGCGCAGGATGTGGCCGAACAGACGCCATCGTGTTGCTGTGATTCTGTGGCGGAGCGGGCGTTCCTGACAGATTTCGTAGAGCGTGGCGTTAGAGATTCGCTGAGGGTAGCGAATGTTTAGTACGCTACGTAGTTGTCGGCGGTGGAAGCTTTCGAGTCCGCTCAGCTCGGACGGCGTCAGTGCCCACGTTCCGCTGTTGTACAGCAGAACAGGAAGCACATAGTAGTTATACAGCCGGACTCTGGTGGCGTCACTGACGTACTGGGGCCGGATCCATATTGTCCAGAGCCGACGTAGCGCGCCTGCTGCGAGTATTTTGCGTCGTGTCAGATCTTCTGAGTCGCCGAGTAGACTGCCAAGCTTGTGTGTGGAGCGCCACGCCTCTTCTGTCGCCCGAGCGTGTCGGGAGTACCCGACGAGCCTGTACATCGCTGAATCATGGTTAGTTCTGTCATAGTTCCCGACGAGCCTGTACATCGCTGAATCATGGTTAGTTCTGTCATAGTTGCATTCATCTGGAGGGACCAGCGTGCGAACACTGCTGGTGCTTCGGCTTGGATGCGCTGGACCAGCTCGGTATCGCGGCAGACAAAGTCTGCATCATCAGCATAGACGATCATTTGGTCGAGTAGGGTCCGATTCACTCCGAGGTGGGATGCGAGGTCGCGGAACGCAGCTTCCAGGTAGATGACGAACAGGACCGGTGAAAGCGCATCGCCCTGCGGCGTTCCGATGTTGCTATCGAAGCTGTGTTGTGCCTTGGACCCGGAGCGCAGAGAGAGCTTGGTGTCGGCGAGCAAACCTTGATCAATCGGACCTCGTCGTCGTGTAAGATTGTCTGGAGTACTCCTACAAGCTTTACGCGGTCGATTGTGTCGAACGCGCGCGAGAGGTCGATGCCGAGGACATGTATGGTTTCATGATAGCGTTGCACGCGGGCACAGAGCCATTTGTGCGCCCACACGGCGTCAGCAGTGCTTCTGTGTTTGCGGAATCCGCTTTGATTGGGGGACAGGAATGTGTCCACCGCAGCGGATATCCGTGCGAGTACGACGAGAGATAAGGCCTTGCGAATGCTGCTTAACAGCACGATGGGGCGGAGACTGGAACATACACCTCGGGGCTTGTTGGGCTTGGGCAGGCACACGAGTGTTCCTTCACCGAGTGCGAGAGGGGTGCCTTGCTCGAAGCTGCAGTTGACGAGGTCTGCGAAGAGAGGCGCGAGGACTGAAGCCCCGTACTTCAGTCCTCGCGTGTAATCCGCTCGTCCAGTTTGCGAGATGCGATGGTTCGGCATCGCGCTCGGATTTGATGGAGGATCTTGTTGCGGGCGGCTCGGAGCTCGATCGTGTTAGCGGCGCAGTCGTTGTAGATTCGAAGCTGAAGCGCCCGCTGGGCCTCAGAGAGCAGCTGAAGTTCATCGTCGTGATGTCGTACGTGGCGGTGGTTAGGACCTGCGAATCCTATAGTCCCCTCGGCTGCTTCTCGGATTCGATCGAGCGTGTCTGTCCAGCGCTGGAGAACGGTGCTGCCTTGTCCTGTTGGCTGTGAAAGCGCTGCCTGGATCGCGTTCGTGTAGTCGTCTCGTGCTGTGTCGTCGTAGATGAGATGATCTCGTGCTAACTTGAGTGCTGGATCTGGCTTGACCGCGCTGTAGCGGAGACGGTGAGTGGCCGCGTTCAGGATGAAGTCGGCGGTGACGAGCTTGTGGTCCGACGCCGTCAACGTTCCACCCCAGGATCGTGCGTCCATGCAGAGCTGTCGGCAGTTCTGAGGGCATAGGATATAGTCGATCTGGTTGTAAATACAGTGATTCGTCCGGCGCTGACTCCATGTTGTTTTGTGGCGGGCTCGCTTTTGAAAACCTGTGTTACTGGCAAAGAGAAGGTGAGTAGAACAGAAGTCAGCAAATGCGTGGCCGTTTCGGTTGCGTATGCCTCGTGCATGTGGTCCCATGAATACCTCTCCATTGATCTGTTGTCCGAGCTTGGCGTTGAAGTCGCCGGCCACGAACGCGATGTTGCGCCTTGGTAGTTGGTCAAGTGTGTCGCTGAGATCAGCGTAGAATCGATCTACTTCGGCGAGAGGCCGACCGCTGTGGGGAGCATACGCCGTGACGATGTTCACGGGGCCTGCGTGGGGGAGTAAGAGCTGAACGACGCCGATTCGATCGCAGTGTGCCCAATAGCAGTGTAAGTAGGGGCGGACGCGGGGGGAGATGGCATAGCCGACCCCGTGGCGCTCCTGTACGGCTGGTAGTGTGGGTAGCGTGTAGTCTCCGATACGTTTCTTGTTGAGGGTGCAGATGCGTGTTTCTTGGATGCCGAGAACGTCGATGCGGTAGCGCCGGAGGTCCTGGGGGAGCGTGTCCTGCTGCTTGCGGGTCGAACCTAACGACTGGACATTAAGCGAACCTATCCTAAAACGGTTAGTTTGATGCGCGCGGCGAGGAGAGCGCGATAAGAGGGTGGGAGGTGTAGTTGTCGCTAGTGCTGTCGGCTTGGGGGCGAAGGAAAGACCCGCTAGGGACGTACAGATGCCTGAGAGCACCTGCCGGAAGCGCGTAGCTAGCATCATGCTGGCCACGCGTTCCGGGGGAGGGCGTCACCCCAACCCCAACCAAAAAAATAGATAGGTATTGGCGTTAAAACTGTAAATATTTCTGTCGTGACAAAGCCCATGAGTTTTTTTACCTGTGCCCGTCCAGACTTTCATTTTATCATTTTTAGCGGGGTGCATTGTTGTCACTCTGAACCGGCCTAACGACTACCTGCGTATAGCTTTGTCTACGGAGTTTTTTTCACCGATTTTTATCATCTCGACCGCCATTTTAATTTTTTTGCCCCCCCCCCGTATAAAATACCCCTTTAACTGGACTGACCCAACCTTAGTCAAATCCTAAGTGCCTGCAATTGCGCCCCACCATTAGTACCCCGCCTATCTGCTTCTATCACCTTGAATGGGGACTTTCTAGAGAAGGTTGCACGTGTTGTCTGCTGAGATTTTTCTATCCTTATAAATACCGTAATTGTTATGGACACTGCATTGCATGCGATTTGAATCTAAAACGGGGATAGAAATTGCTGTGGTTTAGAATAAGTACCAACTTTTGACATACCGATCGGAGTTTCTAATCTCGGATAGAAACAGATGCATGAAGTACAAGAACTTGACTTTCGTAAAGTATAATAAGGATAAGTGAGTTTACTGAGCTCCACCAGTTTACTAGGGCTGTAGGAAAAGAGAACCCAACCGGATGAAGAACTGGAGTCGGCCCCACTTTCAAATTGGCCCTCCGTCTGACGGTCTACAACTACAACTACGCTCAAGACAACAACATTTCAGATACTCGAGTATGCTACTTGGAAAGGCAAGCTACTCACGCACGTGGCCCAATTGGATTTGGAGGCCGAGAACAAGCTACTCGAAGCCGGTGACCCGGACCCGAAGGTCTGCATGAGGGACTTCTTGGAGTCCACGCCGCCATGTCTTACGGATGCAGACGTGAAAGCAGCTCCGCCCGAAGGACAATTGGCTGTCCGGAAGGAGATCATGGTATGGCGCAAGGCGGACGCAGCCATGAGGCATGTCCTCAACTCGACCCTCCCAAACTCGTTTCTCTCGTCCCTACCGGACGAGCTGCGAAACATGGAAGTGTGTCTCATTTGGCAGCATCTCGAACGGAAGTTTGCGAATGGTGATGCTGGAGGATTGGTAGCGTGGTCGAATCGGTGGACTCAGATTCTGAACTCGAATTGGAAAGACACCATGACCCTGTTCTCACTGCTCAACCAAGCGCGGAACGAGATGAATCGGAAGTCGAAGAAGCTCCTCGGCAAGGAGATGATGACGGAGACGATGATGTGCGTGCAAGTGTTGGCGCAACTCCCAAGCGAGATTTGGGCATCTTCGATTGAGCTCACGGAGGAAGCGTTCACCGCCGAAAAGGTCGAGGTGGCGCTGAACAAGCTGTTTGGTGGCCGATCCCGGAAGCAGATCACGGGAAATGGCGATGCGACAACAGTGGCGCGCATAAACCATGTCAAGCGTGAGCGTGCTGTGCGTGGATACGACACTAAGAAGCGTAAGTCGGATGCCAACACCAAGGTTCAGGACCAAGGGTGTTTCTACTGTTTCGGCCAAGGACATCCGAAGGCGCAATGCGAGCGCATGAAGGCAGACCGCGACCCAAACCGTGAAGGGGGACCGCTTTTCCGCACCAACGTGCAAGCCCAACTTTCCAAGCGGGCGCCCAACGGGACTAAGAAGATTGCCACGGTGCAGCACGTTACCAAAAAGCAAAGGACGACACGTGACGCACCCATGGACATTCGAGATGGAAGAAGAGTTCAAGCTACCTGAGTCGGAAAAGGCCGGATCGGAAGACGAGAATGGAGGTTGTCTGCTGAGTTTCGGTCAAGTCGACACCAGGGTACGTAAGAAGTATGGTGCTTATTTAAATTGGCTACGGCGATTAACAGTTTCGGATGATCTGTGGATTGTTGATACAGGAGCTGGACTAGGGATAAGCCCGGACAGGAGCTGGTTCGAATCTGTCCACACAGGTTCGAGTCACTAGTTTGAGTATGGAAACGGTAGCACATCGGAGACTGCTTTAACGGGTTCAATACAGATGCATATTGCAAGTCCTTTCAATAACTCTATCGGTTTAAAGATAAGGAACATTGCTCTCGATAAGGAATGTGGGAGTAATTTAATTAGCGCTTGTCATCTAGCCAGACAAGGTTACAATCACGTTCAATCCCGAGATGGGGAGTTTTTGTAATTTTTTCAGTGAGAAAGGGCAGCTTTTATTTGCAGCCGTTCAAAAGGGAGCAGTATATTATCTGCCTTCATTTAAGTACAGCAGAGTTAATGCAGTAAGAAAAAGTTATACACAAGCTCAGAAAATAGCTTTGCTGGAGAAGTGGCATCATAGATTAGGGCACGTTCACAAGGCCAGACTTTTGGCAATATTTAGCAATGGATTAGTTGAAGGAATTCCTCAAATTCCTCAAAAGGAACTAAAAGATCTTCCTTTCTTTTGCGCTACGTGTGAAATCGCAAATTCCATGCGAATGTCATATCGTAATAAAATAGGCTCAAGAAGTAGGCAACCATTGCATACTTTACATATGGATACCACAGGAAAGATAAAAGTGAATGGAAGATATGGTGGTTTTGGTTACCGCTATGCATTGTCAATTGTAGATGATGCAACATCCTATAAGTGGGTGTTTGTCATGAAATCGCCAAAAGAAGTGTATGGTCACGTTGTGAATCTCGTACGTCAATTGGAAAAACAGTATCCGTATGAGATAAAAAGAATTCGCAGTGACGGTGGCAAAGAGTTTGTAAATAAAAGAGTTAAGGCGTTTGCAAAATCTAACGGCATGCTATTTGAGAAATCTAATGTAGACTCTCAGGAAGAAAATGGAAGTGCAAAACGTTGTCACCAGACGTTAATGAAACAAGTTAGGAGTGCACTATTAGCGGCAGCAATGCCAGGAAGTTGGTGGCCTGAAGCCATTAAGTACGCAGCGGAAGTATCAAATAGGCTTCCAACATCTAGACTTGGCCACACATCGCCATATGAGGCGCTAAATAAGAAAAAGCCGGATGGGAATGTGGAAGAGCGACTCGAAGATTTTGCGGAACTGAGGCAGTCATCGTTGGACACGTGGAAGATATCGGCAAAAGGGGGGTGGAAAACAGGGAAAATCGGAATTCGGGGGAAATATCGGTTTATTACCGGTTGGAACCGGTTACACCACCAAGCCAGCGAAGTGATTAACGCAACCTTAATTGAAACATAAAAAATCCCATAAGGTTGCTCGAGCAACCTTATATTTCTGTTAAGGTTGCTTGAGCAACTTTGTAATTTACGACACATTCGGCTACTGAGTAGTTTACCGCAAACTTTCTATTTGAGGTAAGATATTCGTACTAAAAAATTGTCAAGGTAGTCCAACGCGGCCGGAAGCTCGAGTGAAAGGTGCTCCATTTCGAAAGATCCAACGTGGGAGGCAAGCCGAAGAACGAGCAGCAAGCAAGCACCATGCTACGTCCCGCCCGACGACGTGTAAGTAAGTTTCTTTGCCATAGCTTCGGGTGCGCGTATATCTAACACTTGTGTGGCTCTGGACAATAGCTACGTCAAACGGCCAAGCAGTGGACGAAGCTGAACGACAGCCAGTGACTGGGCGATTGGAAGGCGCTGCGAGGAGGACTGCGGTGAAAACTGTGACAGCGAAGCACACCTGAAGGCAGCTATGGTACGTTGCACTGTGCAGAGAAAATTGCAGGGTGCGTTCTTTCGTAACCCAACGTATGATGCCTGTGCGTGTTCGAGCAGACGTGAAGCCGCGGTCAAGGCTGCGTTCCGGCGAATCGAGATCTCAGCCAAGCGTAAATTGAAAGAAGCGAAAGCTAGGGCATAATAGATGGTGTGGGTATTGCTTAAACAGACTACTATGCTAGAGGGAATCGGTTTGGTCGGGAGATTCTTAGCAGCTACCATTTAGGCAGGAGAAACCAGTGATATGAACGACGACGACCTTTGTAGGTGTAGGCTGCACTTGTAAATACTCGATGTCTTGGCGTGACGCACGTGAAGTCTGTCGGCTCATGGCCCCAATCTCGAAGCTGTTCGGCTTCGCTTGCACAGCGCTAACAACTGGCACGCTTGTGTCAGGAAAAGGTGCTGCTCAAGTTGCGAGAACTTGACACCGGGCATCGCCCGCATCTCTCCTTCTGGCAGCACTTGCGGGCTTTTAACTCACTACTTAATTGCTTGATGTACATGTATTCGTGTCGTGTGGAAGCTGAACCACGGCAGACAGCTTCCTGGCGGTGATAGTCGCGCTTAACGCGGTGTAGCTCCGTCGTCTTCGCTAGGATACGTGTTGCAACATGTTTTGAGAAGTCACCAGCCCGTACGATCGTCAACCTTCGATCTCAAAATTGTCTCCGCTATTGTCATTTTCTCCTCGATAAATTACCGGTTGCTGAAGCAACCTGTAATTTTAAGGTTGCCGAGCCGTTTTTAAGGTTGTGGAAGCCTCTTTAAGGGTGCTGTAGCGGGTGTCGTTTTGTCGTAACAAAGTTGCTTTACGGACTGCCCCAAGCCAGAATCACGTGATCAGGCCATACCGGTTAGTACCGGTTGTAACCGGTTTCATACCGGTTCGTTTTTGAACCGTTTTCGGGCTCTAGCGCTCCCCTGGCCCCTCAGCGTATAGTCAAGACCAGTATGACGGCATGTCCAGGTGCAAAGTCAACAGCTGCGCTGCCAGAACAAGGAGATGAATGGAGGAGATCCTCGATGAAGGGCATGGACACCCAGATAAGACAGCACGGTAGGGAGGAGCCAAAAGACAGTAGATTGCTAGTCCGCAATTGGCGCCCAAGCCCACAAGTCCAAGCACAAGCAGTAGCCGACCGATAAGACGTGAATACACCTTTGTTGCCCGCAACTTTCCGGCTTTCGTGTCCAAGACCTCAACGCGCAGAAGAACCGACCCCGGCCGTGCAGACCACGTTGCACGAGGCGCTACGACTAGAAGGCCGCGTGTACTCAACCCAACACCAAGTGTCCAAGAGGAGGGCACTCTAAATTAGTCACGTCGGGGCGGAGTACGCGAAAGGGCCGAGCTACCGACGGAGAGTAGGCGTGCGAACGCAAGTGAAAGGGCCGGAGTACGACCGAAGGACGGACCGCGCGGACGCATTTCCCGGTGCGGAACGGAGGGAGCACGGAGGCAAGCGATAGGGTCGAAGTGTGAACAGAAGAGGAGACTTCATCCAGGCTACAAGGGAACGGACGAACGGAACGTGAAGACCGGACCGAACGAACGGACCGCGAAGAACGGGACGGAGGAACCGAGAACAGAAACCGCGGAGACAAGCGATAGGTCCTGCGAAGACCGGGAGAAGGAGCGATAAGAAGACAACGAGGCGGCGTGAGAAGCTCATCCCCGCGCCCGTCAACAACAACAACAACCAACAACAAGACCTCAGTGACGTGATCGTCACTTACGGCTACAACCGGTGCAGACAGTCCTCGGAATTACGTTAGCGAAGTCCCGGGGAATTACGCGACGTCTATTCATCAAGAGCGTGACGTTGCGTTTGTGAGTGTGAGATAACACTGAGAAGACCGCAGAACGGTTATTGAGGAACCTGTTCCACCACAGGAACATTTTGCAAATTTGGGGTAGTGTTTGCTATGCTCACATTCCGAGTACCAAAAGAAAGGATAAGAAATTAAGTTCACGAGGACTAGAACGCAAATTTCTTGGAATTGCAGAAGACAATAAAGGTTGTAGACTGTTAGATGCAGCTATAAATGTTTTACTGATCGGTAGAAGCGTAAGATTCGATACAACCGACCAATTAGCAATTATGAGAAGGTCGTTTCCTAAGCGGGATAAACAATTAACCCCGGACGAAGTAGAGGAAATGGTTGAGTGTTCCACCAACATAGAGGAAGAAGACGAAGAATTAGAACCAGAAGAAGAGGAAAAGGAAGAAGAAAAGACGTCTAAATCACCCCAGCCAGGAAGTGTGGGAGATGTGGGAGATATTATTTCTCCTTGTGACGTAAATGAGTCAAATGTTAGTCACAATGTACCTTCCACACTTGGTATAAATAGTCCACCAACTTTGGTCGGACTGAGGGAGGACAATACGGAACCAGAAAGTGCAAAGCTGCATACGTTGCCGCGCACACTGCGTAAAAGACGGCGCAGCCCAAGGCTCAGTGGGCATGAGGTTAATATAAACCCAATTTTAGGCGTAAAAGTTAGTAGGGCACGCATTCCTATTCCTAAGTCACTAAAAGCGGCTATACCAGGGCCTTATAGGGAGAAGTGGCTGGGGGCATTAGTAGTTGAGCATAACGCTCTAATTGCAAATAATACCTGGAAAATGATTGACTTGCCAAAAGGACGAAAGGCATTAGGCTGTCATTGGGTCTTGGATGTAAAATATAATGCAGATGGATCAGTTGAAGATTCAAAGCCCGATTAGTTGTAAGAGGGAATCATCAGACACATGGAATAGATTACGGTGAAATATTTTCGCCCGTCGCTCGCTATGAGTCAGTGAGATTAGTGCTCGCAATTGGAGAGAGCTGTAATTGTCGACAAAAACTCTTGACTTTTCGATTAAGGCCTGAATTACGAATTACACCCTTTAATATTGAACATAACCTGATGCACATACCAATCCATACGGTTGCTATATTTGGGCACATCTGTGAAAAGCTCTGAGCACCAGGGCGAATGTGAATCTCGACTGCTCGCCCAACAACAATTCCAGATACAGGTTTCATCAGAGGCAGCAGCGCTCCAGAACATTGATGGCTTGAGATCATTGACAACCTACCACAGCACTTCGCGGACATGCACAGTCTGTGCGATCATCATCGACCAGCACGGGATGCGCTCCAGGGTGTATTACTACAACATGCAACGCCGAGGCTCACCAGCGTGTACTTACTGGCTGAAGGTGCTACGGTGCGAACCGACAGGAGTAAAGTATTCTATACTGATGGAGAACACCGGTTAAGTGTCGCCTCCCAACGTCGTTATGTCATTACTCGTCAGATGAAGGACGAAATCATCCGACTATATGTAATTGACTAGAACTACACCCCAGCCAACATTCTTAGCGTTCCTTCGGACCTTAAGATCGTTGCACACACATCTTGAGCGTACCTATTCGTGAAGTATGTAACTTCAGATCTCATACACCAGTGTTTTAGTAGCAGTATACAAAATTTAGTACTAATTACTCTTGACCAGTACATTTGCACCAGTGCAGAACTCCTCAAAGGCAAACTATTCACGCGCCAGACTCAGTAAAAATCTATAAAAGCCCACTTGAAATAATGGAGCGCTATCAGGGACACTGTGGTGCACAGTTTTTCAACAGTAGTAGCGAGCGGACGCTGCGTTGGCTTGCTGAGTTTGTGTGGTCTTGCTGAGCCTACATGGGCCGCTGGGCTTGCTACTGCTGTTTGTCCAACTACTGCTGCTACTACTGTAACTGGTTAGAGTCTAAGCCGATGCCGTCCACCGCTCTGGTGCGTCAAGGGTCCGTCCACGGACGACACGTTCCACCCCACCAACGTCGCGTGGCGCTCTTCATACGGCGCGGTCGCGTCCGTGATGTACCGCAATTTCGAATGTTGAGAGCTGCACCC